AAAACCGCGCATAGCCTTGGCAACATGGGCAGGGGGAGAGTCCCACCTGGCGATGGAGGCGAGACCTTTGTGTGTGTAGTGGAAATTGAGGTAGATTTTGTCTCGTTTGGACAGGTGGATCGTCACCTTAGTGATGATGACGTGGGCAGTGGTGGGTGGGAGGGGCGGTGTCGGTGGCGAGGGCGTGGGTGATGGAGGGGGTGGAGAAGGGGTGCGAGGAAGAGGAGAGGCATGGAAGCTATGGCGTCGCGAGGAGCCTTCAGACTGCGAGCCGGAAGATGAAGAGGAGAGGGAGTAGCTTCGGCGGCGGGGGGCCGGGCGACGATGTGAAGAGTGGCGTCGGGGGGACGCGGAACGTCGTGGAGAGGAATCAGGGCTGAAGTAACGACGGCGGAAAGGGGTGGGGGGATCGGCTAGGTAATTGGGCCACATTGCGGCCATGTCACCGTCGTCTGGGATTTCAGACCAGATACGGCTAGCGTATCGGAAGTTGACCTGGTGGTTGATCAAGCCGGACTGGCCGATTGACTGTTCGGCGTCGCACCAGTCGACAAGGATTAGGAGTCGGGCGAGGAGCCTTCGGTAGGCAGCAATGTTGTGTTTTTCACGCTCGGCAAGAACGCGGACGCCGAGCATTTGCGGACAGTCTTGGGACAAACATTGAGCCAAGAATAGTGGGATGTCGGCGTTGAAGAGGAGGTGTGGTGTGATTGGTGAATGGTAGGGGGGAAAGTCAAGGATGGATTTGCGGTTGGACATGGGGGAAAGAATGGGGCAAGTTGTTGGGAGAAAGGAAGGACGATAAACAGGGGTGGAAGGGGACGGACGGGAACTGAATGTGAAAATGCGGAGAAATGTCGGGAAAAGCGATGGCGTGCGATGTGGCAAGCAAAATGGTGACTACCTGGTTACTACCAGTGTTTGGTGGATTTATAGGCCTTGGGCTTGTACGTGGCACCACGCTTGGGACGACCAGTAGTAGATGAATGGCTGGCCGGGGCGGGGGCACCAGAGATAGCGTTCCAGTAATTGGCCAAGACCTGAGGAGCGAGCGTACGCTCAGGCTCCCACGTCAAGCTATCGTCGCCATAGCCAGCCCAACGAACAAGGTATTCGAAGCCGTTATACGACCTCGAGAAGCGGTGGTCCGTCAGACGATCTATGGTATACTCATCCTCTGACAAGTGGAGATCGGTTTGGGGAGGGGGAACCGAGCGGTTGGGGAAAGAGTTGGCGTGGTCGGGCTTCAAGTACTGGACGTTGATGACGTCGTGAGCCCGGCTGTGGCCTGGTAAGGCGACACGGACGGTGTTCGTGTTGACTACGCCTACAACTGGGAAAGGCCCAGCCCACGGGGCACATAACTTCGCTGAGCCTTTTTCCTTGAAGAAGGAGGGTCGGAAGTACTTTGTGGAGACCCAAACAAGATCTCCAATCTTGAAGGTTGCGGGGCGACGGTGCTTGTTTTGTTGGTTGCGCTGAGCGTCTTGGGCGCGAAGAAGCGAGTCTGTGGCGCCTTTGAGGAGGGAGTGTAGGTGGTCGAGGAAGTCTTCCGCCCTGGGAACGTTCGTAGGTGGAGAAAGCAGGTTGTGTGGGGAACGAGGCTTATAGCCTAGGTCGAGCTCGAAGGGAGGGAGGCCCGTAGAGGCATGAGTGGCGCTGTTATAGGCAAATTCGGCGGCAGCCAAACAGTGGCGCCAATCCGTCTGGTTTTGCGAGATATAATGGCGCAGCATCTCCTTGAGGGTGCGGACCATCCGCTCGGACTGACCGTCGGTCTGCGGGTGGTAAGAGCTCGAGAGCGCAAGACGGGTGCCGAATCTTTTCGAGATAGCGCGCCAGAAGGCGGAAGTAAATTTACTGTCCCTGTCGGAAACAATGACACGTGGGATGCCATGCAGACGGATGATCTCGTCAAAGAAAAGGTCGGCAGTATCGGCGGCCGTAGCGGTTGCGAACGTCGGAACGAAGTGGGCGCGCTTCGTCAGTTTATCCACGACAACGAGAACCATATCGTGTTTGCTGCCTTTCGCGGCGGGGAAGGGGCCGGCAAAGTCCATCGTGACTGTCGCCCAACGCTCGGTCGGGATGGGAAGAGGCTGCAGCTCTCCGAGAGGTTGTTGGTTTGGATGCTTGTGGCGCTGACAGGAGACACATGACTTGACCCAGACGGCGATATCTTTCTTCATGTTCGGCCAAAAATAGATGTCGCTGACGCGGGCGTGGGTTTTGTCAACACCTAAGTGACCCGCGCCAGGAGAATCGTGAAGATCGGACATGATGGTTGATCGGAGGTGCCTATCTCGAGGAACCATGATTCGGAAATGATCCGAGGTTGGGTCCAGGAAATAGAGGATGTTGTCGAAAGCGTAGAACCGGGGAAAAACACCAGAGCGAGGGGATCGCGAGACGGCTTGCAAGATATCTTTGCAGCGAGGATCCGCTGCGTAGGCGGCGCGGAAACGTGATAGGAACGAAGAATTGACCTTGGGGACCGAGTGCGTTTCTCCTGGAGGCATTACAGCATGGAACGAAACTGTGTTGACCTCTGGAGTGGGGGCAACGGCAGGTGTTTTGTCCGTATCAGCGTCGATAGCTAGATCTTCGGCGGTGGCTTGAAGGGGAGCCCGCGAGAGTGTGTCCACGTTGCTGTGCATCTTTCCGGGACGGTGTACAATGCTTGTAAGCCCTGTGCACTGCTTCAACTCGACTGTCCACCTGAGCAGACGAGCGTTGTGACCCTTGTAGTCCATAATCCATTGGAGAGCGCTGTGGTCGGTGATAACCGAAAATTGAGCGCCTTCCAGATAAGGACGAAGTTTACGTAAACCCCATACGATCGCCAGGCACTCAAGCTCGGTCGCAGAGTATCGAGTCTCGGCAGACGAGAGGGAGCGACTGAGGAAGATGATAGGATGCTCACGTCCTTTGTTGTCTTTTTGCGCGAGCACGACGCCTAGGCCAACGGTAGAAGCGTCCGTGTAAACCTGGAATGGGCGTTTGTGGTCCGGGTGGGCCAGGATCGGCGTGGACGTGACGAGGTCGCGGAGCTTGCCAAAAGCGAACTCGCATTCGCTGGACCAATTCCAGGAGGCGTCCTTGATGAGCAGCCGAAAGAGCGGGGCAGCGATCTGCGAATAGCCTCGAATGAATTTCCGATAATAATTTACCATACCCAGCCATCGTTGGAGGGCGGGCACGGAGGAGGGAGTGTCCATATCGTGTATGGCGGCGACTTGTTTGGCTTGGACTCCAATGCCGAGGTTACTCACTGAGTGTCCCAACGCGTCGATCGACTGGAACGCTACATGGCTTTTGGGGATACTGAGAGTGAGACCTGAGTGACGTATCTGCCCAAGCACGGCGTTGACGTCTGCAAGGTGCTTCTTGAAGGAGGGGCTGTAGACGATTATATCGTCAATGTATACCAGGGTGACGGACCACTTGTATTTGGATAGTACACGGTCCATAAAACGTTGGAACACCGCAGGACCGTTTCGGAAGCCGAAAGGCATGAATTTTTATTCGTGGAGACCCTGGTGTGTTCGGAAGGCCGACTTTGCCCTGGCGTCGTCGTCGAGTGGTATCTGATGGAAACCGCGGTTCGCGTCGAATGTGGAGAAGTACTTCATACCGGCGAACTGGGAGAGGATCTCGTCGACGGTTGGGAGGGGGTATTGATCGGGAGTGGTAAAGCTGTTCACCTTACGGTAGTCGATGCAGAACCGGGACTTCCCTTTCTGCTGGACAATGATAGCGGGCGACGCCCACGGAGACTCCGATTCCTGAATAATGCCATGTTCCAACAACTCGGCCATCGCAGTGTCTATGATCTCTCTCCCTTGAGGGGAGGCCCTGTATGGTGGAGAGGAGACAGGAGGAGCATCGCCTGTGGGGATAGACATGGTGGCAAGAGTGGTAGAGCCTATTGGGCGAGAACCGTAGCCAAAGGCGTCCTTGTTGTAAAGTATCACTTTCTCGAAAGCTTTCCGCTGGTCCGGACTCAGCTCAGGGTTGAGCTGGATGTCACGCAGGGGAAATTGGTCGTCCTCCATGCTCGGATCATCCGACTCCCAAGGTCGGGGAGTCTGGTCGGTGTGGTTTACCGCATTCGCCTGTGGCAGGGCCTTAGCGGAGATAGCGGGGGTGGGCCGGCCCAGCTTGCGGTGGGTGCCTAGGACGATCGGTTTCTTCCCTGAATCGATGATCATGACGAAGTGTGCGGGGGATGCCGCAGAGCCGACAGATCGTGCGACATGCAAGTATTCTCCCAAATGGAGGGGCTCGAGGAGGTATGCGTCGGTAGGGGGCAACTCTCCAACCACTACCTCGGCACGGTGTCGGTGACCCGGGTACACAATGGCAGGATTTTTGAGACGAAATGCGGGGTAAGGAGCTGGATCGGTAGAAGAGCTGACAGGGGTCGGCTCGTCACTTGTTTGCGAAGGAAATTCCTTTATGGATGCGGTGATGGGAATAGCACCTCGCATGTCTCGGAAGGACAGCAGGAGCAAATCGAGGTCGATCCGCGCACCGAGTGGAAGCAGGACATCGTTCCCAAGGATAATATTTGCACTCTCTGTTTTGGCGAGGAAGAAATTTGCTTCGAGGGTGATGTCTTGTCCGTCTGTGTCGACAAACTGCATAGACGCGTGAATGTAAAACGCAGAAGCAAGGGATGCCATGCCTGACAATTGGAAGTTGGCCGGTAGAGGGTGACGAGCATATGCTGCAAGATGCTGATCGGCGTAGTCGGCATTGAGAACAGTAATGGACGCGCCAGAGTCAATGATGACTCTATGCAATGCAGAACCTTCCTTGTCTGTGCCGAATCGGCCATACGCATAAGTCAGGGTTTTATCAACGTGCTCGAAAGGCTCTGCGACGAGGTCCAACACGTCGGAAGGAGCGGTTGTTTCGGCATTGTGAGGCGTGCCTTCGGGAAGGACGTCGGCTGCCCGGTGATTCCCGGAGCTGACGGAACCGGCGTCGGCAGAGGTAGAAGGGTGTGCCGTCACAACGTTCAACGAAGCGCGAGGGTGCTGAGGAGCGCGGTTGAAATTGCCGTTACCTTGGGAGTGGCTCTGGGCTGGGCGCATACCCTGCTGGTGGTCTGGGTATCGATTGTTGGATGGGCGAGAGATGCCGTTACTTCCGGACCCAACGAAGTTGCGTCCCATACCGTCCTGGCGCTGGTGCTCATTTTGGCCATTGTTTTGACGGCCGTAAAAGCCAGGGGACGAGCCGTTCGCAGAACGCTGGTTATTGAGTGGGCAGAACTCACGCCAATGCCATTCACCGCATGCTTTGCAGGCAGAGGGAGGAGGGCCTGTTCGTGGCTGCTGGAACTGGCGTCCTTGGTCGGTAGGAGGCCGTTGGGGTTGACCACCGTTTTGGGGTCTGGAGGGTTTGGTGCTCGGCGAAGGGAATTGCGAGCGGAGACTGGGTTGTAGATCCAGCATGATACAACGGAAATCGTCTAAAGATGAACCAGGCGGGGTCGATGCTTTGATCAGGGCACGCATCGCCAGAGGAATACCTTCGACCATATCGGTAATGAGATCCTTTGAAGAGGTGCCCTCAGGATACACCCAACGCTGAAGTCGACGTTTTGCATCGAAGTAGTCGGCGAAGGACTCAAATGGTAGCAGGCGGCGCGCGATGCACTTGCGGCGCATAACTCCCTCGAAATCAGGGATCCTGAACGCGTTTTTGAAAACTACACGCCACTCGTCCCAAGTCTGATAGTCTCGGCGAACCGAGCCCAGGTCCGTGAACCAGTCGAGAGCTTTGCCTTCGAGAAGGAAGGGAAGGTTGGTAAGAAGTTCAGACTCGGGGTAATCGGCATGCTCGAGGGCCGCCGTTAGTTTTTCGAGCCAGGTATCAACATCCTCTGTGTCTGAACCGCCGAATTTACTGAGGTCGGCGGGACGGAGACGACGCCTGCGCTCGAATGATGTCTGAAGCGTAGGGTCGTTGGCAGGGGGCGTCGAGGAGGCAGGGATACTCTGAGGTCGGACAACGTTCTGCTCGTGCATGCTATGTAGCAGACGAGTGAGGAGGGCTTGGTTCTGAGAAAGGATTTGGAGATCCGAGTGCCACGAAGAGGGTGTGTCGGACGGCGCGAGAGAGGTAGCGCGCGCAGGGAGCTGAGTCGGGTGGTCGGCAGCTCGGCTTCCCGAGGTCGCCTGTGGTGTGGAGGCGGGCGGTGGTTGATGGTCTTCAATTTCCGTTTGAGCGGACTGATTGACAGGAAGAGCCATAGGTGCGTTGGCGTTTGCTGTGGTAGAAGGTATCGCCAAAGGTGGCGACGCCGGAATAGGGGGCTGTGCTGGTGGAGAGAGCGGGCTAGGTGTTGCCTCGTCTTCGTTGGGAGACGACTGAGGCACGTCTGGATCGCCGAGGTGACTGACTTGCGAGAGCTGATCGGCTGGAATCAGGGAAGGACCGGCTTGGGACTGAGCCTGTGAGAGCCCACCGGCCTCGACTGAATCAGTCAAACTTGTCAGCGAGGAGTCAGTGGTTGCTGCGCCACTGTGGGCGGGTGCAGGGGGAGGGCCAGATCGGGTAGCAGGGGCCATTGTGTTGGAGCGTCGGGGTGGACGAACAAGGGTCTAACTTGATGGTGCGTCGAGGTGGACGAACAAGGGTCTTCGTGACCGCCTTGTAGTAATGGTATGGGCGTCGGGGAGGACGAACAAGGGTCTAACTGCTTGGACCGCCTTGTGGTTATGGGAGCAAGGGTCGCTTGACCGCCTTGCGAGCGCTGTGGAGTGGTGGGTGGGACACCGGTCGGGGACTTTTCGACGAACGCAAACGGAAGAATCCAAGGGTAGCTAAGCCTTGGAGAGGACGAGAGCCCGAGAGACCGAGAAGGATGCAGAACCAGACAACAGGAGGACGAGAGTAGAACTCAGGCCGTCGAGAGTAGAGAAACCGAGAAGGATGCAGAACCAGGCAACAGGAGGGCGAGAGTAGAACTCAGGCCGTCGAGCGTCTACAAGCTAGCAACTCAAACGCGGGACGAGACCCCAGATGTAGTGAGTTAGACCGTCCCAAGAAGACCCAGAAGGGCTCAATGAGCAAGAGTCAACCAATACGATGTTTCGAGTGCGCTCAGTTGTTGCGGGCTTGCGATTAGCTCGTGAAGTATGAGATATGATATGCGTAGACTATACGGATGAGGGAGGCTCAACGTATACTGGGTAAATAAGGAAGAGATAAAAGAGAATAAGGATGGGGATTCCCCCAAACCTCTGTCTTATATGCATGGGAACTCTAGCGGCACAACAAGAGAAAACCTAGGGTCTACTGGGAATAAAGAGTCTATTAGGGCGGCTGGCCCTGATAGACCACGAGGACGGACCTTCGGCGATACGAGGTGTGGCGGTTCATGGAGTGTGGCGGCAGGCGCGCTACATCCAATCACTCCTCTCAAGTAACGATCGGCCAAAATATGATGTTCGCAAACTTCCCTGACCGGACGGGATCCTCGCTGCCTGAAGCAATCTCGAGCTTGTACGAGAGTGAGGCGGCAGTCTTGCGCCGTATCTATCATCCGCATACCTCATCAGCACTCCACACTATAGCGTCCCTGCATCCAGTGCACCATCTCATCCTCAACGAGCTATTCCGCGTCGAGCCCTCTGTCGTTGTATCACTCAACAAATACTGCTACGACCATTTCACCCCAAAGCTGTACCAGAAAGTGGACTTCGACGTTCATAGAATCCCGATCCTGTCGTTCCTCCACGGACTAAATTTGCCGAATGGCCGGAAACGGAAGCTGTTGAAGCTGGTTCGAGAGGTATCTTTCTACTTTCACCCTTTGGTGCATGTGCCGAAGGGCGAGGTGTTGCCTGATGGCACCAGACAGATGATACCGATAGATCGTCTTGAAGGGGTACATACTGGTCATCGACACTCGTGGAATGAAGAGCCCTCAAGACTGGCCGAGGAGATCATAAAGCCCCTGGCGCAACTGAGTGAGTACTGGAGGGAGATGTATATAAACCCGTCACTTTGTCCAGGAAATGGCGGATTCATGCCCAATGTTGAGAACATATCCATGTGTGGATATATGGGAGACTACATCTTTACAGGCTACTACAAAGAAGACGGCTACGTCTCACGGTATGAGGCGCAACGAAATGCAGCAGGAAGAAGATTCCATAACTCCGGAGAGCTTATGGACCCGCACCTATTTCTTTTCAAAGAAATACTGGGCCTTGGTCAGAACACGCAGCACTCGGCGATTCAAATTCCTATCCTCCCGCTCAATTCCCGAGGCAAGACTCACTACGAGTCACTTTGCAGAGAAATGACATCAGTCTACAACTGGACGATAGCGGGTGGGGATCCGGACATCAATGCCAGCAAAACATACTACGGCCCGGTGAGATCAGAGCAGCACAAGAGCCATACTCAGATGATCATGCCGGTTTCCATCAGACAGATGAGGATGTCTCCATACCACCAAAAGACAGCAGATGCTTCGACCGAGGGTGAAGGGCCGGATCGAATCGCGCTCTTGTCAGATTTCTTGATACAGCAAAAAGCTGCCGTTATGGGAAAGAAGCGGCGCGTTGGTGAAATCATCGAAGCCAACGAAATATCTCGGCTTGTGACGATGACAGTATCAGCTTTGCAGGCCAGGGATGGGAGATGTACCAGATGGATTGGCGTTCAGTAGAACTGATAGCAGTTGGATGGCAGGGGAAATGGTGGAGCGGTCACCGCCGCCGTGTGCCGACGCGATGCCCTCACTCGTCATCATGCGGTCGGGTCTTTGTTTGTACCACATTTTCATCTCTCCACCACGATGCCGGCATCCCTCTACCTCCGCCCCTCTCCCAGAGCATTCTTCCTCCTCACCCCCAAGCACGCCCTCGTCTTCCGCCAGCCATCAGCCTCAGAAGCCTCCGCCTCCAAGTCAGTCGTCGTCGCCGAGTGGCTTCCACTTGAAGAAGTAGAAACGCAAGACCTCATCAAGATTCATGGCGGCGTAGATGGTGTACTTGGTGTTGGGAGTGTACCCTCGGGTACGTCAATGCCATTACAAAGGTGATTGAACTGACCATGGAGCAGAGCGGTCACCAGTCCCCGAGATATTCCTCTTCATCTCGACAAACTCGACGCCTCTTCCCCCACTGCTCCCGAATTCTCCACTCCATCCCTCAAAGCTGTTATCTGTTCAGTTTTACTCCTTATCTTCTTCTGCATGGGACCCACCAGATTGGACGTCTCTGGCCAATGCCGCTCGGGCCGAGCAGATGGGTTTGGACTGGGAGGACGAGTACGAGAATGTCAGCACTACATGGAATGCTGCGGGTGGGAGCACGACACCATCGTCTCAGTACCCACACCCTTGTCAGGGGATGAAAAAGTATCTTGAGTCTGGAGGCTTCTTCTTTGCCGAAGGATGTAAATGGGACATCTCATCGCGTCTATCGCCGACTTCAAATTGGATCAAGGAAGCTTCCTCCAGCCCCTCTGACCGAGTGGGCGGACATCCGCTAGAGGGTTTCGACGAGAGATTTGTTTGGAATAAGAGCCTGCTGGAACCGTTCTTGGAGTTTAGAAAAGGTCTAGGAGAAGACATGCGGAGAGAACTGGACAACGCAGCCCTCCTCATTCCAATCATCCAGGGCTTCTGTGGCGCCCTTCCCATATCCCCATCATCCTCTTTATCTTCATCACTATCTTCACTCGCTCTCATCTCCCGTCTGTCCTGGAAACGTGCAGGTGCAAGGTTCCGAACACGAGGCATCGACGATGATGGCCAAGTCGCCAATTTTGTCGAGTCGGAGCTGATATATAGCTCGGGCGAGATGACGATGAGCTATGTGCAAGTGAGAGGAAGTGTGCCTGTCTTTTGGGGTCAGCCAGTAGGTGGTCTTGGGACGCTTAATCAGAAGGTAGAAATAACTAGAGTGAGTATCTTGTCATCTGTATAGGTTGCGTCTGATCCAATGGCAGCCGGCACAAGCCACACAACCGGCATTCGACAAACACTTCCTAGAACTATTAGAACATTACAACTCTATCCACGCTGTCAACCTTCTCGGGCAGAAAGATGCCGAATCTATGCTCTCCAACGCATACTCATCACACCTCTCTTCCCTCAAACGTACACTTCAAGACACACCTTCGGAAGAAAAAGACCGCGCGGATATAGCGGACAGAGGCACACTAGAACTCACAGCCTACGACTTTCACTCTGCTGTGCGCAGTGGAGGGAATGAAGCTGTGCGGTATGATCTTGAAAGACGACTGCGCGAGGTCGTCCGAAGCCGGGAGAAGTTTGGGTGGACGGTAGTGGACATGGGCAGCGAAGATGTGATCGAGCAACAGCAGGGGGTCTTCAGAACGAACTGTCTGGACTGTCTTGATCGCACAAATTACGTGCAGGACGTCATCTCGTCTCTTACCCTCTCGGCTTTCCTTGACACCTACGTCTCGCCTACCCTCGCGTCTTCCCCGACTCTGTGGTCCGCCCACCGATCCCTCTGGGCCGATAACGGCGACCGTCTATCGAAGATTTACGCTGGCACTGGTGCTATCAATACTTCGGCCACGCGTTCCGGCAAAAAGACATTCGCCGGCTTGTTGAGCGATGCGACAAAGAGCGTGGGCAGAGCCTACGTGAACAACTTCCAAGACAAGGGAAAGCAAACGGCAATTGATCTTCTATTGGGCATGTTGGTGGGGCAGAGAAGAGTCGTGCTTTGGGACCCTGTCAGTGAGAGTGTACAGGCTGCGTTGATACAGAGAGAAGGAGAGTACACGTCGCATAGGAATGTGACCATCTTCTCCGGGACGTGGAATCTCAATGGCAAGGTGAGTATCTGCGTTCTCGGAAGGTCCACAGACTTATGAAGAACAGGCGCCTAACGAGCCCCTCGATCCATGGTTGTTCCCACCCGGTGCGTTTGCTGATGTCTGACCTGCAAGCACGGCTGACCCTTCTCCCAGATACCACCGATCCAGATATCTACATGATCGCTTTCCAAGAGATTGTAGAGCTTACAGCTGGCCAAATTCTACAAACGGACCCTGCCAAAAAGTGATTTGTCCCATATAACCGGAGCGCAGACTCTCTGACGTGACTTCAGGCGAATGTGGGAAAAGTACATCATGGACACTTTCAACAATCGCAAACCCTCCCAATACCTTCTTCTCCGCTCCGACCAGCTTGTCGGAACCGCCATCATAGTAATTGTGAAATCACATCTCCTCCCTCACATCCGTCGCATTGAATCTGCCACCAAGAAGACTGGTCTCTCGGGCTTGTCGGGCAACAAAGGCGGGGTCAGTGTGCGATTCGATTTGTTTGATACGAGTATATGTCTTGTGACTTGTCATCTGGCAGCAGGCTTTGGCAATGTGCAAGATAGGAACGCGGATTGGCGGACGGTGGTGAAGGGTTTGAGGTTCCAGAGAGGTAGAGGGATCGAGGACCATGAGATTGCCATATGGGGTGCAGACTTTGTAAGTCCTCTTCCGTCACAAGCGGTGGAGAGCTGACCATGTCGTAGAACTACAGAATCTCGATGGCCAACCAAGAAGTCAGAGATCTTGTCGAAAGAGGAGACCTCCACCGCTTGCTCGAATCAGATCAACTCCTGGGCGCAATGGAAAAGGGCGATGTCTTTGGGGGGTATGATGAAGGGCCCGTCGCCTTCCCGTGAGTATTCTTTTGGTCAGACGCTACGTATGAGCTGACGTGATGATAGACCGACATACAAGTATGACAATGGGACGAGCAACTACGATTCTAGCGAAAAGCAGCGTGTGCCCGCCTGGACAGGTACGTCAAGCTGCCCTCCGTCAAAGGACACATACTGACATTTTTCTAGACCGTATTCTATTCAAAGGCGCCGCCCTACGCCTGAAAGAGTATAGCCGCTCCGAGCTCATGACCTCTGATCATCGTCCTGTCTACGCGGTTTTTGACGCCACAATCAGGGAAGTAGACCACGTAAAGCGGGATGGGATCGCGAAGGAGCTTGTGCATGGGTTTGTGCGAGAGGGTGGGAGTCAAAAGCTGGAGGGAATTGTTGGGGTGGAGGTTGGTGAGAAGAGTGCTCGAGAGACAACGAGGGGTCTGGCGAAAAGTGAGTGTACCGCAGAAGTAGGAGTGTTGTTGCTTATAGGTCTGCAGTCGAACGGGCAACCCCCCGGCCCTCTCCACGACTTCCTCCTCGCCCGAGCTCTTCCACTTCTCTCAACTCCTTGGCCGAGAAGGCCAGCCCAACCCTAGCTACCGGAAGAATGTCGTCGGCACACAATCTGCAAGCTCCGCCACATACCTCTGCCTCCAATTCCCTCCGTGCTCTGGCTACAAGCCGTGCCTCCGGATCTGAAGGGCTCGACGGTCAGAGACGAACCCCGCCCATACCCCCAAGGCCTTCTGTATATCCCCGACCGCCTACCGCATCGACGACCAAACCCAAGCAGGTACCAGCGCCCCCCAGGTCAAGGTCGGTCTCAAACTTGAGCAACCATACAGAGTCGTCTATCTCGCCGGTGTCGCCAACAACAACGGGGGAGTTTGTGGTTGTGCCTTCTTCTACAAACGGTGCGGCCAGAAGAGCACCTCCCTTACCACCCCGAGTGAATTCCGTTTCACAATCAGCGAGTCATCCCCCTCCTGCTCCTTCAGCTGCTGCAGCGAAAGCGACGCCGCGCACTGCCCCTCCTGTGCCCCGTAAATCGCTCGACCTCAATGGTTCTCCTCCTTCGGGGCTGATGTCCCCCGTTGACCCGGATGTGGTGATGCAAAAGATCAAAGCTGGAATGGGCACGCCGGTCTCCCGGCCGATACCTGCTAGACCGCAAGTGGAGAGGGGAGAAGGAAGTGTGGTGTCGATGGTTAGAGCGTTGAATGCGAACAACGAGGGTGGTGGATGGAAGGCGAAGGAGAAGGGGAAGGTAGAGGGCAAGACTCCCGGGGAAAGTGTCAAGGAGCCAGAGAGTAGCACCAGTGGGTTGGAAAAGGACGTTCAAGACGCTGTGGGAGGAGATGTGTTTGGGAAGACCGAGGCGGCTGCCAAGAAGAAGCCGCCTCCTGCGGTGCCGAAAAAGCCCGTGACGCTGCAGAAGGCGAGTGACACGGCTTCGGGCAAGACCAGGTAGTGTACTCGTACTTTATATATCTGTTCTATATTGCATACAATGTCACGACTTTTACCACGAAGAGAGTCATCCTTTGTCGACAAAGACAGCGATAATGTCTTTGAAGGTGATCTCATTGACGATCCCGGTACAGCGGGACGGCTTGCGTAATTTTATGACTGTCGGGTTACGTTACCAGTTCCCATTTCGGTCAGAAATTTCAACGCGTCCCCTCATGATTTTAAAGCATTGCGTACAAGTACGCAGGAAGCGGAAGAGAGAGTTGACGTAGCTCGATTGACGAGGGGCGATAAGGAGCCCAGAGAGACGGAAGACACTGGGACGAGACAGAGCCACGAAATGGACGGCGGAGATTTATACAGGTAGGCTTAGGGCAGTCCTTAGACACGGCACGCTCGCAGTGGTTCGGAGTTTGGCAGCATCATGACGGACGCGTATCTCTCAAGTCTCAACCCTCATGCAGTCGTCGTTGTCCGGCATGATCAACAAAGCATGCAGAGCATGCAGATGGTGCAATGGGTCTAATGTAACTCTATCCACCGACAAGGTTTGAATACTGATAAGAGCTGCATGCAGAAGTGTTGAGCAAAACAATCGCGAAGGTTAATTCCGACGATTGGCTAGGCTGCGTGCCGTGGATGGATCAGGGTGGAAAACAATGACCGCTGGATAACGAAAACGTGCATCTCATCGTCTGTTTGTACTTGTACTTGCCTCTCCATCTCTATACATATACCAGCGGGAAAAGTCCTGGAACCAGGCCAAAAGCAGACGCGAAAGGCAGAAAAGAACAAGCACAATACCCGCGCGCGACGGGAGCTCAAGGTGAGTACCGGGTGAGGCTTTGGTGACGGGAAACCGGTAGGGGTACGTAGGGGGCCCTACGTAGACCACGAATATATCGAATGTACGAAGACGGTAAGACCGCTAACCAGTATGGGATAGGACGTAACGTACGCTCCCCGCCACGGCATCCCTCCAGCAACTCGCTCTTTTTCTATTTCTGTTTGACATGTCTACCTCAGACTTACCATCCCCGCCTGCCTCAGCTACCTCGCCTGGCCCCCCTCCCCAGCTGCCCGTCCGCCCTCCCCTCTCCCGCCCCCTCAGCGAAATTTCTGTCAACGAGCCCCGCTGGCGCACCTCCAACCGGTCCTCCGTTCATTCCTCCAAAACAACCATCGTCGCTTCACACAAAGGAGGCAGTCGTCCAGCTAGCCAAGTGAGGGATAAGGAGGATATTGAGAACGAGCAGGGTGCCATTGCTGCGCCAAAGAGAGTGAGCTCAGCTATGGGCCTGCCGCAGACCATCACCGTCAACTTGGCCGACTATGCAAAGACGGCACAGCACGCCCCGCCTTCGCCGCTGGCAGAGTCCAGCACTGCAGCCTCTCATGGCTCTGCCATAGGGCCCAACGCTGGTGCCAGCGCGAGCGCAAGCAAGCCAGAGCTGCCAAGACGGCCGCAGAGTGGATCATCAAGGCGAGACAGCAGGGCCAAAGCGCCCGAGGCTGATGGCGAGCAGCAGGCTGGCGAAGCAGAGTGAGTCCATGAGCATGCTGCATGGCGATCATCACTGACCAGATCCAGCGACAAGCATCAGTCGGCCATCCTGGTCGCACAGCGCACTTCCCTTCGTCCAACGACCTCTCGCCCGGCATCCTACGCTGAAGCGGCCAAGTCTCCCGCCACTGCGACCCCCTCATCTACCCTTCCTCTTGCTCACCCCGAGCCCCGCACTTCCTCTCTCGCCCCTCCAACCACAAAGTCGAAACCCTCATGGCTGAAACGAGGCGGCAAGTCAAAAAGTCCAGTCTCCAACGAAAATTCCCCCGGTCCATCTTCCAAACCCCACCCACCCGTCTTGCCACCACGCAAAAACAAGGCAAATGTCCCAGACTCTGCTTCCCTCGCCGATATCCAGTCCGTCTCCTCTTCCGACTCTATGGGCGCTCCCGATATATCAGACAAGACGTCGTACGCGTCGATAGCTTCCGGCCCTCCTCCGCTACCGCCTCGGAACAACGGGGCAGGTGTGAGGGGACGAATAGCCGCTTGGACGCAGGCTGCTGCCCAATCAGGCGGCATGACGAGGTCTGACTCGACTCAGAGTCTTGCTCCCCCTCGCCTCGCCCCGCAGCCTACCGGCACTTCACAGTACCGGATGCCTTCGTCCGCCTCGCGCGTCTTTGGTCACGCTGGCTCTGCGGTCTCGAAGGGGTGGGCAGGCTTGAGGTCAAAGGGGATGAACAGTAGCATGTCGATTGGGAATCTCAGCACCATCGCCCAGAACGGCCCTTCCCAAAAGTCGTCTCGTACGTCGCCCTTGGGTGGTGGGAAGCGCGACCGCCTTCCGTCAGATAATCAGGAAATTTCGGGCCCAATATTCGACCAAGAGATCGTCAAGCGACCTCCAGAAGGAAACGAGGGCAAGGTGTTTGGGAGGGAAATCGTGGATGCTGGAAGGGAATGGGGTGTGGTTGATGCTGGGTTTGAGGTCGACGGGCAGAGCGAGTGGGAGTCGAGGAGAAGAAAGTGTCTGCCGGCTGTTGTCGTGCGGTGTGTTGACTATTGTGAGTCTTTGATCTACCCAAGCAGACAGCGCTGATGGGAGCAGTGGAAATATGGGGACCTAAAGAAGAAGGCATCTTCCGGATCAGCGGCCGAAGCAGTCATGTGGCTACGCTGAAGAGAAACTTTGACTCTGGAGCGGATATTGACCTGGCGGACTGTCATCCTGGAGACCTTGATCCCCATGCTGTTGCTGGTGTCTTTAAATCGTATCTTCGAGAACGTGAGTACTGTCGTACAAGACCCAAGCTGTGCTGATATTGTCACAGTTCCTGCGCCCCTTCTGACGAAGGAGCATGGACCAAAGTTCGAGGAGCTTGTCGCCAAGAAGAATGAGAAAGTCCGGAAGGAGGAGTCAACAGAGCTGGAGGATGAAGAGTTTGCCGATCTGCTGGCTCAGTTGCCCCAGTCCCACTGGTTCTTGCTCTCCGAATTAGGTACGCCTGTATGTGGTCTCATTGCTGCCAGGCTAATGCTCTCACAGTCAAACTCCTCGACCTCATTCCCAAGCACAATGAAGTCAACCGTATGACTCTTAACGCCCTTATGCTCTCTCTCGGCCCCTCCCTCAACATCCCCGGGGCAGTCGTGACCGAGTTGATGGAGCGCCGCGACGTCCTGTTCGCTCAGCCGCCCCCTCCTTCAGTGCTTGAGGATGCGGCCGACCTTATCGACTTTGGCGATGTCGACATCCCCCTGTCCGCTGTCCCTCAATCCACCACCTCAAGCTCCTTCAGCTTGTCTTCCCTGCCGCCTAGCCCTATCGCAGACGATGTTGCTACGATGTCTGGATCAGTGAAGCGCAAACCTCCTCGCCTACCCACTCGCCCGAGTATCACCAAGCTCTTCTCTGGTAGTCAGGTCAACCTGCAAAAGCAAAAGAGTCAGGAGACATTGGCGAGCATAACGGACGTGGAGCCGCCGAGGGTAGATGTGACTGTCTCGCCGACGTCGCCGTTGCCTGCCTTTGACAAGAATGGGGAAGAGGTGACTCCGCACAAGCGCGATACGATCAGGGCGCAGACTGCCCCTGCCGAGATCCCCATTCCTGCTATCGCTTCGTCCATGACAATAGCGGAGATGGACCCGACCGAGGAGATACACTATGCCCCTGGTACGGTGGAAGAGCGTTCAAAGTTGTTCTCTGCCCCTGCCACTCCCACCAGTGCAGCCTCAACTTCCACACCGATAGCAGACCGATATACTGCCGGCCACTCGTTCTTCCCCTTCCTGAGAGCGCCAAAGGAGCAAGGGTCTGTCAGGTCAGCGAGGTCGTCGTCGTCGGTCGGGGCATTCGGCGAAGAACGTCCGGGAAGCGCTGCTGGCAGTATTGGATCGGGTGGCTCGGGGCCCAACCCTGTTTCAGTCATTCGCCGCGGTCCTCCCGTCTTCTTCCAGAGCTCCAACGTCGAAAGTCGGCATGTGAGGAGCATGTCGTCTGTACCTAGTGGCGACACTGGCAGGAGCAAGAGCCCCTCTTCCTCCAGGAGAAAGAGGAAGGAGGAGATGGCTGGGGAGGAGGATCAAGAGAAGAGGAACAGTAAGCGACTGTCTGCTGGACCTGGGGTCTTGGATGGCGTGGTGGCCTAGACGAGATAGTGTCTTGATCATGATTTTGGTGGCCTGGTTTTTGTAGTGATTTGTAGGCGATGGTTTCCTTTTCTCTCTCTTCGATCTCTTCGGTTGTTACGGCTCACACATATACGGAATTTCTCTCTCGATATAGATACCAATCAGTGTCTTTCGATACCCCGACTTTGATACATATACCCACCTACATACCCTGCTCTCTTCTCTCTTTGGTCTCTAGTATCTTCTGGTTACGTGTCACTTGTTCTTCATGTATTTGTCTGACTTCACTCGTACGGGAACGGATAAGCTCAAGCGGAAAGAGAAGTCGCCTCCTGCCGGCACGCGCCGCGCAAGGAAATGATGATGGCCTTCGGGCATGTGACTTGTTGACACGTTCACGCCTCGCCCACTATGTCACTTGTCGTCATTCTCACATGCATTGCAATTCCTGTCGTCCTATAAGAAGCACCTAGGCCGCATGGTCTCTTACTGCATACCGCTGTCCCGCCTTGTACTCTCTTGAACCAAAACAATTACGGACGGTCCTCAACAAATCTCTCAACACTCAACAGTCATTCACAACATGGTCTTTGTACGAATTGCCGCCCGAACCATTCCTCGAGCTTCGGCTCCTACTGCAAGTCCACCCGCTTCTGTCTGAGAAATCTCACATGTTGCTGACGGCTTGCGCACAGAGGCGATACGCCTCGACTATTCCTCCCGCCGGGCCTCCTCCTTCTGATGGCAGCAACAGCAGTGCGTGCTTCTTTTGATCAAGGTGGCGAAGATATCGCTGATCATTCTCAGTAGGCGGATTACTCCTCGGGGCGGGTGCTGTCGCGGCTATCGCAGGGTACTTCTACTATGCCAACAACCAGAAGAAGGTTGACAGCCAGATTCGAAGGGCTGACAACAAGGTAACCCCTGACTCTCATTTGTAGGCACATGAGTTGAAAGGCAGGGCAAAGGCTGATCTGGAAGACGCTCAACAGAGGGCTGCTAAGGCTCTCAAGTGACCATGACGCCATGCCCCTTGGTGTTGACGAAGAAGAAGATAATGGCACTGGAAAACACATGCACCGAAAGATATCATTGGTCTTTTACATTACAAGATTGAAGCTACAACGGTCATAAGAGCTCTGCACTATTTTCTAGTCGTAATCGCAGCAGTCGTGACTGGTATAGCACTGTCGATGAGCCCAGTGATCCGACGGCTTGTCTTTGACGACGTTGACGAGCTCTTGCCAAGCACCGTTAGGCATGCGGCCGACTCGCTTGGTCCTGGTCTCGATCTGCGCAAGTCCTAGGAGGTTTTCAGCGTACACAAAGTCCGCAGGAGAATCATACCCACTTTCAGCGGCCTTCATGATAGTTCCGTTCGGTATATAGCGCATCATCAACACCAGCTCACAGGCAATCTTGGCTATCTCATCCCACGCAGCTCGCTTGGGACCCGTTTTGGACTGTGTTTTGAGAGCTATGATTGCTATGTTACCTAGTAGTGCTTGCTCCCTAGAAAATGGATCAGATCTGACGTATACTAGTCCCAAGAGAGCTCACATTTGAGCGAGGCCGGTGGTTGTGGCGGTACCATACGACATGGACGAGTTTGCCGTCCATGGCCAGAGAGCAACGAGTCCTTCAAGATAGTGTTTAATAGCAGCATCATACTTGCTTGCCTTCCCGGCCCTTGATGATAATCAGCAAGGGTCCTCTCAGGTTTGTCTCAGGACTCACGTATTGCCTTTCGCTTTGTGCGCGCTAGCTTCTTCAACACTATCCGCCAACCCTTGTATATCTCTACTATCTACCTTGCTCTTCCACCTTTTAATTACAGTGCCGTTGCTCTTGCCCTTTGCAACGAGCTGAAGTGTCTTCTCGATATTGACCACAGCCTCAACCATACGGATGTTGACCATAAGATCGTAAGACTTGACGGCTCGGTGGTAATTTTCCACCAGGAAGGTCGGATTCGTTTGCGCTGCCTCGATGTATCTAGTCATCAAGTCAGCCAAGACGCGCCAACATCAAACCGAGGGAATGTCCGTACTGCTCGACCTCCAAATCATACTCCCGGACCTTCTCGTCCAGCCTCACTGCATCACTCCCAACATCCCATGTTCTGCACATACGCTCCACTACCTCCTCCTCGGGCTTATCCACCTCGCTTTTCCGAAGGTAATGCAACATCTGCACTCCCTGCTCGCCGCCCAAGAGCGGATCTGAAAATACTGACGCTGCTCGAGGAGCTGGGGAGATCATGCCGAGAGCTTGGGAAAGAGAGGGAGGGAGCCCGAGGAGGACGAGTTTACCGTCCACTTGTGCGAGGCTGAGCATGATGATTGTGTGGCGGACGGTAATCTTTCTGCTCGAAATCGCTTGAATAGACGGGGGGGGGGGGGGCAAGGGGAGATAAGATGTTGATAGCGACTCTCGGCTTTCGTCCTTTCGGCTTTCCTTCCACTGTGGTTGGTCACAAAGGACGGATACGCACCCGTGATGTGCCGGGATGGGAGGTCAATAGAAGGCTGATGACGACACCTTAGTGTGAGAAGTTGGAGGATTGATAAGTAGCTGATACATTCTACAAATTATACAAGACAAACATATTACCCTAGGTCGTATATCGTTATGTGAAGAAGACTCTTTTTTGTATTGTGGGTGGGCAAACAGCTGGTTAAACAGCAAACGACGCGCTGCGTTTTTGGAACGCAAGATTTCCCGGCGGTTGCGCAACTCGTCGAGTATATTCGGGAGCGCGTGCACGGGAAACCGGTTGGGGCATATGTCGAGAAAAAAAGCCAGGGTGAATTGGCATTTGGGATTGAGAAAATTTGATCGCAAAATTAAAAGTCGGCAGCGGGGGGGTTTGGAGGTGTTTAAGCGTCGAAAGGCTGAGGCTTGAAGGCTTGTTCGGTCTCGGTCTCTTCAAGATTGCTCCTTGGACCTTCGTACCATTTTCTGCCGGCGGCAATGTACCACACGAGCGAGAGGGCCATGACGGCCATGGTAATTGGGGCGGCGTAGTTGAAGGTGTCCCATGTGAGGGGGAAGGTCTCGGGGAAGCAGAGGATGGTGACTTCAAACAGAGTCCAGAGAACCCTATCATATGATGTCAGCGATGTAGTGGGAGAGTGGGAGATGAGACGCACATGATGATGTTGACAGGGTAGCCCCATTTGCCCATGTAGAAAGGTCCAGGCTTGAATTGAACTTCGGGGTGGCCTTCGAAGACTCTTCGGCAGATGACCGGGATGATATAAGACAAATCCATGGCGACAGCGCACTGCGGCACATCAGCACCCTATCTCCCTCTTCTTCGGCGTGTACTTACCATAGAGAAGACAGCATTCACAGCCGTCAAACTCGCAAAGGACAGACATCCCATCAACGCACTGATACCGACAACCAGCCATACCGCATAGATCGGTGTCTTTGTCTTCTCATTCACGATACCAAAGAGACCCCTATCCGGCAAAGCACCGTCCCGGGAAAACGCGAATACGGTTCTAGAGTTGGCTTGAAGAGCAGTTTGGACGGTAAAGGTGGCGACGAGGCAGGTGAATGACCAGAGGACCATAGCACCGGCCGTACCCATGCGCAACTGCATGATGCCCAGGAAGGCATTTCCAGATGGACCGGGGAGTTGGGCGACGTCGCCGGCACAGATGCAGAGAGCGATGTTGAGGATCCAACCGATAGCCTAAGAGCTAGATGTCAGTGAGATGATGAGATGTGGGAGAGAGATACTGACACCGGTGTTGATGACGGCTACAAAGATGGCCACGGGAGCAGCGATGGCAGCCCGGTGGACTTCCTCACTAATGTGCGCAGCTATATGGCATGTCAGCGGGGTTCATAAGCGTGTGAAGCCATACACACCGGCATCGTAATCCGTCATAGTCCATTGCACGGACAGCAGTCCCATAGCCACCGCCAACCCATTACTGGCCCAACCAGAGTTGTTGGACACATCAGTAAATACATAGCTCCCAGGATGCATTTCACTTCGAGGGGTGCAGGCGAGAAGGGTAATGACGATGACGATGGCAGCCTACAAAACATTAGCAAAGTGCAAGACGTTGGGCGGTATACTTACTCCGATGTTGATGAAGACGAAACCTCTAGTCAAGCGCGCAAGACTGGCTGTGGGGAGAGAGTTCAGGATACCGTGTATGGCCAGAAGCCCGATGAAAAGAAGGAACTGGTGCCAGTTTACAATCTCATAATCGTCTCGGCACACCACTACGGCGGCAAGAATCATCTACGCCCTTGTCAATAAAACTTTTCACGATCAGAAGGACATACGCACACCTGAGAGACCCCATTCCGTTGAAGCAACACCAGCAATTTGTCCCAAAGTGTTCATGTAACCGGTGACCCATCCGACACTGCACCATGGTCAGCTACAGATATCTCCGAGCACGTTCCAAAACTCACAGGGGCCTCCACCGCCGTGGGCACAGAGCAGATGAAGCCTGAATTACATCATCAGTTTCGTTGTCTTGCGTACTCGAGAGGGGATATATTCACAGTGTAGACACCACCAGCAGTAGGGTATGCAGAGACCAGTTCAGCTATTGAAGCACCCAAAGATATATTCACTGGACATGATATGAGTACAATTGATAGCACAAAGCAAGCAAAGGACGCTGTGACTCACTGATAGAACCCGCAAACCAGCACCACCTTTGGGACAAACAGATAAGATTAGCACGTGCGATGCCGAGTGTCTCATTGGACCGAAAAATAAGTATGCTCACACGACAGAGGCAACACCTCCTAATGAAAGGGGAGTTGTGAAAGTAGTGGCGATAGAGGCAGTCATACTAATATGGGTCAGTGCCATCACATATTGCACTCAAGAATACATACCCCATGATACTACCACTCTGTTAGCATTGTTGCGCGTAAAGCCGCAAATGTCAAACTCACCTCATGGCAAAACTGAAAGTCTCCAGGTTGCCAAATTCTCTGATAAACTCAGACTTGTATCTAAAAGACCCATCAGTACTTGATTGAGATCTCCTAGGGCTTACCTCGCAGCGCTAGACCACGAGAAAAGGAGACGCACCCAAGCTGCGCCAGGACGGCATCGTCGTCGCCGTCTGAGCTCGCATTGCGGACTTCGGGCGACAGGTCGCGAAGGTCGGGAGAGGATTTGGATTTGCCGTCAGCCATGATACGCTGAAGGGGACGGGGTGGAGCAACTTGTGTTGAACTTCTTTTGGTGCAAGATAAGAGGCGGATTCAAAACTGGCTGCTGCCTGCTGCTGACGCTGGCGGGCCCCATTCTGCTTATGTAATACATTTTGACTCCGCCGAAAATGACTCGCGGTGAACAGATCAGGTTGATGGTGGGATGTCAAAGTTGCAAGTCACAAGCCACTTCTGCAGGAGCACGGCTGCCCCGTTCATATCTATACCCACTAGACCGCTATATGCTCCGAGCGCCCCTCCTGCGATCGTTAGTCTCTCGAAAATCAACATACACACCACTCTTTTCCCTCGCCAGAATGTCCACCGCTGCCGAGATCAACGAACAGATCGCTGGTCTCCAGAGCCGTATCAAGGAGCTCAAGGTCGCCAAACAAGATGCTTCCAAGGAAGTTGACTCGATGAAGAGCCTCAAGGAGCAGCTCAAGGCCGTGCAGAAGGATCAGGGCCCTAGCACTACTCAGACCTTGCAGCTCAAGACCCCCAAGGGTACCATTGACCACAAGCCTGAAGCTGCCTTGTTGCGCAAGAAGATCTTCTCTACTCTCGAGGGTATCTTCCTCAAGCACGACGCTAGTACCATTGATACTCCTGTCTTTGAGCTCAAGGAGATCTTGGCTGGCAAGTACGGAGAGGACTCTAAATTGATCTACGACCTTGCCGACCAAGGCGGTGAGCTTTGCTCTTTGCGATACGACTTGACCGTAAGTTATATTTCTCTCCTGCAAAGAGCCCTGCTGAATACTTGCAGGTTCCCTTTGCCCGATACGTTGCCATGAACGGTCTCTCCTCCATCCGTCGATACCACATCGGAAAAGTCTACCGCCGAGACCAACCGGTCATGACCAAAGGTCGTATGAGGGAGTTCTACCAGTGCGATTTCGACATTGCCGGGCCTTGTGACCCTATGGTCTACGACTCTGAGGTCCTCCGTGTGTTGTGCGAGTCCCTAACTTCCCTCGACATTGGCGAGTACACTGTCAAGATCAACCACCGAAAGATCCTTGATGGTATCTTCCAGCTCGCTGGTGTGCCTGCGGACAAGACCAGACCGATCTCTTCGGCGGTTGACAAGCTTGACAAGCTTCCTTGGGCCGACGTCAAGAAGGAGATGACTGTGGAGAAGGGTTTGGATGAGAAGGTTGCGGACAAGATTGGAGAGTATGTTGGTCTGAAGGGTGCGTTCTCGTCATACCTTTCATGTCGTCGATACTGATGGTCAACAGGCCCTGGTCTTGAGGTCCTTGCCAAGCTCCAAGCCGACACTGCCTTGACTGCCATTCCCCTCGCCAAGCAAGGTCTCGACGACATGGAAATTCTCTTCCGATACTTGCAGGTCTACAAGGTCCTCGACAAGATGAGCTTTGACATGTCCCTCGCCCGAGGTCTTGACTACTACACCGGTATCATCTACGAAGCCATCCACGAATCCTCTGCCCCTCCCTCCAAGGCCCCCGTTCCCTCTGTCCCTGCCCCCACTTCCACCTCCTCCGCCACCCCTGCTTCCAAACCTAAAAGGTCCAAGAAGGACGCCACTGTGAACGAAGACGGTGTGGACGAGTCCACCATCGGCGTGGGCTCCATCGCTGCTGGTGGTCGATACGACAACCTCGTCGGCATGTTTGCCAGCGCTACTGGCCGAAAGGCCGAGCAGGTGCCTTGTGTTGGTATGTCTGTGGGTGTCGAGAGGGTGTATTCGATCATCGAGATGAGGAGGAAGAAGGCTGAGGAGAAGGTTAGGGGTAAGGAGACGGAGGTGTATGTGCTCGGATTGGGAGGTGTGCCTATCGAGAAGAGGATGGAGTTTGCGACTTTGCTCTGGGATGCTGGTATCAAGGTGAGTCTGCACCACCATTTGCCGTGGCGCTGCTAACGTTGAAAAGACCTCGTTCTCGCCCAAGGTCAACCCCAAACCTCAGCCTCAATGGAACCAGGCCGACGACGACCTCGTCCCCTTCATCGTCATCCTCGCTCCCAAGGAGCTGGAAGCTGGTACCGTCCGTATCAAGCAACAGGTCGGCAAGGACGCTGCCGGTGACAACAAGGGCGAGGAGGTCAAGGTCGAGGACGCTGTGCAGTACTTGAAGCAGAAGTTGGCTCAGATTTAGAAGAAACGAAACGATAGATGGGTCAATGCTTTATATGCATATAGTCACAATGTGTTTCGGTCATCCACGGTATAACCTGTCATTCTCTCCATCCTCGCTAGAGTCATCCTCGCTCTCCGTCCCCTCTGTCCCATCCTCACTCTGCGTCTCCTCATCATACTCATACTCTTGCATCAGACTCCCACTCTGCACCCCCAATTCCCTTCCAGCCACAACCTCTTCACCGCTTTCACTAGCGCTCTCGTCTTCAGATTCCGACTCGGACTCTGTCTCACTATCCAAGAACGAGTCGAGATCTTGGAACTTGGCCTTGGCAGGCTGAGGTACTTGACCCGATGCTGGGGAAGCAAGGACCGGTGTGCTGGTGACGGTGCCAGGCAATGCCCGCCGTGGGAGCTGGCCGGAGGAAGACATGTGCAGAGGTGCTGGGGGTACGCCATGATTCTGCGCCTGGGAAGAGAATGAAGTAGGCGTCGGAGTCGACTGCGTTTTCTCCAGCTGTGTCTTGTCAGAAACATCTTTGGGTCAAGGAGAGAGGACACACTTCAGAATCACGCAGCGTTCCATCTGTAGGATCATCAGTCCACCCTTGCAGTTCTTCATACCCCTTCAGCTTTTTACCCGCTACGCGCGAGGTAGTAGCGACGTCAAAGTCTTGCGCACCACCCTTACGGGTAGATACCTCGGTATCGCCAGTTGTGGGTTGCTGGTTCAGAACAACAAACTTGACTTGTTCGCGGCGGAGGACGACACCGCCTGTATCTTCTTCTTCCTCTGCCGGACCATCCTCGTTCGCCGGCTTCTCCACCCGAACACCTCTCAGGAGGGTATGCAAAAACCTCGCCCGATCCCTCACATCCCAATCCGCATCATACCTCGCCATCCCCCACAGATACTGCCCCATCAACTCCAACTGCTTATTTCCCGGAACGAGCACCGTCACTTTCGTCATCAACGTGACGATCTGCAATTTGGCAGCTGTGCCTTCTTCTTTAAACCCTTTCACACCCTTCCTGAGGACATCCGGCACCCAGAGGGAGACGCCTTCCCAGCCGAGACCTTGTTTGGCAGATTCGAGGGAGGGATCGAGGGCGGCGAATTGGCCGACGAGCCAGAAGACGCTAGCGCGGGCTTTGGGATTGAGGATGGTCTCGAGCCCTTTGGCTAGGCGGGCTACGAGGTGTTGGGGGGAGGGGCAAGTGGAGGGGAGGGAGCTAGAGAGGATCACTGATTTGAGGACTGTGACTGCCTGGGCCACCAGTGTTTCTGAAGAAGATGTCAGCCTTCATGTGGCGCCATTCAGCACAAACGATGCTCACCTCTATCACTTTTGAGAAGTTTCATCAAAGCCCCGAGTCCTTTGCTAGCCACCTCAGACTGACTCGTGAAGCATGCTCCTATAACGCGCACGACACCTTCCGCGACGCTGTCATCAGGTAACCTAAGGTAGTGTTTGAATTCACGCATGGAGGCGGCAGCGTTTTCGGGGGTGATGAGTGCGCTGAGGGCCCGGAGTTTGGATTTTTGGATGGAGGGAGGTTCAGAGGAATGGAGGAAGAATGAAGCCTGGTAGGGGATGAATAGCCACTATGCTACAGATCAGTGACCAGCCTGTTGGGCAAGACAAAGCGACGTACAGACCGTTCTTCAGTCATCTCCGCCAACACCTCCCAGCTCAACACAGCAATCTCCTCCCTCCCCACATTCCCACCCGAGCTTCCCGCAAGTCTCAGTAGAGGCCTCACAAGCAGCTGCTGCCCCACGAGCTCGTGCCCTGCTGGGGCGAGGTGCCAGTATGCTTTGGCGGTAGCCAGTGTGACGGCAGGGTTACGCGAGTTGAAGAGGGGTTTGATACAATGTAAGAGCATGGCAAGATCAACGTCGAGGCCCTCAAACTCGTCTTCGCTGTCATACTCTTGTTTCTCTCCATTCGCCTTCTCAGTCTTGGGCTGAGGCTTGACGGCACCAGCACCATCGGGCTTCTCGAGCATAGCTCTAGCATACCTGACGAGCACTTCGAGAGCGACTGCTTGTCCCCACTCATCTGCATCGACGACAAGGTTGCAAATGTGCCGGAAGTAGGGGTGGAGAAGATCGAGTCTTTCGGGGCAGATCTCCATGAACGCCGTGAGGGAAGCACCGAGCGTCAGAGGGGAAGAAGAGGAGAGCAGTGTTTGCAGGAGGGCGATGAGCTGGGGAAGGGTAGAGCTGTCGAGTTCGTAGACCTTTGAAAGACCCCCAGCGACAGTCTTGCGCACCCAAGGATTGCGGTCATTGACAAGCTTCTTGAGGCCCAGCATGACGATCCCTTGAATGACTGGCACTCGGATAGAGGTCAACACCCGGAGCGACATTGACCTAATAAGAGGCGAGGGATCGGACAGGTCTTTCTGGAAGGTATTGATAGACAACAAGACGAGGTCCGAGTTTGTCGAAGCGAACCTCAGCAGGTAGATGTATACGAGCTTGCGGATCTCGATGCTTTGCGACACGACATTTTTGACGACTTGGGCAAAGAAGGGCTCCATGTCTCTCCCCTTTGACATGCCTGCGATGATACGCTTCATCCCCTCGAGCCTTTCAGCATCACTTCTACTCTCGAGAAGCTTGGTGATCTCCTTGAGCTTGTCATCCGAGGTGTCAAAGTAGGTGGTCGAGGAGCCTGTCCCGGTGAGGAGGGAGAGATCGCGAGTCGTCTCCTGGAAGTTTTCCTTGATCCTCTGGGAGAGACGGTTGAGAGCGGCCATGTTGAGCCCTGAGATGTAGGAATACAGACAGATTTGAAGCAGAGTCGAGGTGACACCTGGCCGGATCAGGTCGACAAAAGTGGTGACGGGGAAGGGGAATGCCCAGCTACGCAGCCGGTGCATCGGTCGGCCCCTGCATTGCCAAGTCGGGCACATTTTGCATCTCCCTGCCCATTTCTTTATCTTTGACATAGCTCACCTGGGCTAGACTCTTGCAGAGTTCAGACACACCGACAGGTCAATCCATCCACCTTGGCTCACATCTCGCCACGCGCGCCCGACCTGGCCCTGCCATGTCCAGCCTATCTTCCATCTTGCTGCTGTGGTGCAGCCTGATCATCGCATGCTATGGGTTCAGAGGTGAGTGCAAGACCATCTCTTGTCTTCAATTCACGGTCAGAAATTGGCGGGATCATTGCTGACCGTGCCGCAGTCCCCATTAGCGATACCGACAACCTGCGAGAAGTATGTTCGGGAATGTATGGAGGCAAGGAGGCCTATATAGATAGTGAGTCTTTGGAAGCTATCAAGAATGATACTGACGATCTACAGTGGCATTCGATGAATCCTCGTCAGGCCAGGTTGCATTGGTGATCTATGAATGGTCCGACGTCCAGTACTTGGGTGCGCAGGGAGACGATGACCTCGTGAGACGACACCATATTCAAGAGAGCATCAGCTGATAAATAGCAGAGAACATATATCTGTACCACCTCGGCTGTCCGTTCCGGGCTTTGTACCGACTCCAACATGGGCGGATTCATCACTACCTACCCCGAAGGTGTTGACACCAACGCCACCAGCATCTTCACCACCCCTCTCCGCTTTTCGAACGTCTTTTCCTCCATACCCTCATCGGACGAGGACGAATCAGTCGAGGCGTCAGCCACTACGTCTGCAGAGTCTGCTGAAGAGACTGGGAGTACAGAGTCTGAGAGCGAGGAAGAGTCGGCAGAGGGTTTGGATGCGGAGAACGAGTACGAGGAGGCTGCAAAGTTGGCAGAGTCGGTGGGAGATATTGAGGAGCGAAGGGTGACTGCTAGAGACAGGGAAGGTGTGGCACCCCTCTACACCAGCCCGATCACCTACGCCGTGCCCAAGACCGGGTACTACTGCGTTGGCATCGTGCCCGTCACATTGGTCAACTCCAAGCGAGACCTGACGAAGCGAGAGGCGACTCATGCCGAGTATTCTGGTGTTGTCTTGTTCAGAAACACGTTTGAGGGAGAGTTGCCTGCTGTCGAGTATCCCAAGATCGGCGTGAGTGTTTGGAATATATGTCACAAGAAGAAGCTCATCAAGCTACGTAGTTCTATCTGTCTCTTAGCATTGTCTACTTTTTGCTCGGCTGTGGCTGGGCATACTTTTGCAGTAAACACCACCGCGAGCTGCTGTACGTCACACTACCAAGTCCAATATTATACCGCTAACACAATCTCAGGCCCATGCAATACTACATATCCGGCACCATCGTCTTCCTCGTCATCGAAATGCTCGCCCAATTCGCATACTACCGCTACATCAACAAGAATGGCGGTGGCGCCACCTCCCTCGCCTTCCTCTTTGTCATTGCCGTTCTCAACGCTGCGCGAAACTCTTTGAGCTTCTTCTTGCTGTTGATTGTCAGTATGGGGCTGTCGGTGGTGACGCAGAGCTTGGGGACGGTCATGACCAAAGTCAGGATTCTGACTGCACTTCATTTCATCTTTGGAGGTGAGCCTTGTATTTTAAAATTGGGGAGCTAGATCTGACATCACCTAGTTGTATACGCCGTTGGAACCGTCCAAGTCGAGATCGACGTAAGTAACTCCATCCACACCAATACAAGCCCCACTGACTCTCTTCGCAGAACGCCTCCCTACTCACTGTCCTACTCCTCATCTTCCCCCTCTCCCTCACCCTCACCGCCTTCCTGATGTGGATCATCGTCTCCCTCAACGGCACCATACTGCACCTCCAAGCCCGCAAACAGCGTTACAAGCTTCAAATGTTCCAGCGTTTGTGGCGGATCTTGGTCGTCAGCGTGATTGCTGTGGCGGCATTCTTTGTCGTCTCGAGTATGAGTCTGTCCAATCGTTTGGATGAAGGTGAGTCTTCCCCCACAAAAAGGTTAGGTTCGAATGGTGGCTAACAGGAGACCGGTAGATTACACCCCAAGCAGCTGGAAATACCGCTGGATCCTCCTCGACGGATCGCTCGCCACCATCTACCTCCTCGCCTTTGCCGCTATCGCCTACCTCTGGCGTCCCACGCGCGACAATCTCCAATTCTCCATGTCCCAAGAACTCGCCCAAGACGAGGCGGACGCAGATGCCGAAGACTACGAGTTTGACGCTCTCGACCTCGAATCCGGTCGAGGGCGTGGTATGGGGCACCAGCCTCTGGGGCAGGATGATGACGATGAGGAGGAGGAGGATGTGAGAAAGGGGCTTGTTAGGGGTACGCATGGGGTCGGGGAGGAGAATGTCGTTTTTGCTATGGGAGATGATAGTGATGAAGAAGAGGAAGGGAGGAGGAGCAAGGGTGGGTATAGAGATAGTGAGGAGGCGGGTGGGAGCCGTAGAGCGTCACCGAGTGAGAATAAGGGCAAGAATGATTAAGGTGTGCTGTCTTGAGTGTAGCAGATGGAATGGGGGTAGAGTGGAGGATAGAGTATCTTTTTCATTCATGTACAAGCTATACCCAAGTGCCGCAGGAACCCAAACCCCATAAACCCAGAGATAGTCACCATAAGATCATGAACCCACAGGCCCGCTCTCACCCTTCAGCCGCATCCCCTTTGTATAAGCACTGCTCCCCAGACTTGTCCTCGCCGAGAGAGGCGAACATGGCGGCGGCCCCTCCAACCCGCTCCCCACCGTATTGCTCAACGTGCTCAGACCCGATATGGTGATATCCACCCTGTCCCCCGTCTTCAAAAACTCGCCCGAAGACAGACATACCCCAGCGGGCGTCCCTGTGGCAATAACGTCTCCAGGCTGGAGGGTGGTGCCCATGGAGCAGGTGGCGATGAGGGTGGGAATGTCGAATATCATTTGGTCTGTACGGGCTGCTTGGCGGAGTCTGCCGTTCAGTCGGGTTTCGAGGGTCATGCTCTTCCAGTCGAGTACCGAGGCTGATCAATGATGAGTATAGGGGAGCATGGGGACGAAGGAGTGCTTACTGTGGACGGCGAAGGGACCCATGGGACAGAAAGTGTCGAAAGACTTGCCGATGTAGAATTGTTTATGATCCTTTTGCCGTTCACGGGCTGTCACCTACTCTTCATTAGCCCTGCTCAACATCTTTGATCCTCGAATGCTCACGTCGTTGATGATAGTAGCCCCCCAAACATGATCCCAGGCGTTCTCTCGGGAAATGCCAATACCAGGTTTCCCAACGATGATGGCGAGCTCTCCTTCGTAATCCAAAGACTGGGTAAGCTTTGGGTGAGGATATATCTCGTGTTTGTGGCCAATGATAGAAGTTGAGCGCTTGGTAAAGATCACTAGAATCGCGTCAGATACTGGAATACAGAGTGAGGGAATGGGCACCTGGGTAATCTGGCTGAGCCTTGTTATCGCTGTGATCATAGCCACTCTTGTGGAACTCTCTGCAAGCCGTGTCAGCTGATACGATATCATCTCCCATCTCCCATCTTACTCTGCATGCTCCTTGTAGTTCTTTCCAACACAGATCACATCTCGCCCCCTCAACGGCGCCAACACCTCCACCATATCAAGTCTCTCCATCGGCGCGCCATGGAGCAGATGCCTATGCGTCGCGTCCCACTCTTCGATAAGCTGGTGCATATTCCGGACAGGCGTATTGTCAGGGAACCTCAGAGGGGTCACATGTTCTTCGCTGGGGTCGACGAGACCTATGATGCCCTTGGGATGAAGCCCAGAGCGGTCTACCAAGTGATCAGTCGCGTCGCCAGAGATATGGGGGTGGACTGACAGGAGATGAACTTCATGGAGGAGTCTGTGGATCCCCTGCGGTTGCGGAGTTTGTCGAAGAAGGACATGGCTGGTGAGTTTGTAGATGGTAAGATGATCGGTGAATCAACTTCCGATTGGCTGTGCCTCCCTCGGATTCTCGGAGTCTCCGCGTACCTGGCCGGCTCATGGCCGTAATGTAAGCCGGGTGCTTTGTTGACAATTTATACTTCCAACGTCCCCATGAACAGCGGTGCCAGACTGGTCTGCCTATGGACATTGCGTTCTGCGGCTGCGAATGGGCTAGTCGACGTTGCAGGTTTTGTACTGGAAGAACAACATGGCGGCACCGCTCAGTGATGCAGCGACTTGCAGTAGTGCATCGTCAAGAGGGATGATCGATATGAGCAGTGTTGGAAGGCAGACTTACCTTTGCTTTGGCTCTGGGTATCACTCATCACCAGAGCCGACCACCAAGTTGGCTGACTCTTATCACAATCACCAAGGATCTCCTGATAACCAGAGCGACTCTTTTAAGCCCCACAGGAGCCCCGTCGATCGGCCGACGAAGGTATTGCATCATAGAGCATCCTGACAAGCCCAATAACGCTTCCACAAAGCATCTTGACATTTGCATTTATACATGCGCATCCCCTCCATCTCCATACTAAAACGATCCATCATGACACAAGCCCTCAGCGATTCCTGGGTGCCCTTCACCCTCGTCGACACCACCCAATACAACCACAACACTCGCAAGTACCGATTCTCCTTTCCCGATGGGGAAGACAAGGTGATCGGAGGTGAGGTGGCGATGGCGTTGGGTATCAAGCCGGAGGATGAGCATGATATCAAGGATGATAAGGGGAATCCTGTTATGCGGTGAGTCTGCTTTGTCGGCGAAGCTGGGATGATTTTGGAGCTGATTTGGGGGTTAGACCTTATACACCCATCTCTCCTCCCGGGACCAAGGGCCACGCAGACTTTTTGATCAAAGAGTACGCCGTAAGTACACCCCACCCAAGCCCCACATGCCCGCGTCCTTTGACTAGCCCCTCAGAACGGCAAAATCTCACCTTACCTCGCCTCCCTCAAGCCCGGAGACACCGCCCTCTTCAAGGGTCCTTTCCAGAAATTCGTCTACCAGCCCAATACGTTTGACCGTGGACTCTTAGTATCACCCCGTTCATCCAGCTCATCAGGCATTCGCTCAAGAAGCCCGAGGACAAGACCAAATGGACGCTTTTGTATGGTAATGTGACAGAGGAGGACATCTGTGAGTCTTATACCATCCTGGGAAGGTGTCGTTGCTGATAGGCCATAGTGCTTCGCGAAGAATTCGACGAGTTGCTCAAACAGCACCCCGACCGACTGGCGATCCACCACGTCATCGAAAAGCCCTCTTCCTCCTGGACCGGCGACAAAGGCTACATCACCGCCGAGACCATCCAAAAGGCGTTCCCCCGCCCCGAGGGTAGTCAGGAGACAGTGAGGGCGTTCGTGTGTGGGCCGCCTGGGCAGATGAAGGCGATTTGTGGGATGAAGGATGGGATGAAGCAGGGGACGTTGGATGGGGCGTTGAAGGATATTGGGTATGAGCAGAGCGAGGTGTTCAAGTATTGAGCATGTAGAGTGACAGAAGTAGAATATCAGAAGTATACAGATGCACCTCAGCATGTTCAGTCAGCATTACAATCATCGTCTAGAAATCGCACAAAGTAGAAAAACAAATCCGTTTCATAACCATCGTGGCACAAGTTTAGCGACTTCTAGTAACATACAAAACGCTCCCTCACTCCCCTACAACGCCGGCACAGTCCAAGTTCTCACACACCCGTCCGCACCAGCGCTCACAAGCTTGGTATTACCAACCCACGAAACACCAGCCACACCCCCCGGATGAGCATTCTGCACCCCCATTAGCACCCTTCTCAATCTCCTCATGACAGGAGACTCACCTTGATAGCGATATTGTTCAACTGCTTCTGCGTATCCCAAACATAAATCGCCTCATCCAACCCCGCCGACGCCAGCCTCCTACTATCCCTCGCCCAGCTCAGCGCCACCACCCGTCCCGTATGGAACGTCCATTTACTCGTCACCGCCGTCTTCTTCTCTTCCACATCTACCAAAATGATCCTGCCCGCCGCGTCGGCGGATGCGAGATACTTGCCATCGGGGGAAAAGGCGAGAGAGAGGATATCGCCCTTGTTGTCTGTGAATGTCGCGAGCGTGGAGGACGGGAATGTGGATGAGAGGGTGAGGGTCTTGCCGTTTGCGGATGCGATGAGATCAGAGTTTGGCCCGGAGTGGACAGCGACGGCAGAAGTGCCCTCAGAGGAGATGGTGGAAGGGGAAGGGCCAGAGACGGAGAGGTCGGCGGTGGTGGAGATGTAGACGTTGTCGGGGGTGACGGCGAGGCCGGTCGGTTGGGCTTTGGTGGGGATGGAAGTGGAGGTGAAGGCGTTGTTTTCGATAGAGGAGACCTTGTCGTCCCAGCCGGCGGACCAGACTTTACCTTTCCCGTCCGAAGTGAGGGCGGCGACCCGGGCGGTGTGACCGGTCCCTTCGACATCGCCACACGTCCCTTCCTGCTCTCCATACCCTTCTCCGATATCAAACTTCTTCAAGCTGCCGTCAAACGACCCAGCAAAGAAGGTCGCGTGCCTTTCATCGCTCTCTGTCAGAGTCGATGCTGTGACAGCTTTAGTAGGTCCGTGGAGGATACGCCATTTGGAGGAAGAGGATTCGCGAGTGTCAAAGATGTTGAGCGCGCCAGAGAGGGAGACGGAGACGAGAGTGTTGGGGCTGGCGTAGACGACGCCGTTCTGTTGGGCAGAGACGTCGGAGCCGACGTTGTATGTCTGGGCGGATTTGAGGGTGGATGCGTCCCCTAAGGAGCGTTAGATTGATCAAGAATGTTGTGTATGACTTACAAATAGAGACGATTCCATCAGCACCAGCGGTAGCAATTTTGCTGCTATCAGGGCTCCAAGAGCACGCCATCTACAGAGATAAGCTCGGTTTCGGCCAACACACTCAGGCTCACCAAACTAGAAGTACCTTCCCTCTCAGCCTCCCCCTTGAGCTCTCCCGTCTTGCCCTCATAGAAGAACAGCTTTCCGTCACTAGCCACAGATGCAAACAAGTCTCCGTTAGGAGAAAACGCCACATCGCGGACGAATCGAGTATGGGTGTTGATCATCTTGTCATACTTGAACGGCACAGCATTGTGAAACACGAGCGAATTGTCGTCAGAACCAGAAATGGCTCGGAATGGACGCTGCTGGCGTACAGACAATGCCGTGATTGGCTTTGCGTGGCCTGCAATCTCACCGCAAGAAGACCCAGTGTCGGTCAAGAAGGCAGCACCAAACTTGTCCTTGCCTTCACCTCCGACGATGATTCGCTTGCTCTCGCCGTCCCATGCGAGGTCGTTGATCTTGCCGCTCAGAGGGCGAGTAGCGAGTTTCAAGATGTTTTCCGTCTGGGTGACGTCCCAGATGCGGACGTTACCTGCTACATCGGCAGAAGCACAGTAGTAGCCCGAGGGCGAGAAGCGGGCGACGGTGGCGTTCTGGGTGTGCTGGGTGTATACGTGGGAGAGGCCAGGGTGCTGAGATGTATCAGCACTGCACCTATGGATGAATCGAGACTCACATTGAGGTCACGGATGACAACAGCACGGCCATTGGTATAGACGATGCGTTCGCCCTTTGGGTCTACGGCGAGCTTGGTGGACTCTGAGCGTGCTGTGGCTGGGTTTGCGGGATATACGGGGCCTGCTGTGAAGGACATGGCGGTGATGACCGTTGGCTGACCGTTCTGAGTTTCTGACCGTCGCTTGACCGTCGCCCATCTCCATCTCATCCCCGTCGCGTCGGCGCCCCCCGCCCCGTGCCTCCACTTTCGTGCCTGGGATGTGACCGGCCGATGATGGTCGTCCCGAAAAGCCTCTCACTGCTTTTGCTGCATTTTTGTCGGCTGACCCGTCTCCCCTCACTACCACTTTCATCCGGCTGGCTAAGATTCACCGACATTGTATTCTTGCCTTTGAATTATCTGCTTTCAAGCCTGGGAAACTTGCCTGTTCCTCTTCAAAACATCAAGCCTAAAAGCAGCTCTCGGACAAGCTTCGAACAAGCCTACCATTGTTATCTCTCGGGGCTCCACCGACAGCTCTCCGTGACAAGTCAAAATGGCTCCTACACCAAAAGCCATCGTGCTTACGGCTTTCCTCGCTCTCGTCTTGGATCTCCTAGGTATATCTACCTTTGATCCACGTGTCCGAACTAGCTGACACCACCGCAGCATTCACCATCCCCCTCCCCCTCTTCCCCCGTCTGATAGAATGGTATCTCGCCAAAGACACCTCCCCAACATCCCTCATCTCCCGCTCCCTGGCCTTCTGCAGTAGCATCCGGAGCACAATACACTCCCTCCAGCCTGCTTCTGTCTCGGCGGTCACTTCCATCCACAAGGGCAGCAAGAACTGGGATGTGGTTTTGCTCGGAGGTATGATGGGGAGTCTGTTCAGTTTCTGCCAGTGTATCATCAGCCCCTGGCTTGGTAGACTGTCAGACAGATACGGCAGGAGAAAAGTGCTGCTAGCGACCATGGTGGGCAACATTGCGTCGGCTGCTATCTGGATACAGTCTACCTCTTTCGAGTCTTATATCCTCTCCCGCCTGGTGGCAGGGTTGAGCGAGGGGAATGTGCAGCTGACGACTGCCATCATTGGTGACGTGACGGACGCTGCCTCGCGGTCAAAGTCGCTCGCCCTGGTTGGGATAGCATTCTCCATCTGCTTCACTTTCGGGTACGTCCTACCAAATCATTCTGATATGACAGCTGACACCCACGTAGTCCCTCCCTCGGCGCATACTTTGCAACCCGTCCTCTCCCTCTCGCCACCTCTGAAGACAAATACAACGTCTACGCCATGCCCGCTGCCATCTCCCTCGCCCTCCTCGTCTTGGAAACCCTCTATCTCGCTGCAAAACTACCCGAGACCAAGGGCTACAAGCTCGAACAAGCCAAGGCAGAGCAGAAAGAGGGCGAGGCGGCGGCATTCATCCCGGAACCAAAGGATGTGGTGGAAAAGATGGGCAGTTTGGACAAGCTGAAGGATTGTACGAATTTGCATGGGCTTTTCCTGCTGTTCTTCTCTGGAGTGAGTACTCTCATCGTCCAAAGACGAGATGCTGACCATCACAGGCCGAGTTTACCCTCACTTTCCTCACTTACGACATCTTTTCAGCTTCCAACGCCTACAACGGCAAGCTCCTCGGATGTAAGCCCCTCCGCCCCTCTTCCGACCTCAACTGACCCATACACCAGTCATCGGTATCCTCGCAGCCATGATCCAAGGCCGCTACGTCCGTCCCCACATGGCCAAAGTTGGCGAGCTCCAAGTCGCCCTCTCCGGTATTCTGTCCTGCACCATCGGCCTCCTCCTCATCTCCGCCATCCCCTTCTTCACCTCCTCTTCCTTCACCGCCCTACCCCATATCCTATTATATGCCGGGGCAACATGTTTAGCGTTCACGAGTGCGACAGTCGTCACAGGGCTCACAGCGGCCGCTGCGGGGTGTTGCGACGAACGGTTCCCTCAACTCCAACGTGGCCGGGCTATGGGCAAATTCAGATCCAGAGGCCAGCTGGGCAGGTCTGTTGGGCCTTTACTAGCTTCAGGGTTGTACTGGATCAACGGCCCTTCAGTAGCTTACCTGACGCTGGGAAGCATGTTGGCGGCTGTGTTGATGTTTGCGCCCAGGGGCGGGGTGGAGGGGTACAGGCCGTGGAAGGGGAAGAGCAAGATGCAATAGAGATGAAATGATGTGATGTGATGCATTTATGACCACCCCACCACCATCCTCTCGACGCCGTACTGATCTTTCCACACTTCTGTCCTGCCTACAACCTCGCTTTTCTTGAAGATTTCTTCCACCTTTCTGGCCTGGCCAAGGCCGACCTCTACAGCAACTTGAGGTATCCCTTTCCATCCCTTTCCCTCCATCTCTTCCTCGCTCAGAAGAAGCTCCGGCAGGATCTCCGCTATCCTCTCATAAAACGCCAACCCCTCCCCAGCCTTCTTCCCATCCCCCAACAACGCCGCCGGGCTCTCATACTCCCTCACGCCCTTTGGCAACTGTTCCCATTCGTGCAAAGGGATATACGGCGGGTTACTGACCACCACGCCCACTTTCCCCTTACCCCCCAGCAGACCTTGGGGAGGTCCAAAGACATTGCCATACCTGATATCCACCCTCTCCTCCAGCTCATTATCCCGCACATTCGCGCCTGCTAAAGCAACAGCAGCTGGCGAATTGTCCACCCCCGTCACCTCCGCCATCAGGTTCTCATGCGCCATCAACAGTCCCACGCAGCCCGAGCCTGTGCACAGATCCAGAACTGGCAGAGGGCTGGACGGGCGGTCTCGGGAGGTGAAGGAGGGGACGGAGGAGAGGATGGATGAAGAGAGGAGGGTGAAGATGTGGGCTGTTTCGGGGCGGGGGATGAGGACTGGTTTTTTGCACTTGATTGTGAGGGGACCAAAGTCTGTGGAGCCTGTTGCCTAGAATCAGCTCTGTCCCATTGCATAGCGTCATCCGAGGAGTGAGAGCTTACCTAGAATATATTGCAAAGGCTCGCCCTCAGCCCGACGCTGCACAAACCCTTCAATCCTCTCATCCTCCACCGGCGGTAACTTTCTCTTCTTCATCATTCCCTTCGCCTCTTCCCGCACCCAAGAAGTGATCCATCGTAGCTCATTCTCGGCGTCACTCTGTTGAAGCTCGCGGTTCTGGAGAAGCGTCTGGAGGTGGTTGGGCTGGGAGGAAAGAGGTGAAAGGGTAGAGGTGAAGGGACGAGCGAATCTGGGGTGGAGGGGGAGGCGGAGATGGGTTCTGGAGGCAAGCATTATGTTCAGTTCTCGTCGACCAGGGTTGCAGTTGAAAGAGATAAAGACAGGTGAGTGCAAACCGAAATTTCACTCTCGCTGATGATGCCCGCCGGTCTTCTGACGGAGCCTATTCTCGCACCCTACGTATGACCTATGTTGTCTCTGCCCTCTTGCAACTCTCCCAAGCCACCCCTGCTACACAATCCGATACCCAATAAATACATGTGCTACATAATTCCCTTTTGATCATACGTACAGCGCCTGGATACACTCAAACCAGCTTGAGCTTTCCACCCTCCTCTTCAATACCCACACTTCGCTTCTCATCCAACGATATCCTACCGGCGTGGATGATTGCAGTCGTCACAACGCTATCACCTCCTATCAGTATAATATCACATGGCAATGCTGAGAAGAGGGGGAACGTACGTGGCCTTGATAGTAGGCAAACCCTTGCCATCAAAGTCTTTCGCCTGGGCTTTCCCAGCATTGACAGCTTGAGCAGCATCGATAAACTTTTCCAAAGACAGATAGCCATAACCGCGTTGGCCATCAAAGTAGCCATTCTCATCGGGAGAGTACTTGACATAGAAGGGGTTGTACTGCGACACCAATCAGCACATGTCGATGAGATGAGGATGGAGGATTGGGGTGACTCACGTCGACCTTGCCGACCTCGTCTTCGACAATGCTGTACCCACGGTGCGCTTGGTCCACTTTGACTTCACCCTTGGCGGCCATATAGTGAAACCTCTGTTCACTGTGCACCCCAGCCTTCAACGGGGCCGCCCATCTATCCCCATATCAGCTCTTATCGTTGTTACCCCTCCCCCAGAATGAGAAAGTGACATACGAAGCGGTGTAAACAGCAGTGCCCCTCTGGCCAGGGCTCTGGATGTTCTCCCAGTCGACCAGCAAGGTGATGGTGTCTTCGGTACGAGGGTCGCACCCGAGCGACTGGGCGATACCGGTAGATGCAGAGGCGGTGACTTTGACGGGCTTATAGCGACCTTCAACCATCCATGCGTGGATCTAAAACCATACGTCAGTATCTCAGAATGGGAAATTAGGCAAGATGGGGAGAGAGGGACGTACGTCAATGTGGTGCGAGTTGAGGTAGTAGCTGATATCACTGTCGATACCGGCCCAGGACTTGAACGTCTCCAACTGGAACTTTGGCTGCGACATGTCTTTTCAAGTGCTATTAGCTTCTGGCATGAGAGATGGAGAGAGGTGACATGCAAGAGTTGTAAAAGTTGAATTCACCAAGCTTTTGAGCCCTGGCTCGGGCATCGTTATAAGCCGGGTCAAACCTCTTGTGGCTATCATCCTCATCAGCTTCTCGTCCCCACTATGATATAGACGTATCACTCACTGCTCAACAAAGCACACCAACCCCTTCTCCTCCGCCAGCTCAATCAGCTTTTGGTGGTCCTCCAATTTCTGCGTCGCCGGCTTCGTCACCAACACATGGTGGCCCAAGTTTAAAGCATACGAAGCGATGGGAAAGTGGGTAGAGTCGGGTGTAAAGATGATGACTGCAGAGCCCTTTGGCAGCGCCTTCAAAGCCTCCTTATCTATACACAACCCAATCAAGTTAGCCTCGACCTCATTCCGCATCGCCAAAAGGAGGAGGGTATCGAAACATACAAGCTTCAGCATCCCTCTTGCCCTCCCCCGGGAACCCATCGAAGCCGAGATCAAGACCCTTGTACACGTCCCCAATGTTCTTCTGGAAGTGTTCCCTCACTTCGGCGAATTTGGAGCCATTGGTGCACGCCATGACAATCTTGTCGACCTTTCCGCGGCGGCGGAGGTCGAACATGGTGATGCCAACGACACCGATCTACCAGAGATGTCAGCTTGAATAGAGGAGGGGAGGTGGGCATACCTTTTTGTCAGACTTGGACTGGCCAGAGGGTGTGATACCTGTGGTGTACTCGCCCTAAACATCATCAGCTCTGGGCCTTTACATCCCGCACCGCTGCAGCAGTTGCTTACGGTACCCATGAGGCCGACGGCGATAGGAGGATAGCTTCCAGCAGACATGCTTCTTGTGTACTGGTAGTGGTGACAGAAGAGAATGGGGATGGTGAGAAATGGTGGATAGTTATATGTATCCAGTCCAGAAACATGTGAGGAATCCGGGACCCGGGCCGGTTGCCGCCGCGGAATCCGGGGGCCCGATCTCGCCGGTGCCGCCCGGGTTCGACTTGGAACCGTGAGATGTGCACCAGGAGATGTCGATTGGCCGATTCATCTATTCTCTTGCACTGGATGCACATAGCAGTATGGCCAACAAACACTTGATACTTCTCGGAACGCACGGGAGCGAGATACATTCGGTGGTATTCGATGACGAGGAAAAGACTCTGAAGAGGGGCGTGTCCACAGAGACGGGCAAGCAGCCCAGCTGGCTCATCAGACACCCAGACCCGTCAGTATACTCCCAACAAGGTGTGTACAAGCTAAAGAAGTGAAAGGCAGCAGCGAGATCTGGTGTATGCAAACCAATGGGTCGATAGCAAGATACGCGTGTATCGACTGGTGGATGATCAAGGGCAGTTGGAGCTGTTGGGAGAGGCCGAGAGTGGGGGAGAGGGGCCTACGCACATGGCGATACTAAAGGATGCATCTCACATCGTTATTGCGCATGTGAGTCCCTCGAAACATGGTGATGAGAAGCTGACCGGCCACAGTATGTCTCGGGGAACGTGACGCTGCTCCCACTCTCTCCTGATGGCCTCTTTGCCGAGCTCAAGCCATCACACTCTTGGACCCCACCTCACGCTCCACAGAAGCATCATCGACAACAATCCTCTCACGTGCACCAAATTGTACTGTTTGAGGACGAGATCATTGTCCCAGATTTGGGGTCCAATGTGGTGTGGAGGTTGAAATGGGATGGGCAAGAGATTCAGCTGAAGGGAGAGATTGGAGGATTTGAAGAAGGAGATGGCCCCAGGCATTGTGTGATACATCCCGACGGTGAGCCGCCCTTCCAGTCTTTGCTCCGTACTGATAGCGAAGCAGGTCTTTATATCTATGTCCTAAGCGAGATATCATCCCACCTCACCGTCCACGCATTGTCGACTGCCGGTCCTCCAGTCAAGCGATTCAGCCTCTTGCCCCCCAAAGATGACGGTGCTCCGAGGCCGACGGGAGCTTCAGAGATTGTACTGCTTCCTGCCTTGAGCGCACATGGTCCTCTGTTGCTGATAGCTTCCAACCGAGATTCGCCAGTCTCCGAGAACGATACGCTCGCCCTATTCTCGGTATCTCCAACGCAGGGTGATCTCATTTCCAGGAAGGAAGAAGGATGGGCAAAGGGGCTAGGCAGGCATCTGAGAGGTGTGAGCAGTGATGCGAGCGGGCGGTGGGTGGTGGTGCTCGGCAGGGACGCGGGCGGGGTCAAGGTTTTTGAGAGGGCCGGTGAGGACGGGCTTGAGCTGAAGGAGGTTGGCCGTATGGAGGTAGATAATACAGTGGCCCCTCTCTGGGTGTAGAGTACGTAAGTATGCATCGATGCAAGGGAAGAGAGGTGGCCCGACGAGTTCGGAAAGCCGGTCTGATCGGCGGCGGCGGTGTCCACGTGCTTATCTCTGGGTATATATATCGTTCCCAATTTCATTTCGCATCCACTTGTTGCCCACGCCACGATGACCCACTTCTCCTACAAGCCCGTGCCCCTCCCCCCCACCGCCAGTCCGGACATGTTCCAGGAGTTTGGCAGGCAGGTCGAGGGCTTCGACCCCGAGACCGTCACCGACGACCAGATGGACGAGATCATCGACCAGCTCTACAAGGTGCGCCGTGTCTTCTCTGTTGGCTTCTCGCTCACACGCCCCAGCACTCCATCCTCCTCTTCAAGAACCTCACCCTCACTCCCGCCCAGCAATACGCCATGACGCTCGCCTTCGACCCCGCCGCCCAGTCCTACGGACACGGCAACAACAAGACTGGCAACACCAAGTCTTCCATCCTTCACCCCGATCTCAAGACCATTCCCCATCAGCCGCAGGTGCAGTTGATCGGGAACGGAAAGGTGCAGGGTGTACACGAGGGGCTTGATTCTGTATGTCGTGTTGCGGAACGATGGGTCGGAAAGCAGCTGACTCTGTGGGATAGCCTCAGCTGAAGCACCCTCATCACAAGACATTCCACAAGACACCTGTCTCCCAGGAAGACGAGGACAAGGGCATCACCCGCTTCTACCGATGGTGAGTTCCTCTTCCCTACCCAGGAATTTCACTGACACTATGCAGGCACATTGACGCTGCTCTCTACAACCTGAACCCTCCCAAGGTCACCACCCTCTACGCCGTCAAGGTTCCCCAAGGCGATCTTCAGACTTGTCAATACGACGACGGCACCGGAGACGAGCTCCCCGTCCCTCTTGGTGGTACTGCCTGTACGTCCCTTCCCCTCGCCACTGGCCCCTGGCTGATCTCTGTTGGTAGTCGTCAGCGGAAAGAACATGTTTGACATTCTCTCTCCCGAACAGAAATCCCTCGCCGTCCGCACCAAGGTCGAATACGCCCCCCACCCTTACATCTGGATGTCCAAAGCCCACGCTCTCCCCACGGGTTTGGGTATCGAGAGTGAAGGACTCGAGCTGCCTCTGGACGAGCTGCCAGAGTGGGAAGAGAGCAAAGTCAAAAAGTTCCCTGTTGTAAGTCAACCTTATCCCGAGGAGAATGATAGCTGACGATAAGCAGTGCTGGAAGAACCCGGTCACCGGCAAGCTCCACGTCCAGGTCCACCCCTGCGGCGCCTACAAACTCCACATCTCCCCCTGCCCCTCTCCCTCCTCTTCCACCCTCTACCCCGAAGGCGGCGTCATCGAAGACCTCTCCACCGTCCGTTCCGTCCTCTACGATCTCCAACGCCCCGGTATCGCCCCTCCCCTTGTCTACTCTCAAAACTGGCAAGAAGGCGACCTTGTGTTGTTCCACAATAGGGGACTGTTGCACAGTGTGATGGGGGCTTTCAAGGAGGATCAGGTTAGGATGTTCCACCAGTGCAATTTGGCGGCTAGTGAGGAACCGGTGGGGCCTGATGGGGAGGATGTGAAAACTTGGGCTTGATGTTGAGTAATGTTATTTTGGGTTTTTATAGATTGTCAGTCTTGGTCCACAGCGTCAATTCATGTATTGAAATATGATTTTAAACAGTCTCACACTCCAGCTTGAACGGTTTCGCAGATAGGCAACCCACAGACAGACCTGAAAAGATGCATTCTGCTAATTGAACAACCGAGCCCGAAAAGCTCCTCGATAGAGTAACATTGTTTTTTTGATGATATTCGAACCCGACTTCACCCAGCCAATACGGTACCAGAGCTTTATGTGAGCTCGGCAACGTTCATGGGCATTTCGTCGATTTCTGCATCAATCATCAGCACATTTCCAACCAACGCTTTCAGAACACTCACGAGTAGAGTAATACTGCTCAATATCTCTCAAGATCCTCACGTCATCCACAGTCACAAAGTTGATAGCCACACCCTTCCTGCCGAAACGACCAGATCGACCGATTCGGTGGAGGTAGTTTTCACGGGAAGAGGGGAGGTCGTAGTTGATGACGAGAGATACTTGTTGAACGTCGATACCACGGGCCCAGACATCGGTGGTGATGAGGACTCGGCTGAAAGAGTGTTAAATGGAAAGCAGGGGAGGGAGGATAGGGGGCGTACCTAGAGCCGGATCGGAACTCGTTCATGATCGCATCTCGCTCCTTCTGCACCATCTCACCGTGCATACTGCTGACAGTAAAGTTGGCCTCCCTCATCTTCTCAGTCAACCAATCCACCTTTCTTCTCGTGTTACAGAAAATGACAGCTTGTGTGATTGTCAAGGTATCGTACAAATCACAAAGCGTGTCAAACTTCCAGTCCTCCTTCTCGACAGCAACGAAGAATTGCTTGATCCCTTCGAGCGTCAACTCATCACGCTTGACGAGGATTCTGATGGGGTCGGTCATGAATTTGGTGGTCATCTCGAGGACATCGTGGGGGAGGGTGGCGGAGACGACGACGACTTGGGTGGCGGGAGGAAGGTAACGGTAGATGTCGTAGATCTGGTCCTTGAAACCCTTGTTCAAGAGCTCATCAGACTCATCAAGGATGAGCATCTTGATGTCCTTGGTACGAAGATTTCGCCTCCGGATCATGTCAAAGACACGACCAGGAGTACCACTGACGACCTGCTGACCAGCCTCAAGCTTCCTGATGTCCTCTCCAACACTGGTACCACCAATACAGGCGTGACAAGACACGTTCAAGTGGTCGCCCAACGCCAAGACGACAGTCTGGATCTGGATGGCCAACTCTCGGGTGGGAGAGAGGACCAAAGCCTGGGTTTCGCGCAGGTTGGTGTCGATGGACTGAAGCATGGAGATGGAGAATGTGGCGGTTTTACCAGTACCGGATTGAGCCTGAGCAATGACGTCGCGGCCGCTCATGATGGGGCGGATAGCTCGCTGCTGGATGGCGGACGGTTTCTCAAAATTGTAAGCGTAGATGCCTCGAAGGAGGTCTTCCTTCAAGTTGAGGTCTTCGACTGGAGGATAGTCAGTATGAGTAAGTGTATACCTGTGAGTTACTCACAGCTCGTAGCCTAAAGTCGAGAGGAACAAAAGTGTCCGTAATGAGCACCTCTGCGCCTCCCGATGAATCATTGTATACGTACGACAGAGACCTTCTCTGAAGACTCGAAGACGAGCTTGTCGTCGCCACTGTGCTGGGTCAGCGTGAGTCTAGTATGGCATGTGGTATACGCACGTGTTGATGCCAGCCATGGTGTTTTGTGTTTCTGAGGTATAGGGCAAGATAAACAGCGCAGAATGATAGAGAAGAGTAGTGCGCCCGCTCGACGGATGTCGCCGAAAATTTCCGAGTGTGGCCCTCCGCGCATCTCCTCTTGCATTCGCGTATTTCTCCCATCCACCATAAAACAGCCCATCCAACATGGACTCCATCGTCGAAACACAACGCCAGACCCACGAGGAGATCGAGCGGTATGAGCAAGCCCTGGCCGAGGTGCTCATGCAGAACCCAACAGCCGTAAGTCACCAGCTTCGTCAAGAAACATCCGCTGATATGTTGTGGTAGACCAAAAATGTAACTAGGAGAGACCGAAAGGCTGCAGAAATACTAGACCGTATAGGGACACTGCGAATGGAGCTTGTCGACATGTACGAGGACATCCCTGGGTGCGTCTTGTCCTTGCCGATGGAAAGAACAAGCTGATACTTGCATCAGGCTACGACCCAAGGAGCTTGCCCTTCTCTCAGCCCCCGGAGCAGGACAGGACGACCTCGAAGAGTTTTATCTGCGTTTCAACAAGATTAAGGACTTTCACGGGCGGAATCCGGGCATCAATGCGCGACAATTCCTTAATGAAGTGGATGAGCTGGTCAAGGGCGATGGTGTGCAATTGATCGAGGTGGAAGGCGATGAGGAGCCTACTATCATCGACCGTGAGCCGAACATCCCTCTTGTTCCTCTTCATAGCTGACATGGAGACAGCCCTCGATTCTATCTTCTCCGGTGAAGAAGCCTACGGCAAACACCTCGATCTTTACCTCTCCCACTCTCAATACCTTAACTTGAAAGGCTCAACACGTCTCTCCTACGTCGCCTACCTCGACATGCTCAAACACGGCAAAGTCGAGCGTACCCTCGACACTAAAGAGAAATCCAACGCCGCCTACCTCGAATACGTCCAAACGCTGTACAACTACCTTCTCTCCTTCTTTGAGCGGGCTTTACCGTTGGTCGATGTACGAGGGAAGGTCAAGGAAGCGGAGGCGAGCTTTGAGGCTGCATGGGAGGCGGGACAGGTGGAGGGATGGGAGTCGTCTGGTGCGAAGAAGCAAGAGAATGGTGGAGAAGGGATCTGGTGTCAGTACTGCCAAAAGAATTATTCCAAGCAGACAGTATACGACGCCCATCTCAACTCCAAGGGTCACAAGAAGAAGGCTGCCGAAGGGGCTGGTTCTACAGCATCTCCCGCGCCTGTAGGACCTACAACCACCACTCCCCAAACTTCCAAATCCAAACTCCCCGCCCGACTCACTTTCCTCATCATCGCTCTCCTTACCTTCCCGCCCATACCCAGACTCTTGAGCGACTCGAGGAACGAGGTGGAGCGAAAGATGGCGTTGACGTCGAGAGAGAGGGAGCAGGAAATTGAAGAGCAGGAAGAGGGTCAGCAAGTGGAGGAGGTCGAGCTCGGAAACGATTCGGATGAAGAAGATGACGACGGAAAGGTGTACAATCCCCTCAAGCTTCCTCTTGGTCAGTCTATCCCCAACTTCCATGGATCAGTGACTAACAATGTGCAGGTTGGGACGGCAAGCCTATTCCTTACTGGCTGTACAAGCTGCACGGTCTCGGTGTCGAGTTCAAGTGTGAAATCTGCTCCAATGCGTCGTACAACGGCCGAAAGGCCTTCGAAAAGCACTTTACAGAGTCCAAGCATGCTTTCGGTCTTCGTGCGCTCGGTCTGCCGCCGTCCAAACATTTCATGTACATCACCAAGATCTCTGATGCCATGTCTCGTACGTCCATTGCCTCTTACTTAGTCGGGTTTTGTGCTGACTTGATCGTAGTGGCGGAAAAGCTGAAGCGTGAAGGCAGACAAGAGCTCACAGCGATGGACAAGGCGGAAGAGTTTGAGGATGATGAAGGGAATGTGTACGATAAGAAGACGTACGAGCAGTTGCAACGACAGGGTCTTATCTAGGAGGGTTGAGACAAACGGGGGTAACGTGGTATTGGAGACGTGTAGACATGTATTACTCAGTGCCGAACTCTCTGGGCAATCAGTTCTCTCATGCTATCATACGTGCGCCAAGACTTCACACGGCGAGCAAGCCGATCAGCGAGGAGTTGATGCATAAGTCTTACAGATGCTGTCTATCAGGTAAAAAAGATCATAAATATACACATGGTGAAAATGAAAAGTGATCTTACTGCTGCAAAGAAACGACAAGAGTGAGAAGGTGGAATGGGTGAATGCGGGTTCTGGGAGAGCAGCGAAAGGTTTCGCTACCCAAGGTCGCTGGCCGCCCGTCGGCCTGGCGGATCGTAGGTCGCAGACCTCATCTGAGGCGCTTGGGTGGTCGAATTTGAGCCTTCCACGTGCCCGAATGGCCTTTCCCTCCCTCACAACACCATCCCAACATCTTCGTCCATACGTGGCGCGTGTCCATTCCCATCCTTGTCCCCATTCGTCCCACTCGCCGACGCTTCCGCTACGGGCCCAGCATCTTCCGCCTGAAGCTCCATGTCCATATCGACCGGTGGTTGCCATATCCGCCTACTCCTCATTAGCTTTCGCATTTGTAAGAGGACTCGAGCGTACACCGTCTTGTCATCGCTGCAACTGGCAAATATTTTTCGTGAAGCTACAGGGTTCCAAGCAACAGAGTTGACGACGCTGGTATGCCCCGCGAGCACTTCGGTTGGTTGGGATGACGAGCCTTGCCAAACATAAACGTGACCGTCTTTGAAAGCCCATCAGCGACCATCATCATAGGAGATGTATCTGCTTACCTTCACTCCCGCTGAGGACGAACTGATCTTTCTTGCCGCCATAGCAACTCCGTATGAGGAAATTTGTCTGAATATGGCCGGAATGGCCGCGGAGGTATCGCAAACCGTTGTGGGTATTCCATTCTTGGACCTCCTGCCGCGCGACGTGAGTAAATCGATGATGAGATGAGAAGATATGGTGCCACTTACATCCGGACTACAGCTGACCAGCGCTCTCTTGCCGTCACTGGTAAGCCTGATACTAGTCATCTCACACCTCAAATCTTGAGACCAGCTAATCGATAGCATAAGCAATGTCGGCCGGTATGGACCAGAGCACTTACTCAATGATCTCGTGATCCTCAACTCTGACCATCACTAAACTATGCTCCATGGTCGCAAACGCAAAGTCAGCTCCTCCCAGACTACTCAACCTCGTCCCTCCCACAGCGCCTCCCAGCCCTATGGTTCCCGCAGACCCACCCCCGCTAGCACCAGCACCCGAATTCCCACTGCTGCCCCCCGGGGCAGCAGTGTTTGTCGCATTAGGCCCTGTTGCCGGTCTCGCCGACATGGCTGCACTTCGCAGCCCTTCATTGTTGGCGACACGTTTCAATGGGGTGGTGATGGCTACGATGCGGGACCCGTCTGGTGTGAGGGCAAAGTCGTTGAATTGGAGAGGGAAGGTAGACCACTGGCGGAGAAGCATGCCTTTGCGATTCTGATAGCAAGTCAGTGCTCCGATCAGGACAGATGAGGCGAAGGATACGCACGTAAAATATAATACGGCAGTCCATGGACGCCACCAAGAATTCGGAGCCGCTTGGTATCCACTGGATGGCGCTGATAGTATCGGTGTGATGAAGACCAGGCGTCTGCAAAGCAATCTCTTCACCCGTCTGCACAACAAGTCAGCCAATCGACCTCTTTGGGAGACCATGACTCACTTCAGTGTCCCAAAGATGCACCACCTTGTCTGCGCCCGTGGCCAGTAGCTTCCCATCAGGCGCCCACGCCATCGCATCGATTGGATCCTTATGATTCCTGAAATGATGCAATGGCGCTACCGCGTACCTCTCCGTCCCGTCCAGGCCCGCCACCGGTAACACCGACCAAATATGCACAACCTTATCCTTTCCAGCGCTCGCGAGCTTTGACCCATCAGGGTTCCACTCGATCCGCCAGACTTCGTCAGAGTGGTCAATGAGAATGTGGGTGGTGACGGAGGGGAATTGATCTTGACGGTCTTCATAGTCGGTGTAGAGAGAGTTGGTGGTGGGGCCGTCGATGTAGGGTGAGTTGGATTGTTGGAATTGGCGTGCTTGGTCAAAGAGGGTTGCGAGACGCCGGGACGGGACTATGAGCGACGGGGAAATGAATGCTTCCAAGATATCAGCATTGTGGATTACGAGACCGTGGGGCCATACCTTCAAGATGTTCCAACAGTTGCCGCCGGGAGATACCGGCCGCCCCGTCCCAGGACGCTCTTTCGTACAAGTCCTCCTTGTCGAGACACATCATGAACCCAGACAATGTATGCAGAACATTCTGATCTTTGGCCACCCTTGCCAGCTCCCCTCGCAAGACACCCAAAGCCTTCTTCTGCTGGCCCAGTTCGAGATACTCGAGATACTTCTGTTGGGCGATCAGGTATCGAGTCTGATCGGAGGGAATAGCTGTATCTTTGCTCGAGGACATACTGGCCGACTCGGAAGCAGCACCGAAGGCAGCTGAAGCGAGGATACCAAGCTCGGGAAGAAGAGCAAGCGCTTCAGCCCACCGACCTCCCAGGATAGCTTGTTGGAAATCCGAGCCAGCCCTCGTGGAGAGCTTGTACCCAGACTCGGCCTCCAGAACATCTGCTGATTGACTAGGCGTAGAGAGTCAGCGACGGTGTAGGATACTCGCATCTACTCACTGATAACCGACATCTCGAAGCCCCTGCAACATCAATCGCACCGCTTCCTCTCTATCGACAGGCATGCGCTTTCCGCCCCCAACGCCCGGTCGAGCGTCCTCTCCTGCAGACAGCTTCCCCTTGCCCTTGATTGAAGTGGCATCATCTTCCATATCTGCGTCTTCTCCGCCGGCATACGCTTCTCGCGTTTCGACCCAATCCTTGTCATCTTCATACATGAGACTGCCTGGCAGCCGAACCGGAGCGACATTTGAGAGGAGAGAAGAGGTCGCTGTTACTGTCTGCGCTGCGTGTCCATTGGCAGACGTCGAGGCCTCGGCGGGAGGACCAGAGTGGGTTGGCTGGCCCATGTCGTTGGACATGGAAGCAGAGAGGATGTGTGGTGGTTTGAACTGCGCGGGAGAAGCCGCCGACTGCCTTTTGCGCTGTTTCGGTCGGGAGCTGTCCTCGTCTTGTCCAGGAGAGTGTGGTCTGACAGTACCCCTTTGTACAGGAAACGGCGAATCGACGGCGTGGGGGAGTGGGGGTTGATTGGGTATGGTGGGTGGCGGGCAGGCCGTAGGGGGTTGAGGGTGATGTGTACCGGAGCCTGTGAACAGTGAATGCGGGGTGATCTGCAGGCGTGCTGATGTTGTCAGCGGATAGTGAACTTCCCAGCGAGTATTCGAGGTCAGATCGTCATTCGCGCGTCCTGCCTAGAGCTGGTAGGCGCAATTTGATCCCGTCTCAGGACACGTCCAACCTCTCTCTTCTCCTAGAACTGAACGGTAACCAAAAACAAGAATGACAGCTAAAGGTGGGTAAATGGAGCCTGGGTCCCGAGAGGCCAACAAAATCATCCGCGAAAGGACAAAGGACAGACAATAGCGCGCAGGGTTGGATGAAAGCCACCGAGCTTGCGACGAGGGAAGAATAGGCCTGAGAGAGAAAAAGGTCACGAGAAGATGGTAAGTGTACCGGGGGAGCAGATGAAGTACGGACAGTCAATTAGTCCAGTAGAGTCTTCCACCGATGAAATACATACCCGCCACATCGATCTCCTCAGTCACTCCTGCGTCACGTCCTCGTCTACTTTCGCCCCACAGCACCTTCAGCTGACATTGCCCACTTGTCCATCTCACCCGGTCGGAGGGGTCTGACTGTCTTCTGCTGAGAATTTGAAGCAGTCATCCCTGGAGAGCAACTGTCAGCTCCTGTTGATGCAGGTGGCGAACGAGCTGAGAGGTAAGACGTGGGAGCAAACGTGCAGCCAAGAGAAAGCAAGGGCTATGGCATGACATTGATACTCTAAGTGGTGCATTCAGGTATCAGACCCGTGCAATGGAAGGACAAGTGTATGAGCAAATGTGCGTATGCTTGACAAATGACATGTCGTTGTTAAAGGTTTCTGATGGTACAACAATACTGACAGCCTCGATAGCTGTTTGTTGCACCCCTCAATATCCCACACCTACAATGCTTCTCTTGATACCGACTTGCGATAGTGTGCTGAGTACGCTGAGCGTCGTTGCATGATCTCGAGAGTGTGGGTGTCATGGTTAAAGGAGTCATCTGTGTAATTCGTTCATTCAATAGATTAGTTGTGTGTTGTGGTCCGTGCTCTCCGTTGTTACACGTATCAGAGTCTTTTTCATAGTTTCTTCTTCTTCATATGCGACAATAACGAAAAGGTTTTTGCCCCTTACGACAAAACTCTCTTCAGCACGTCAAAGGCACTCCCCAGGCGTGACAGGGGGTCAATCCGCGCGCGGCGGCCATCTATCTGCTTGCTCACTTCCTTTTACCTCTCTCATACGTATGGGCCAGTTGTGTCGTTATATAGAACCGCATGGCCTACATGAAATAATTCTTCATAGCGCCAAGACGACAGGTCGAATATTTCACACTACGAGCTAGAGTATACCGAAAGAATGAGCGCTGGAGCAATGCATGGGTAGTCATTGCACGGCACAGATCCGAGAGTACGATGCCAGGAGACAATGTAACCACAGGCTGGCTGAAAGATGCTGCATGGTATTAAGAGGACCAGTATGATGCCACTTGTGCCGACGCAGAGGATGCGCACCCCGACAAGAGAGGAATCAGGAGGAGGTTCATTCAACGACGTTAATTGGACAAGCCCTCGGCCGGCCGAGGATGGCCTCTCTTGAGTCTTTGGTCTCTTCGGATAATGAGCAACCTCTCATTTATCACTCGTCGCGCCCACGCGCCTGGCCATCGATCTCTTCGGATAGATTGGAAAAGACATGCAGACCCCAGTACGAATACCCCTTTGCTGAGGCCGAGCCTCTCCCTTGTCACGCTCTCCAGCCTCCAGACCATCTGACAGCCCGGCTATCAATTGTCTTTCGTCCACCGAAGAACAATAACGCAACAATCCAGGTCCATCCTTCCGAATGCCCTCAAAAGAAAGAGAACAATGGCGAAACGACATTATCGCATCAGCCCCTCCGTAAAGCCAGGACCGGATTCCCGCCCAGGCCCCAAGGCACGGGGGTCTTTAATAATCGACCGGTGGCCCTGAATCGCTAATAATATGTTCTCAAATCCCTCGCGCGCGGGCTGCTCCTCTCCACATTCGCCAAGAGAGAACAACGAACAGATGTCGTGAGGGTCAAGAAGAGGCCACCCCGTTTCTTCGAATCAAGGGAAGGGTGGACATGCATCATCGGGGTGTGCTTACTGACTTAGGCTTTGCGTGGAGATGGAACGATGAACCGAGAAGGGTAACTCTTGGCTCAATTGGCCATGGGCTGGATCTTCTTGGAGCCACTCCACCAGCCTGCAGCCTCAATTGCCACCTGCGGGAAATTCAGGATTCTTCTTCATGCCCTCAAGCTTTTCGACCTTGCGAGAGGGCGAATGTAATAGAAGCTTTCGGGTTGAGGTACTGGGGCCATGGCCAACGGACTACGGAGTTGGTGTATCAATGCATGCTGGTGAAAATTTCGGCGCCTTCGTCCGAGGGATGCTCATTTGTTGTAGGGCCTTCTGCAACATCTAGTGCCCACTGGGGCTATCACAACTGGCCCAGGCCAGACAAATCATCGTGAATGAAAAGAGCAGCACACTCTGCATAAACCCTCCTCTTGTCGCTCGATCGCAAGGCTCTCATCGTGGGTTCCTACACCTCGTTCTTTGTCTCAATTGATTCTCCCTACGAAACTCTGATAGCCATCGGTTATCTCTCTAGTGTCCTGTATTCGTCATTTATCTCTCCTCTCGTCCCTCGCGTTGTTCCACCGCCATCTTCCAATGTATTCGAATCACACACCGTCTAGTGTTTCACCGTCAGAGTCACTCATGAGACACGGCAAGTCTCCCAAGGCATGCATGATGTGGATCGAGGATGCCTCATGGCCCATGGGCGGCACGTTCTTCTCGGTGTTCCGTCGGTCTGTCGTGGGGTGTATGCATTGTATGCAATGGTCTCCTTATCCTGTGTATCTATTAGCCGCTCCGTCCTCTTTCCCTCTCATGCTCCTCTAATGTTTTGAGACACATACAGAACATCATTCTTGTGGGATTCACTCCGCCCACCGTCCGAGCGACAATGCAAGATGGTGTACAAAGCCCTCTTGCTCTGCCTCTCTGCCTCTCTGCCTCGCGTCCTCGCGTTGCGACGCGCACATACTCCTCCCTCGATCACGGCAGTACGGAACCGGCATATCGGGGGAGGTCGCGAGACATTCCGGAAAAGTGAAACATCCGGTTTGATATGATGATATGCACGACTGCTCTTTTCCATCAGTGCATGATTGAATGTAGACTGACACATGAGAGATGAGGATGGAGGGTGTGGAGAGGGAACGGGTGAATGTGCTGGGTGAGGAGGGGGTGCCGAAGAAGGAGTCTGCCTGTGAAGTCCGCATGTGATCATCATAATCACAAGGGTGCCACAAGCGGAAGGCTGGAGCGAAATAACAGCAGCTGTGCCAAAGAGGCGAGTGGTGGGGCTTTTTACTCTCATACTCGCCCTCTTGCAGCAGCAGGCCAGCAAGGCCAGCTAGCTCATGGACGTCATCACCCTCAAAAAACGACATGCAATGCGAGCGGCAAAAAGGTTCGCAAAATGAACATCTCTCGACCCAAACACATCCGATGCAACATGCCACAAAGACGGTTGTGACTTTGTTGCATCTTATGTCATGGCCTCCAGGTCTGGACGACATGGACGTCGAATAGTACCTATGACGATCATGTAGTAGCGTACAAAGAATTATAGGATGAAACAAAGCAGACACCGTGAATGGATGTTCTGTTTGAACATGTCACTGATCGCTCCCCGATATGAATCTTGCCGCTGCTGCCGGCCCTCCATCTCTCGGCCAGAACATCATCTATGACATCAAGGTACATCCCGGGTGACAAAGACACGTATGGAACAACCCCCTCATCAATCATCATCGTCATCGTCGGAGGGAATGAAAGAAAGAGAACATGAAATATCCCAACAGGCGGACTTTTCGACAAGCCACAAACAACGCGTGGACCCCATACTTGCGTACCGAATCCTGCGGCCTGCGGGGTATGGGGGAGATCTGGGAAGCAGTCGGGCTAAATATTTTGGTTTGTCATATATAAGTCCAGAGGTTGCAGATCAGAGATCATGGACGGCAAACGAGTTGTGATCATGAAACGCAAGGCATTGGAGGCTGTCGTTTTCTGGCTGCCGCCCCGGTGTCATCGCTCAAAGTCAGAGCATGTCGCATGTAGCATATCACAATCACGTCCGTAAAGTGTCCCACCCTGTATAATTCATAAGAGTCTCGAGTCTGTCAATGAAAGCGTTTGATGTAATGGATCACGCGCCGCTCCAACGGCTTGACGAAATGTGTGTGTTGGCGCGTCGGCCGTTGTTTGTCCCCAACTGAACATGAGAGGAAGAGATTAGGCTTTGGAGGTGGAGGTGTGGAACAACCGAGAGGCTCATTAATTGTCAGAGAGCAAAGGGCAAAAAGGGGTGGAGGTCCAGCCGAGAAGACCGAGAACATGAGGGCCAAGCGCGTCCATGTCAAAGCCGAACAGAATGCGAAAAGAGCTCTCGGCATTGCCTTTGGCCCCTGCCGTTGAGGTCGGCGTACCCGGTGTCTGTGCGGCCCGTTGAAGGAATGCATACACCCATTGCCCATTGTCCCCTCTCTGGCTGCGGCAGGAGAACCACACGGCACACACTGTACTCGTACACAAAGATGCACACTGCTGGCTACGGACACTAGGTTGAAACGCGAGCAAGCAAAAGCGTGACAGCGGGACTACAAGCGGGATTAGGAAATGGCAGTAAGGGGAAGCCGAAGTGGACCAATGGTCGGATTAGGGATTAGAAATCCAGGGACGTGTCAAAGGAAATAAGCTTGGGGGGTCCAGGCCGGGCTGTTGTTTATTTATTTTGGGGTGCGTGTCACGCCCTGGAGATGCTCCGCCGCAGCCTGGCCCTCGCGTGGCGCGTCGGATCCCTATTGTTGACCGTTCGACGTACTTAAATCCTTCAATCCTCCTCTTTCTTCTTTCCATCACTCGTTCTATACAGTACACAGGACCGTCGCTTGACGCACCGTCCCACCCACACTCTTTCCAAGGCAAGACGGCTTTTCACCGCTCATCAACACCCCCAGGTATAACACTGACCAAATCGAGGTGAGTCCTTTTTCCCTCTCCTTCAAACGCCCCTCTGGCCTCTCTGGCCTCCTGGTATCTGAGTAAGAACCTCGCTGACTCCCCCCAGTCTTTTTTGATAGTCACTCTCTACAACCCATCAGCTTTTCAGCACAAAACGACAAACCACATCACAATGTCCTTCACCAAGATCGCCTTTACCGCCCTCGCCTTGGCCTCTGCGGCCACTGCCGCCCCCATCAAGAACTGTGCCAGGGGCAAGCCCTCTTCTTACGACGAGGCCTACCTTGAGTCTTACGACGTCTGTAAGTATCTTGCACCGTCTCGTCTTTGATCACCAGCTGACATCAGCGTTCAGACCACACTAGGTACCTCGCCCTCTCTTGCTACACCCAGCACAACACCACCTTCTTTGACGACTGCTGCCACCCTCTCCTCACCAACGAGACTTTGGCCGACGCCAGGTTGTCTTACTGCAACCCCAACGCCACCCAGCTCGCGGCGGTCAACTCAACGGAAGCGGCGAGCGCCGCCACTGCTTCTGCGACCAATAGTGCCGACCTGGAGGCTGCCTCAGCCTACTCGGACGTCTCCAGCTCTGTCTGGACCGCCTCTGCTACCGAGACTGCCTCCTCCGTTGCTGTGGCCGACGTCGCCCAGATCTCCGTCTCCGTCTCCCTTGGCTTGTCCATCGGTAACGACGCGACCCCTACCTCTTCTTCCTTCGAGGTTGAGCCTACTCCCTCTTCCTCGTCCTCCTCTTACGTCGAGCCTACCTCTGCCTCGTCCACCTCTACCTCATCCTCCTCTGCCGCCTCTGCTTCTTCAACCAGCGAGGTCTACACTGGTGGATACGCCACGTTCTACTCCCAGGGCTCTGCTGCCGGCGAGTGTGGCGACTACCACTCGGACGACGACTACGTCATTGCTATCGACTCCAACGGGTGGTGGTCCGACTACGAGTCTAACAACTCCTCTCCTTACTGCGGCCGATACATCACCCTTACAAACACCAACAATGGGATGAGTGTGACTGCCCAAGTGGCTGACGTCTGCCCGAGCTGCACCACTTCGAACTCTCTGGATCTCTCAGTGGCTGCTTTCAATGCTATCGCAAGTGAGGAGGACGGTATGGTTCCCATCACCTGGTACTTCAACGCTTAAACGGCTTTTTGAAACTTTTTTCATTGTCTCGATGACGTGAACCTAGCTTTCTTTGTCGCTTGATCTTGTTCCGTTACCAACCTTCCATCTTATACTTTTAGCATTTATTATTTCGGTGTCTTTATCAGTGTTCGTAATCTATAAACCACAAAACCAGCATCTTACGAATCCAACACGAATCATCCTTCTCTTTACCCTCACAAAGGTGCTCGATGCCCCTCCTTCTGCTTTTCCTTGCTTTTGCCTTTTTGCTTGTTTGCCCTCTAGTAGAGTATAGCTGTATCACCCTCCTAGCGAGGTATATCCATTGTTTATACATTTAGAGAGTTTTCGGGTATAGGTGGAAGGATGAGATGAGGAGGATGACGCGAGACATGAGTTGATACTGGTGTCAACTTTCATGGGGTGGGAGAAATGGTCCATGCAAACGAGCTAGTCTCGGTATACAAAAAGTAACTTGTTCAGCTTCCGGGTACAATCTCAAGTCTACACTTCTACACTCTGCTCCAATTCAGCCTCGGCGTCCTTGCTCGGCGTCCTTGCTCGGCGTGCCGAAGGGCTTCTTTCATTCTTCAATCGGTCTCAGAGCGTCAAGCACTAGCTGTAGTAGTCCAGAGTAATGCCCTCTGCCCAGCGTAGTCGGCCAGCGTTCTCTTCTGCCTTTTTCCCGTAACGCAGTTAGGGTCTTATCGGCTGTTTTTCCCCACCCAGAAAAAGTGTAGGGGGCAGAATCGGCGGAATCAAACGCACGTGAAGCTCTGCCCTTTTTGACACGTCATGCATCTTCTTTCAGCTCCCGCCGGGCTGCGCCGCCGCCTATCCTCCTCGCCTGTCTTCTTGCTGTCTTCTCCCTCTACCTATCACGTTGGCGTTGACCTATCGTTTCTTCCTCTACTAATCAGTAACATGGCCTTTCCCTTCCATCCCGAAGCCTTCGCTCTTCTGATGGCCACCTTGGCAGAGGACCCTCCGCCCTACCAATCTCGCCAGGACTTCGCCGCTCGCCACCGTTTCCCCCTCTCCCCGCCTCGACTTACAAAGGCTCCATAGGTGCCGACGTCTTTCAGCATTTGGCTGCACGTCACACGTGCACTCCTGAACGCCATGTTGATAGGCGTCAGTTTCGGGCTGCGAACTTAGACTCCACTCGCTGGTTCCCAGACGACCTGCCTTCTATGAATCCTGTTTATCCTGCTGGTCCCGAACATAATCCTGTTGTCCTGCATCATCCTGCCATTCTAAACTCTGGTCTCAACCCTCATAATCCTGTTGTCCTGAATCATCCTGCCATCCTAAACTCTGGCCTGAACATTAACTCTTCTAGCTCTCATCGGACAAACGGCAATCCCTCTCGAGCGGCTCCTGGTCCTGTCCGTAGCCTTTATTCCCCTGTGTCTGTGAATCGACGACATTGACTGACCTCAGGCCAACAGTCACGAGCTAGTAGCACACCCGACCGCTCTCCGGTACGCCCGGATCCTCCGTTGTCTTCTCGTGCAAATCCTCGAAAACGACGACACCACATGCTTGATGATTCCCAAGATCATCATCGTCCACATAGAAGGGTCAGTGCTACATCGTCTTTGCCCTTCGGTCGTCCTTACTGACTTCTGTGTCCTCCTAGAGCCGGCGCAATCAGGTCATACAGATTCGCCTTCGGTCTTCCTCCTCTTTCCGTGGCTGACGGTTTGACCTCCAGTATGATGAAGAAGGGGACCGTCCTGGTGTTGTGGGCAGCGAGGGCGGCGATGAAGAAGAAGAGGATGAAGCCAATAGGCAGCCATATGTCCTTCAACCTAGGGATGTTCTTCAGGAGCCTCGCACCGTGAGTGCCACCTCCTTCCCTTCTCACAGATCTGCCCCTTCACTCACTCATCCTCTTACCAGTGTCTCCATAATTTCGACCATGCCCAATGGCCTCAGCAGTCATCTCTCGACCACAGCATCGACAAAATCAATTCATATCGAAACGCCACTTCGGTTGATGAGCTGGGTCAAGTCGTTTGTGCTGATTGCTCAGAGCAGTGCTCGAGGGCGGATACACAAGAAATCTTCGTGCCGAGCCTGAGGGCCCACATCCTTCAAGACGCGTGGCAATGCTCGTCACCCTTCATCCCTTCCCATGTCCTGTACTCCTCTGCTATCATCGACAACTGTGTCCGCTCTGGCAGCTATCAACTCAGTTGCTGGCGTATCTGGGAAGCGTCAGACGACTGAGAAGGAGCCGTGGCAGGGGGGACATATCCAGCACCTTCGGCTTCGGTGGAAGCGGAGGCAACAGAATTGAAGCAAGGCATTGGCAGGTGTCCGCCCTCGGGGTAGGTAGTCAACGCATTCCCATCAATGGAGACATCACTATAGAGAGGGTTGTTCTTTTTCAACCACCGCAGAGCGGCAATCATTTTGTCCCGGCGGACGGTGAGTAGCTTCTTGGGGATCTTGTCAGCAGTGAGAGGCTCTGCTTGGTTGGCAACCCAGATGACAACGATCTCGTTAGCGATTACAGAAGCTGGAAGAGGGAGCAACCTCGACAGCTCGGACGCAGCCTGGGGGAGTATGACAATGTTGCCTTTCGACTGATGAGAGCCGTGACCTTTGATCTTGACACAGCAGCGACCATTTTGCCTTCTCCGGCAGGGCTATCTTATGGACAGAGGCGGCAAGTGTGCGGGTCTGGAGTACCATAATCGTCCCCGGCAGGGTATGTTCCCCTATTCTTCATGCATCTCGTCCCAGTCCGGTCCTGGCGATGCTGTATACCAGGTCTCCGACGGTGACTCTGTCCTGTCGCAAACTCAGTCGTCAACCGACTCCTCCCCAGCCAAACAGCCCAGCTCCTCGCCTGCGAAGAGGCCTCGCCAGGCGGCCCTTTCTTCTGGCGGGGTTCCTAAGCCGTCGAGGAAGAGCGGCCGCTCCAGGAAGGGGAAAGAGAAGGAGGATGGGGATTTTGAAGCAGAGATGCTTATAGAGTCGAATGATAAAAAGTTAAGTTGCATACCATGGATCTGCCATCTTGGCTTTACTTTCCTGCGTTACGGGTCCCGCCGCTCACATCAGTTCCTTAGTCCTTTGACCTTCTGAAGGCTGTGCGTTGCGAGGGGCGGGGGATCTGAACCCGTCAGCACGAGGTACCCACGTGGTGACGTGGTTGTTGGGGCCTCGAGGCTCGGTTTTCTGACTCCTCTCTTCCTTGTGGCACAGAAAACAAGAAGATGTGTGCCTCTTGCGGTAGAAGGGAGAGGAGGAGGGGCCATGACGACGGTGACTGTGAGCTTTTCAGTGGCCCCTCCACCCATGAGCTGATCCATTTACATAGAGATCGCTTCATTCTCTCCCACGTCTACTTTGCCCTCATCCTCTTTCACGTACCGTCAACACCTCGTCGCCACCTTCACCCCATCGGCCCCTCCTCCCTGGCCCCTCCTACCCGACCCCTCCTCCTTCCCTGTTTGGATGTAGATACGACGACGACACCCTCACTACCTCTCTGTTCTTTTTGGATACCGCGAGCTCGAATTGGCATCCCAAATCATATACGTATGTCCTTGGAGGACTATTATTATCTCGCGTTTGTACTTCACGAAATGTCCAAATAGAGACGCATGTATGCATAGTGACTACAAGACAGACGTCAAAATTCGTCAAAGGGAAAAAGGTCGTAATGTCGAATACGCTTATATTATGGCGTGAGTTTCTATGTTCAAAGAAGATCCCAGAAGTATTAAACAGTTATATGGTTTGGTATAGTGATGGTCTGGGTATATCAGGTGGTGCGTGTTTCTACCTCCTGTTTCGAAGTTGAGTGCGCAGACTGCCGACTTCAGCTTGTAACGAGTTGAGCTAGGTGGGGCATCAGCTTTCCGTCATCCAACTTCACATCCATGGCGACTGACCTCATCGAGCAATTGAATGTTCTGCCCCGTTGACTTTGCCCTATCCTCATCCGCATCTTCCTCTACCCGATTCAGCTTTCGCTTCGTCTCTTCCAATTCCCCCTGCAACTTTTGCTGCAGCGCCCTCTTTTCATCCTCTGCCACCTGCGCAAGTTCCAGTGCCCTAGCAGAGAGCGTATCATTCGCCTCGCTCAGTCTGTTGCACGTCTCCATCTGCTGGGCGAGCTTTTGCTCGAGGGTGCGTTTGGCTTGTTGGTTGGTATCGACGAGGGATTGGAGAGAATTGAGTTCGTCGAGGAAGTGGGATTCGGATTGAGAGGATTTGGCGAGGCGGTCTTCGAGGATCGTTACTTGTCTACACCGATTGTCAGCTTGAGCGCGCGAGTAGCGCATCGGGACGTACTGCTGATATGTCTGCAAACTCCTCGTACTGCCCTCGACCAGTTTCTTCGCCTTGGCAGCATTCGTCTTTAACGTCTCCCTCTCCTTGCCCATCCTCACCACCCTATCCACCAGTAGCTCACCATCCTCCACCATACCCTTGATTCTCGACAGCGCTTCAGGTATGGACGTCAAAGACGTCGACGTCGGGCGCCCAGGAGCATAGAGCGCCTGAAGAGCCTCAAACCTGATCGAGTTGCTCGGCGACGCTAAAGCCTTGTTCGACTGGCCCGTCCGGGGGTCGATCAAATCAGCCTTCTCCCGCTCTGCTCTCGAAGGCAGAAGCGGCCAGATAGAAGCAAATTGCTTGGCAATCTCTTCGAGCTCGGCGGAGAGTGCTTGGTTGCGCTGCTCGTTGCCTTGGGCGGTGCTGGGAGATGGCACGACGGATAGGGTGGATTGGGCGGCAGCGAGGGAGGATGAGAGGGATTCGTTGCGGAGAGTGAGATTGGTGATTTGGTCTTGTTGTTGCTGTTTGACGTTAGCGCAAGTCGCTCAGCGGCTATGACGACTTACACGAAGACTCCTTTCGAGCGATGCAACCTCTTCTTGCTTCATCGCTTCTCCCTTTTCGACCTTGGCCTTCCAAGCGTCTCTATCTTCGCCGACTCTCCTAACTTCCTGTTCCAATCCCATGTTGACTTCCCGCACCTCTTCTCTCAGACTCATGATCTCCCTCTCTCTCTCCGACAGGACGGTTCTGAGCTGCTCAAAGGCGGGCACAATCTCCTCCTCGTCAACCTGCCCCGCCCTTCGCCCTAAGAGTGCCCCAAGAGTGGTCTGGACATGACTCTTGATCTTCCGGTCCCGCTCTGATGACTGCCCGCTCTGCTGCATCATCTTCTCCCGATCCCCAAACAGCGCTTCTTTCTCCTCTGCCCACCTTCTCCTCTCGGCGTCAAAGTTGGCGGCCTGACGATCCCAAATCTCCTTCTCTTCCATCCACGCTTGTCGTTCTTGATCGATTTGTGATCGCTCGCGTTGCCAATTTGACTGGTCTTGCTGAGCTCTGGCGATCTGGTCCTCAAGCTGTCGGGTTTCATCGTCGAATGCTTGTTCTCTTCTTTGAAGCTCGCTGACAATGGCCTCTAGCTCTTCCACCTTCATCCGTCCTTCTTGCACATCTCGCACAAGCTCTGCCTCCTTCTCCTCGACTCCATCCATCCTCGCTTGCATTCCTTCAAACCGGCTCATCACTTCCGCATTTATCCTCTCCAATCGCTTCACCTCCCAGCTCATCACTCCTCCGAAATGTTCCAGCACCTGTCTCCTCACGCTCGCTTCGCGATCTCTCAGGGTGAGGAGGTCCTTCTCGACAGCGGCAACCTTCTTTTCGGATTGTTCGAGGGACTCGAGGGTTTGCCTCGACATGCGTTTGTTGGAGTTGTTGAGTTTTTGGAGGGCGCGGGCGGCGGTGAGGATCTTGATTTCGCGTTGATGGCGAGCTTGGACAGAGTCCACTCGACTGGATAGTAATGACAGTTCCTGTGACAGTGTTAGCGTGCAATCCAGAGTAGAATGTATGGTGCTCACCTTTTTCCAGCCCTCAACGTCTTCCCAGCCGGCAATACCCATCTGCTGGCAGTCCATGACAGCCTGTCCTGCCAATAGCGACAACAGCATCTCATCTGATCCCTCCGTCAAACTGGTATTTCCATTCTCTCTTGCAGAACGGCTCCTCCCCAGTTCACCTTCATTATCTCTCATGTTCGTCCCATATCCCCCTCGCAAATGATAGTCCCCTCGAGGCTGGCTCTCTGACGTCTCCATCGACTCGCCATAGCCAGAGTCCGAATCTCTCGGCGACAAGACACTCGGGTCAGGGACTTGCGACAACGCCGGCGTCACCAAAGGCAGCTGCCTTCTCGACGACGTTGACCCCGTCCTCGAGTGAAGCGACTTTGATCTTGAAGATTGTCTGGTATGCGAATAGGGCTGGTGGGTTCGCTCGGTCGGGTAGTGCGAGGATTGGGAAGTCGCACCTCCTATTGAAGGGGCTTGGTATGATGAAGGGGCTTGGGCCTGGGGATCGTACCGGGGATTGTTGGGGTGGGATATACGGCGATCAAGGGTAGGACCGTGGCCAGCGGTAGCAGGAGTGTTGTAGATGCTCTCCCTCTGCGGCGCACCAAGTCCGCTGCCGCCCGAATATCCACCGTCGAATCGATCCCTTTCCTCTCCGTAGCCGATCGCCCCCTGAATAGACCGCGACTGAGCGCTAGTACCATTGGATGGCATGTTGAATCTGGCGTACATGGAGTCGTCGAGCGGTTCTTGCGGGTCGTTGCGAGAGGCACGCGAGTTGGCAGAGGTCGCGGAGGTGGGCGAGACGATGGGCGGGGAGCGGGCACGGAAGAAGGCGGCCTTTGTGAGCTTGCCTCCCTGGGGGGGCGGGGCCGTTTGAGCCATGACGGGGATGGGCATGGAGAGTAGGAGATGGGAAGACGTGGCGCGTTTACGTTGTGAGGAACTGACCTCCTGGCGCATGTTTTGTTTGTTGTTCTCAGAAATTCCCCTTACGTAAACCATTACCCTGTGATAATTGTCATTTTGTAGTCACCTTCCGAACAGTTTCCGGTCCCGCCGTGCTAGCCTGATCTGCATCCCGGTCAACAGCCAGCCAGTGCAGCCAGAGCGGTGCACATGAGACAATTGCACACTATCAAAATACATCCGTTGCAGGAGACGCCCCTGTCTACGTCCTTGAACCCTTCATCTTGGCGATAGCAGCTGGCGTCCTCTTCTTTCCCTTCTTCGCCACACCCTTCCTCGCCGCACTCGTCTTCTCTCGCTCTCCCTTTGTCAGAGTCACCTTCACCTTGCCCTTTGACATGTCCCTCTCCGTCGCATTCTTCGCCTTCTTCTTGGCCAACCTTCGCGCTTGCCTGTCGGCGTCGGCCGACTTGAAAGTCTTTCGTTCCTCTTTGGAAAGATCCTTGAGCTTGTCACCAAGAGCAGGGTCACCCTTCGGAACAGCACCAGCTTTGACGCGGGGTTTGGAAGCCTTTCTCGCCTTGCCGTCCTTGGCGGCAGCAGAACCGAGCTTCTTGATGGTGTTGTTAAGGGTGTTGGAAGAGGGAAGGGTTTTGCAAGGCTGGACACGAAGCTTGCGCTTGGCAAACTTGATCTTGTCCTTGTCCATCGCAAGCACTTCGTCCACACTTTCCCGGTCCTGTCATAGAGAGTCAGCTCTTGATCATGATATAATTATGTGGGCTTACGGAAAAGTGTACATAGGCAAAGCCCTTGCCCAACTGAGTCTCCTTATCTCTTACTATTCTTACACCAGTCACCCATTTGCCAAGCTCCTTGTTCTGGCCTCTCTCGGCCTTGACCAGCTCTTCAAAGTACACTCTCAAATCTTCCTCCTTGGCGGCATAATCCAGTCCACCGACAAACAGACTCTTCTTGGGGTCCGCATTGCTGGGCAACCAGGCGTCTCGCTTGCTGAGGGCGTTGGTCGCAGAGGCAAGACCAACAGACGAGGGAAGTCGAACAGTGTCGAAACGGAGAGTACGGGAGAGGAAGGTGGAGGCATTGGCGGAGGAGATGACCTCGGTAGCAGCATCGTAAGGGTTCATGACGGGAGCGACATTGGCAGCACGGTCAGGGTGAGGGTGACCGAACACAACGTAGGCGTTACAAGAGTCGATGTCGGGGTGGAACTATTGATAGGGTCAGACCACATTGGTATCAATCACGCGTAGACTTACGTCTTTCTTGATGAAGGCGACCTTTCTCTTTCCCTTGGCGTCAATGAACACCTTGTGCTCGTCGACCGCCTCGTCATCCTTGTCATCCTTCTTTCTCCAAGCAGCGGTCCTCAGCTTCTCCCTCTTGGCTCGGCTGATAGCATCCTTCTCCGGGTCCTCGGTAGGTACAGAGTCGGTGGGAGTTGCAAAGGCGACAGATCGGAATCTGACAGACTCAATCTTGGCAGTAGGGACGAAGGACTTGATGTGTGCCTTGAGTTGGTTCAAAATGGCCTGTGACAGAGTTAGTACATCACCACGAAGACTGTAGATATACATGCCTTGGACTTGGCAGCGTCAATGGGCAGGTTACCGACAAAGACGGTTCTTCTGTTCTTGTCCGCCGCAGACTCCTCTTGTGGAACAAATTTCTCAACCTTAGCCTTCTTGGCCTTCCTGGCCTCTTGAGCAGCTTTGGCAGCTTCGAGGGCCACCTCGTCGTCCTCGTCCTCGTCCTCGTCCTCGTCCTCGTCTTCGTCCTCATCTTCGTCCTCTTCCTCTTCATCAAGCTCGCTCAATGTGGCCGCATTGCTCATGGCGTCGTCGTCGTCGCTGATATCTTGAGCTTCCTCATCAACCTCATCCTCGGACTCGGACTCGGATTCGGGCTCAGGGTCGAGTGCAGGGGCGGGAGCAGACTTCTTGCCCTTCTTAGCAACAGGCGCAGAAGTCTCTTGCAGATGAGCCTTCGAGCTGCTTGCTACGGGAGCAGAAGCTGCAGGTTGGGCGAATGCACTCTGTATGAAGATCAGCTCTGTTCCTCTGCTCTATAGGGTCAACGAGAGACTTACGCTTTTGGCAAAGATATCATCAAGCTCGGCGTCCTTCACGCCGCCGAAGAGCGACGCTGGAGCCTGCTCCTGGGCCTTTTCCTCGGTATCTCTCTTTCGCTTGTTGTTCTTGTCCTTGATGGGGGCCTTGCCCTTGGCTGCTGCTGACTTGGCCATGTTGTCGTTGGAGGTGCAGTCGATTTATAGCCGAGTTCCAAAATTTCAGCAGCAGTGACGAATCATAAATGCGTCCCACACTTTACCCGTGCTAATGTTTACGAGCATCTCAATTGTCCTCTTGCATCGTCACGGCCAGCGAACAACGTCCCCCCTTGGCCCCACACAGACCGAGTCAAGAGGTAGCCGGGTCTGCCATCTGTGAAAAGGCAACTACCTCAAACGGTATCCGAAAACGGCGTCCCTTTGTCACCGCGAGCTTCCCTTGACTCCATTTCCGCATCGATATAACCACGACACTTCTCTGTAGCAGTCCCAATCGGTGCGTCTCTGCAACAGCGCATCTTCGTCCTTTATCTATAACCCTATTTGTATTAACGCGCAACAGGACTCCAATATTCAGCACAATGGCCGGTATCAACGACGCCATGGACATTGACTCTCCGGTCGCGTCAACTTCAAACCAGCCAGCTCACTTCAGCACTCCCGTCGCCCCCTTCCCTTCGCATGCCCCTTCCACTTCACTCTTTGCTCCTTCCAACGCCCCATCACCCGCGCCTCGCCAATCTATGACTCTTGTCAACAATGCCCAAGCCCGTATACCACGAACAGGCTACATCTACGACCCCCTCATGATGCTTCATTGTATGGAGGGCTATATCCCCACGGGCGAGGATGTCAAGGATGCTGGTGAAGGTCACCCTGAAGATCCGATGAGGATCAAGAGAATCTTCGCCCGGCTGGCAGAGAATGGATTAATCAGGCGGATGAAGCGATTGGAGTTTCAACAAGTCCGGTTCGATCAGGTCATGCTGGTGCACAGCGAAGAGATGTGGGACAAGGTGCAGGCTACAGAAAGTGGGTATGACGACCTTTCACCGGATCCCGTGCTGATGCATTACAGACCTCGGCGACGAAGAAGCTATAGAACTTAGAGAGTATTACGAACAGCTCTCTCTGTATGTCTGTCCCGAGACTGCCCATTGCGCTCGTCTGTCGGCCGGTGGTGTCATCCAAGCTTGCCGTTCAGTCTGCACTGGCGAGGTCAAGAATGCTTTCGCTATTGTTCGACCTCCGGGACACCACGCCGAGCCCAACGAGCACATGGGTTTCTGTTTCTTCAACAATGTCGCGGTGGCTACCCGAGAAATGCAAAGAGAAGGATTGGCCAAAAAAGTCTTGATTTTGGATTGGTGAGCTTTCCTTCGTCTCTGGGTGATCTAGCTCATTGGTCACAGGGATGTACATCACGGAAACGGAACACAACGAGCCTTCTACGAAGATGGAGACGTCCTCTACATGTCTCTTCATCGACACGAAGGCGGCACCTTCTACCCCAACAGCGACTTTGGCTCTCTCAACATGGTCGGTACCGGCGAGGGTCTCGGAAAGTCTGTCAACGTCCCGTGGCCCGGACCTGGGTTCGGAGACGGCGATTACATCTACGCTTTCCAAAGGGTCATAATGCCTATCGCTTACGAATTCGACCCCGACCTAGTCATCATTTCTGCCGGTTTCGATGCTGCCGAAGGCGACTCGCTGGGACAGTGCCATGTCACTCCTACAGCATACGGCCACATGACACACATGCTCTCCTCTCTCGCTGGAGGTAAGCTCGTTGTAGCCCTGGAAGGCGGATACAACCTCCACGCCATCTCGAACTCTGCCCTAGCCGTCACCAAGGTCCTCCTGGGTGAAATTCCGCCAGCATTGTCCAAAGTTCCCAAGGCGTCGGAAGCAGCAACAGAGGTTGTGTGGCAGGTGGCGAAGGAGCAGAGCAAGTATTGGAAAACCCTTGATTTGAAGGCGTGCGAGCCCCCAGAGGGTACGTCAAAACTGCGTCTGGTCATTCTGGGCTGACGTCGTGTAGTGAATACCACAGCCGAAGGTACCCCTGCGGTCTACAACATTGCCGACCTTCTCAAGGTTCATCGCGCCCATTGGATGTTTGAAAGACACGGCTTGTACCAGATCCCGTTAGCCAGTCCTGAACTGGAAGCTGCTTTCAGTGGACAAGTCATTTGCAAGTGCGTCTGATTCAACTATCAACGTCATGAGTTTGAGCTGACTAGCTTTGGTAGCGAGGGTGTGTACGAAGCTGGACGGAAGGGTGTTTTGGTGGTCTTCGTCCATGATTTTGGTAATCTGCGGGTTGAGATCGAAGGCGCCAGATCGACCAACGTCCACATGACCAACTCTTACCTCGTGCGTCTATCCGACAGAACGACGCCCCATGCTCATCGAGTGTAGCTTGATACAACAGACGCGATCGTTTCGTGGGTTCAAAGACAAGGATACAATCTCATCGACATCAACGTTCTCAGACAGTTACCGACTGCGTATCCCGTATGTACCCCTCGCCATATTGGCAAAAACCTACTGACAGAATAAGCAGGAAGGGCCCAAGATGGTCAGCAAGAAGGGCGGCTCCAAACTCGAATCGACATTGCTGAAGTATGTCTGGGATAACTACATTGAGTGCGTTTCTTGGTGTTTAGCTCGTGTTACACAAGCTAAACTTTGTCAAGACTGTCCGAAGCAGAAAAAGTTGTCTTTATAGGGCATGGGTCGGCCTGTCACGCCCTCATGGACCTTGTCAATGAGCGCATGGTGGAGTCCAAGGTCAAAGCTGTCGTCCAAGTTGCTGGTCTGCATTCATTAGTTCGTCCTACTCCGACCGATAGCGACAAGCTAAAGTGGTTCAAATCCGTGAGTGGCTGGCGAAGGAATCGACACATGGACTCTAATGTAGAGCAGATCAATCAAATATATGTGCCAGCGGAGCATGTCTTGTTGGATGATGATAAGGTGATGCGGAGGGTGGGCGATGCGGTCTTCGCATCACGTATGTCCAGCTTTTCTCATATAAAGGGCACTTGCTGATGATCGGTGAAGAAAAAGCAAAGGTCGTCGATGTCCTTAACGAGTCTCTCCCCCGAATCAAGCAATTTGTCCACCAGAAGCTGGAAGATGTAGCGGAGATAGAAGCTCCATCAGGTGATGAAGGGTCCGGGTCAGGGCTGGGAAAGGCCAATGGAGTGAACGGACACTCCACGGAATAGTTTGGTGAGGAGATGTGCTTGGCGGTGATAGAGGCTTTGTTGTATTCCATTTTCCGTATACTTAGGTACGATCTGGACTTTCTAATGCATGGACACCGACTTGATGCTCACAGTCGATTGATATAACTACAAGCGTACACCGCCTGACTCTATGCAGGAACGTCAAGTTAGCATATATCCATCGACGGTGGTGAGCGCCCTTACTGCCACACATCGGTAGTAGATCGGCGCGCTTTGACGACCAGGCTTTGACTGACAGGGACGACAGGGCGTTGCAGTTTGCCGACTCCCTCTCTACCATCCTGACGACCGCAGATATACTTCAGACATCATATGTACCCGCATCAAAGCATTCGAGGGGGCGAGAGAGAGGACCTCGACTCTGTGCCTATCTATGCCCCAGCACTCAAGCACCTCCCCCACTCGCACGGTGGTAAGACTAACTTGAGGGCACCCTTGGGGCTGTTCTTTTTGGGGCTCTCAGACTCCAATATTCCTCAGGCCCACAGCCCATACTGCCATCTGTGCATGGCTGGCTATGCCTCCGTTTTGCTATATAAGTGTGAGTTATGATCGTGGCCCTTGACCCTCAGAAATACTGATACTCTTTTTTGCTCCTCTTAGAGACTTTCGCTGCTATGACTGTTGCTCCTCAAGAAAATCCGCTCCCAGCATTTCATTTGCTGGTTATTCCAGCCACCTTTTGGTGAGCGCCCATCTGTAACTCTTTATCGCCAATCGGGACTGATACTGTCGCCCAGGGGGCACATGCGTCCACTCTTCCATCTTATACTCAATCTCCTCAAGCTTCACCCCCACATCCGAGCCACCATCCTGCTCTCTCCAGCTACCTCCGACCGTATGATGAAGGATCTCAACGCTTTCATAAACAGTGAGAAGAAACTGCAGAGCAGAGGCGGTACGGGATCGATCTCGGAACACCTACAAGTGGTCACTTGCGGCAAAGATAGCACTGTTGTCTATGATGCCGCCGCGGCTCAGAAGGACATCGAACACTACTCAATCGTGTTACCCGGGTTCATCAAGGGAATCTTCTCCGGTGAGAGAGATTTAGGTTACGGTCGAAACAACCGCTTGGAATCGATGATTCCGACCAAAATCATCATGGATGTAAGTCACCACTCTTTTAATGGGAACACCTCTGACAATCCGTACAGATGTGTCAGTTTACGGTCCCAGACATTCTGCGAAAGGCCGTCAGCGAAGTCGACCGGCCCATGCCTCCGGTGCTTGTGTTCTGTCCCATTAGCTTCTCGGCCATGTACTCGTGAGTCTTACCTGATGGAAAGCCTGAATGTGACGCTGATGAAATTACAGTATGTTCGTCACGAATGGTCTGCAAGGGATGTATGGTAGAGTGTTGAAGAACATTGATCGAGATGTTGCCGCGGGGATACCCGTCAAAGATGCGTATGCGAAGGTGAGTCGGCAAGCAGGGTATCGGGGTATGTATAGGGCCTGACATAGCTGGCATAGCGATCTTTCGACTTTCCCGGTGAGGTGGTCCAGTTCATTGACATTCCCTACAAGTATGACTGTGAGTGGGACCTCTGCTCAAATTCGATCATCACACGCTGATTGATTTGCAGATGAGCTGGGTATGTGCCGCCATGTCGAAGAATACTGTGCCGGCGCTGACTCATATACTGCTAGAACCGCATTGGGCTTTGCAAGAGATCCCGGCAGAAAGTCTGATGGCGTTTTTCCCCATTTACCACACCATGTTCGACCCAATCGTCAGTGGTTTCATCTTGCCCTTCACTGGCGAGTTTGAAGCCGAGACTATCAAAGTCATTGAGAAGGAAATGGGGAAGCCTTTGTTCAGCGTCGGGTAAGTCATATATGCCAAGCAATGACAACAAAGCTCATCCGTCAATCGTGCAGTCCGCAAGTCCCAGCCGATGTGTGGGGCAACACTTTGCAGAGGGAGATCGCTAGTGACGACGACAGAAAGGCTCTAACTTTCTTGGACGATATGAGGACCGTACATGGGCCCAAATCTGTCTGTTATCTCAGGTAAGTCAGCTCTTTACTTCACATGAACCACGAGCCACGTTGATCGCAATGTCAGCTTCGGATCCCTCTACTTTCCTCACCGTCGACCGGACATCATCCGCTGGATGTTGCAGACACTTCAGGAGGCCGGCATACCAGTCCTCTTTGCTCTTCCCTCGGGCCTCAAAGCCGTCCCCCAAGATTTCCTCGACGAATTCAAAGACTTCAAAGACTACTGCCATGTCACTTTCGCGCCTCAATGGCAGGTGTTAAACCATGCCGCAACCGGCTTCTTCATTGTACGCATCAATACCACTGTGAAATGATCTTGTAATCATGCTGACGCAAGACTTTCCAGACCCATTGTGATAGTAATAGTACATCAGAGGTGAGGATATCCAAGAATCATGAAGCCATACTAACACTTCCAAAGACAATCCTCGCAGAGGTTCCCATCGTTGCTATGCCCTTCTTTGGCGATCAAGGCGAGATTGCTGCCCTCCTCACCGAAGTTTTCAAGATCGGCATTGACATCAAGCAAACCAAAACGTTCGCAAATCCAGCTCACAACACCCTCTACGATGGCACCAAGATCGTCGGAACGGAGGACGTGATCAAGGAAGAAATGAGGGGTATCTGGGTCCGGATGACGGGGAAGGAGGGAGATGAGATGAGGAAGAGGGTGGCTGAGTTGAAGCAGAGGATCAAGCAGAGTGTTGCGAGTGGTATGATAGGAAGAGACTTGACCAAGATCGGACTTGGCGAGTGGGCATAGATGTACATACTATCCTCGCACATACATCACATGATCCATAGCAATGCTGTTGAGATGCGTTTGAGTTTTCAAATGACTGTCGTACCATAGGCATATGTCACATCATTGACTGTAATGACGAGTGTTGAGTAATGAGTGTCGCGACGCGTCCAGATGAAGGAGGCCTGGGTCAGAATGAAGGCACCGGACGGAAGCGATATGCGACTGAGACTTAAGGAGGTAAAGAGTAGGCTTAGGGATAGCTTGGCCAACGGACGAGCTGGGCACGATATGGTGAAGCCTGGTCGAGTAGATTAAGCGCGTCGAGCCGTTGTCAATGTCGAATCTGTCAATGATATTGTTCTGAGTTCCTTGAAGCGAAGAGTTCACTGTTATATATGTTCATAAAGGCTTACATTACCCGAGAAGCTACAATAGAGTCTCCGACCAGATGAACAATGCGCATACGAATATGAACTGGAAACGGCCACAGCCTAGCGGATCGCAGATCGCGGATTGTAGGTCGAGTGGACTAAGCGCCGCATCCGTAGTCGATACCATTGAAGCTCGTCCCCGAGTAAAGCGATTGTCCATATACAGAGCGTACAATGCATACGAGATATTACAGAACCTGCAGCTCAAATGCGCCACTGTGGAAAGGGGAGCAGACGCGTTAGCAAACTCAGTCAACTGTGCACGCGGCATCCCGTTTATGCTTCGTATCGTTGAACCAGCATGCGTTTACCACTCCCTTGTTGAAAAGCCATTGGATCGCCAGGCTCCGAACAAGGACCTGCACCGTACGACAAAAAGACAAAAAATCAGGTGTCACAGGGATTCGAACCCTGGTCGATTGGATTTTTCAGTTCCAAGGAATTACTCAAAACCAAACGTCCTAACCACTAGACGATGTCACCATTTACGTTCGGCTTGCCTGTTGTATGACTATGTTCGGTATGGGTATGTTCGATGTTGCACTCATATTGTCAAGAGGCGTGATTCATCTGGCTGCAGATAAGACGCTAATATACGAGACTCGTGAATTCGTATGTTCAACCGGTCAACCTCAGCCTATTGCCATGCGCCATCAACACATCATGTACACTTACGTATAACATAGAAATTAAGCTGCAGGAGATGAGACTTCATGAGAGAGCTTGGAAGTCGAGGTCCATATTGGGCGAATACACTAGCGGTCTCCTCATGCTGACTCTCTGTGGTACTCTAGTTCCAGGATATCCGGCAGCCTTCTTCCTCTTTGCCACATCCAGGCAGAGTGCCTAACATCATGATCTCATGATAACACTTACGGCCAAACCATCATGGTGACATCGTCTAGTGGTTAGGACGTTTGGTTTTGAGTAATTCCTTGGAACTGAAAAATCCAATCGACCAGGGTTCGAATCCCTGTGACACCTGATTTTTTTGCATTTCTTTTTGCTTACTCCATCGTACTTGCTGTCTGCTGCTGTTACTATACATAGGTGCAGTTTATCTTCACGCTCATGTGGTGGGTACTCATACAAAGGTCCTCATACGCGAAAATCTGCACGCCATATCTGTCGGCATAGACTTTAGAATGCCGATGTACTCAAGGACGATTGGGGGATCTGAAGTTTGAGATCTCTACTCGTAAAGATCTTTTGAAAAGCTTCACAAGTTTCCAGCGAGGCCGGGGAACCCAACAAGATGTATGTGCGACGGTCCGACACATCCGCATCCGCCCAGCGTGATCAACGACGCCCAGCGCTCACAAGGTTCATAGACCGTCGGGTAGTACGCAGCTACACGTTCACATATAGTACGCAATCCTATAGCAAAACCATACATGCGATGAAGAGGACGAGCCAGTGAGCAAAGAGTAAACAAAGATCTAAGCTACGGAACAGCAGTATCAAACACCCGCCGTCTTCTTTCCGAACGTTCCGATGCCAGGGATGATAAAAATTACAAACAAAGAGAGTTTTGGGCCAGCCTCGCCTACCATCCGCCAACAGCGCACCCATGTGCAGTCGGAATAGATCTACGGGAAAGAGACCGGCATGAACGGATGTCAGAGAACATGGGGGCGATCGACAAAGAACTAAGCTTAAAAAGAGATCTTTGGGAGAGATCCGCCACACCCGTCACCGCAATTATCGCCAGTCTTCTTTTGCTCTGCGTCAATCCTTCTTTTCTGATTGGCTTTTTGGGGTCCGCTGTTGACTCGCGCCGAGATCTCTGTTCTGTCGGAGTCTGACGCATGGGTTCTTCGGGTGAGTAACCTCTTACCACGAAGAGTATGTATGCCTTTTTCGATCAATTGTCGTTTATCCTTACTCCTTTTACTGGAATCTTCTGCAAAAATAGATCTCATCTCTCCTTTGCCGCCGGGTTTGTCTCTTTCACTCGCTTGGCCTGAACACCGTCACACTCCCGTCACTCATTCGACTCACCCTATTTTTCGGGAGACATCCTCTTTCGGTACACCATGCAGGCAACACAGCTCTCCGACTCTACCCATACGGAGAAAGGGGCATCATGTCGTACAAATCCCTATATTATTTACACCTCGACCCTTGTTGCTCGTGTCCGCTTCAGAGAGATGAGAATGCATTCCATGTCCGCTTCACTCTTCCATGCTCGTCATCGTTAAAACCTCCACTCTTCCCGTCCACCCGGCTCCACAGGCCACCGGCTCCACTGCACTAGGCCCTCTTTCCGACCTCTTCTTCCGCTAGAACGATTTCTTTACCGCCAACCGTTCCCGTCCTGCCCCTCACCCCGAAAGTCAGTGCATACCCAGGCGGCAGCTCTGTACCCGCTGGGGGCAGCTCCAACACTGGCCAGCTCGCGGCTTTGGGCTTTGTGAGGGTAATCTCAATCTTGGTGCCGAGGATGCGGTAGGACGAGTCGGCAGGGGAGATGGGGCCGTACAGGGTGATGGTCTTTTCAATACGGCGGAGGGAGGGGAGATGGAGCGAGAGGTGAAGGGTCGTGTCGGTGAATGTGACTTTGGACAGCTGCTTGTCGGCGCTTGGCGAGAGTTAGTGGGGAGCCAAAGGGTTAGTATCGACTGACGTACTTTTTGGCAAATGCAGATACGTGCACTTGTGTAGGTGTCTGATAGTGGTCGACTCTACAGTTTACGAATTCTTCCTTGGTCTTTCCGCGCATTAGCGTCTGACGCCAGTCCCTCGCGCTGAAAACTTACCTCGTCCTTTTTCTGGCCCACAAACAGGTGCTTGCCCTCCTTGCAGCCTTTGATCTTGATAAACTCGTCAAACTCCAACACCCTCCGCTTGCAGCACAGGTACCCTTTCGATCCCTCATGGAAGACCGCCTTCCCGTTCATCAGCACTCCATCATATAGTGACAAGGGGGCACTTACAGACTGAGGATGATACCGACAAGTAGCCTTCTCCCCCTCCCCTCTCGAAACCTCCTCTCCCTCCCAAGCGGCCCCACAAGCCGTCCTCTTACACCTCGCACCTTCGGGCACGGGCAACGAGACATCATCCTCCTCTTCTTTCACCTCCTTCTTCTCCTCTGCCCCTCCCTGCTTTCCACCCCCTACTATGGCCGCTGTGGGGGCAGGCGCAGGCGCTGGGGTGGGGAGGACAGGTGTCTGATTTTCGATCTTTGGACCCGATCCTGAAGAAGCGGAAGGAGGAGGCACAGAGCCGTACGTCTCGACACCGTCTTTGGAGCTCGTCATAGCTGGGGCGGAATTGGATGTGTCTGGCTTCTGGGCGGGGACGGAAGGGGTGGCACGAGGGACGGATGTGTGGGTACCGGTTGTACAAGGTGGGAGCTTCATGAAGGCGTCAAACTCGAGCACGGGCTAGGGCATTGATTGTCAGTTCCATTCCGAGTAAGTGTTGAGGCCGCCGACCTTGTTGGTGTCTTTGCAACACGCTGCACCATCATCAGCGCCATTCTGTCAATATGAAGTATCTCACTTACACCAGGACTTTAATCCTTCATGAAAGACCTATTCATGATCAGAGTATATCGCGTTGTCAAGTCACTCGACACTCACAGGCCCTCCGGGATGATAAGCACAAGTGCCCTCCTCTTTCTTCTCCTCGTCAAACTCTTTCCCGCAGGCTTGGTTGGTGCACTTGACAATAGCCATACTTTCGTTGGTTTGAGGGGCTCTTGCAGGTGGTATAGGAGTGACCGAGATGTTTGAGCGTCAGAGCCAGACTTGAGCCAGACCGAAATGTCTAGAAGGTGGGTCACGTGATTGGTATTTGTGCGTCATTCTGAATCTTTGGATGGACGTCTGAAGCTGATCTCAAGATACAGCATCGGGATCGAAGCATGAAACACATGTCGTATAGGAAGGGAATGTAGAACCAAACAATTATCAAGTGGTATTACAATGCATACTCTCCCATCTGGCCTTATCTTGCCCTATCTTCTCACCATCCACAACACCACGAATATGAACAAGACGAACAACAAGAACAGCATGAACCAGCACCAATTTCCGCCTTGCCGGGTAGCCATCTTGGTCATGCGTTTAAATGTACCCGAGAGGATAGTGGTGGCAGACGCAAACGAGTCGTTCTATAGAGAGTCAGCGCGCAGCCAAGAAGATAAGAGCGAGTGAGACACACCATGTTGCCAAGCTGAAGATTACTATCCCGCACTTCATCTCCTATGCCCTTGGTGATCTGCCGATCACATCAGCATTACGTCCATATGCTCCAGATCTGCACGACGACTGCCGATGCCGAGCGAAACGCCCGCGCTCACATCTTTTAAAATCTTGACCTTTCCCAAGAGCCCATCCAGCCGTTCATCGTTCTGCCCTTCCACATCGTGCGTCGCTGGTGTGTACCCCGAGCCGCTGCTTGCCATGCCACCGCCATAGGGTGATTCAGAGTACTGGCTCGCGGAGCTCGCTGGGCGATAGGGTGTGCCGCGGCCTGATGAGGGGCCCGAGGGTGGGTAGAGGACGTTGGAGGATGAGGAGGCGTATGTGGGGTTACGTTGGTATAGACTTGAAGGGTGGAATAGGTGAGAGGGTCAGTTTATGAGCCACAGAAGGAGGTGGAAGAATAGGACGGAGGCTTGGACATCTGCGGGAGGCAGGTTTTGGAAACTCACTTGCTCATTGCGAGTCGAGTTTGATAGGACTGGCACGCTCTGTGGACAGTGGGGAGCAACGACCTCAAGGCGACTGGATGCGTGGCGGAGGAGCGGGGACTGCCGCCGTGCTGACTGTGTCCGGGATGTCCTGATGCACGCGGACATACGGACCCACGGGGGTGAGAAGGGCGGGAGCAAACAGTCCCTGAGCCCTGAGTGGGTCCCAGTCCGAAATGCTCCTGTTCGGATGGGGTGGATCGGGACAGCAGGCCCAGGAGAGAGGGAGGCGGGGTTTTCAGCCCAGTGTGTTCCCTTCGGAGCAGCCTTCTTCCAGGCACCTTCGAGGCACGCCCACCACAGCATACCCGGCTCTGTGTACTTAAGCGCCCTCTGCGTCTCTCTCTCCCCCCACCCCAGCAGCGATGGCCTTCTCCTACTACTCCCGCCCCCGCCCCCAGCACGGCCCCCCTCCCCCACCCCGCGCCCAGCAGCAGCCACAGGGATACCTCTACCCCGATCCCTCCCCCCACGCAGCGCTGGCCACCTCCTCCCCTCGTTTCCAGCCCTATGCCCGTCCAGCGCCCAAGTCCCACTCCCCGAGCTCCACCTATCTCGGCAGCCCCCACACGGGCTACCTCCCCCAGCAACCCTCACCCCACCCCTCTTCTGCCCATCCATCTCCCTCATACATGCAGTCGACTTCAGCACCCTCTGCATTCGACCCGCCCAGTATGCCCGAACCGATGCCATTCAGCTCGGCAGGCTACGGCGTGGGTGACGGCTTGTATGACGGCACCTCTTCGTTCCCCGGCTACGTCGACCCCAATGGGCCGGCTGCTGCTGCTGCGTCAGAGAGCAGGAGCTGGGAAAACAGCACGAGAGACGTCGCACCAGATGATTATGCTCAGGTATGTCTCCATTCCATGCACTCCCCTTGTTCCTCGGGACCCTTCTCTCCCCGCATAACGAAGGCTGACTAGATTGAATAGGCGCTCGCACTCTACACCCACATCTGCAACTCGCTCCCCTACTACGTGCCCACCTCTCAGCCTGCCCCCAACTCGTCGTCCTCGACGCCGCCGACGACATTCGACAGCATCATCGGTCTCGCAAGCGAGGGGCATAGCATTCTCAGCGGGCAGGCACCTCCGTCCACAAGCGCGATTGACATTGGCTCCTTTGGGCCGTCTTCTGGCTTTACTTCTGGCGTCGAGTCGCCAGAGGGTAGGATTGGCGGCGGCATCGCCTCTGGGAGTGCGGCCGCTTCGACTTCTGCTGTCGCCACGCCGGTCACTGCTCCCGCGTCCATATCTTCGGCTGGACGAAAGAGGCGCAACTCGGGCAGGAAAGAGCCCGCTGGCCCTCCGCCCACATGTCTCGGATGCGGTGCCACAGAAACACCTGAATGGAGAAGAGGACCGATGGGACCGAGGACTCTGTGCAATGCTTGTGTAAGTCCTAACTCGCTTCTTGCATGATCAGCGGCTGACTTTTTCACAGGGCCTGGTGCACATGAAGCTGCAGAGGAAGAAGAGAAAGGCGGAAGAAAAGGAGAGGGCTGCTGCTGTCGCTGCGGCTTGATCCAATCTCTTCATCGACACCCCTCCAAAAGGCCACTCGGTCCCGCGCCTCGGCGCCCTGCATACCCATACCACTGCATAGCCACTTTACCATCACGCATAGACTTGTTGTTGTAGCACTTTTTTCATATTCATTTTCATAATCAGCCACCTTCGGCCTTCCTTCCTTTCTCTACAGATGAGTCCTATTTCGAGCACTTTTTTTCCGCCTCGAGCAAAATGTGTATACACGATGATCAGCTTTCTTATGGGTTTTGGGAACGTCTCATGTCATGTATACAAGTGCTCTGTCCAATGCCTCGTTCAAGTCTCTTCATCAGGTACAACTTGTACACTCTTATATATGACCGCTACAATCTTTCCTCTTCATCTAGATTCGCCTTTTCCAACCCGCTTATCAACGCTTCAACGTCGTCGGCATCTTGTTCTTCGTCGCTACCAGTCAAGTCTTGCGAGACCTTGTCGGCCCATTCGGCGCCCGTATGATTGGGATTGGCGACAAGCAAATCACCGCCTTCGTTGGCTTCTGTTGTCGCTGTCAGCCTTGCTATTTCTCATTCTTGATAGTGTATGCAAACCTTTCAGACGTTTCCTCTCTTCCTTCTCCTCCTCCATTTCCCGTTGGATCTCCGCTTGCATAGCGTTCACTTCATCCGCATCTTTGCAGCTGGTATAGCGTTCGATCAAGTGAGAGTTGAGTTTGTAGAAAGAGTGGCCCCAAGAGAATTTCGAGAGCCTAAGCGCAAATCAGTGTCATCCTTGAAAGACATGGGAGAAAGGGGCTTACAAGATCTCAGCCCAGTCGGCGTGACCCGTGATGTAGAATCCAGCAGCGAGCGCTTCGACGCAGTTCAATCTCCAGGGTTTACCATAGTTGACAGGGTTGCTCGCGATCAAGAATGGTACTAGTCCGTGTTAGCCATCTCTTCTTCGAGTTGTGAAGAGATGACAAGAGACTCACGTAATCGCTCGTAGGGCGACTTGATCTTGTTGAAGGGCACTTCATCCAGACGAGCCCAACTACACTCGACGACTGCCAATCCGCTCATCTGCACGATCTCATCGTCATCAGGCGCGATGACCTTTTTCCCTTTCGGTCTGATTCTTCCATCAGCATTGCACAATACCAGCAACAATACTATGACTTACGTCAAGACGATCCCTCGGAATCGCTGCCCCACACGCATAGCGTTACACAACCCATGCCTCGATAGCTTCTTTCCCGAGCACCGTTTAGGATCACAGTGATCAAAATCCCACATAGCCACAGGGACATCAATAGTCGCCTGCTGCTGCTGCTCCTCCTCACTACTCCCTTCCCCCTCTTCAGAACCCTCGCCCTCTCCACCCTCCTGCTCCTCCCCTTCTTCTCCGGAGCTCGACCCAGACCCAGACCCTTCGCTCTCTTCAGAATCATCCGAATCAAGATTCTCCCCCGCCATAACCCTTCTGAAAACTTCCTCATCGTCCATCCCTTCCCGCTTGCCCCCGACCGGGGCCCCTTGTCGCAAACCCTTCTGCCTGCCGGTCGTCGCTGCTCGTCCGCCACCTCCACCCGAGGCTGAACCGCCTCTGCCTCTACCGCGTCCACGGGCGGCGGGACGGGAGTTGCGTTCTTTGTTTGGTTTTCCCATGATTTTTGTGTTAGGCCAAGGTTTGAAGACGAAAAGGAAAGATGATGTGATGGAGCAGGATCGGGTCGTTGTTGTTGATGCGCCGAGAATCATGAATTTTGACTCGGGATTATATCGGGCGGATGTGACCGCTTATCATTCAACCCGTCTCTTTCTATGTTCTCCATCTTCCATACCCACTCTCCCTTGTCTTCTTCTATGTATCCACCATAGGACCCAAAATTAACCCAAAATGCCTGTTTGTAATGCCCCCCTTCCGTTCAGGGCTGTTCCTCGCCTCGGTGACATCGTCTAGTAGTTAATAGGACGTTTGGTTTTGAGTAACTCTCCTTGGAACTGAAATAATCCAATCTACCAGGGTTCGAATCCCTGTGACACCTAGCTTGTGGTTACCAGAGTCATCTTCAGAGCATGTCGATGTTCGCCCTCAGCTCAGGCGATAGACATGGCTGTGACTAGCAGATTGCATAGTAGCATTTCGACGTTCATATACACAATTGAGAATTGTACAACAAGACCGATCACCGACCACCATGACTTGTGAGCATTACACGTCTACTCTTATTCTCTCCAGGAGAGGAATGATCTGAATCGAGTCAGCGCCACCCATCTTCCCGATGAACAAACTCACCCTGTCCCAATCATCCATCGCAGCCTGCAACATCTCCACCTGTCCATCCGCATACCCTTGCAGCGCCTCCTTCATCTCTTCCCTCTTATCCAGCTCGTAATAGTTGTGCTCCTTCAACACCTCCTCCGAGAACGCATTCGACGTCTCGTGCGCCAGCGTCACCGCCTCTTGCAACTCTACGATCTTGCCGTCGAGCTTTCGCATACGTTCGCGCCGGGTGTGGATGTCGTCGGTGCCCCGGATCTTGTCGACTTGGTCACGGAGGTATGTACCAAGCCCGACTGGAGCACCTGCATGCCCGGAAGAAAGAGCAGCAAGGCGATCCCGTTCCGATACGACGGCAGACAGGTATGCGGAGAGCTCTTCAAAGTCGAGTTGTTTTTGGTCGCGGGCTTTGATGATGTTGCGATGGGCTGCCGAGTAGGCGAGCAGGGAGTGCGTAGAAGAGATGAAGGGCTCGACTGCTTCTTGGTTCTACGAATTGTGAGCGGTTGCCCTTCCTGGATTTGAAGCACATACGGTGTGCTTCAGAAGACCTGAGAAGTCGACCATCTTTTCCGCGAAACGGTTGAGGGGCTCGGTGATACCAGACTCGAGATATCCGAGACCTTGGTAAGCAGCCGCCATATCCAGATAATCCTGTGCCAGGTCTGATCCAATGTCAGCTCTCATTCACCAGCAGAACACCCGAGCTCACCATCAAGCCTCCCTTTCCCTCTTCCAACAACCCGATCCACTCCCGTCAACCCCTCTTCGAACCTCTCCAGCTCTTCCGTCATCTCCAAAAACCTAGCATCTGGCTTGCGTACTTTGGAGAAGGCATTGATGAATGTGTCAGAGACAGAGTCAATCAGAGAGGTATGCGAGTCCGGGGGCGGGTGGGAGATATGGTGATGCTTGGCCACCGTCCATTCGGTGGACTGGAGAAAGTCGTTGGTGAGCTGACTACGCTGGAGGGTGGGATGGTTGGCGATGCGGTCGGCAAAGCGTTGCAAGCTGTCCGCAATTAGCCCCGTCTTTTCTGGATCATACAGGCAAACTCACTCTTGTCGACGTTTCTCAATAAAGTCTCCAGAAAATCGATCTCCTTTGATGTATTCCAGCCTGTGCTTGTCTGGAATTGGAGGGACTACGCAGGCCGGGAATGCCTTCACCAGATGCTCGCGCAGAAAGACAAAGTCCTGGAATCGCCTCCTCACCACGGTGTGCTGCTTCTTGAATGTCTGGAGATTGGTCTGAGGCGGATTAGCTATACCCCAGCGCATCACTCAGAGGCTTACGTGGGTATGGACAGCATACGACACATACATGTCCTTACTCCCTTCGTGCTCCTTGAACGGTTCCTTCACATCCACCTTCATCCACCTCCCGTTCCACTTGTTCGCATCCACCCCTTCCCCACCTTCCGCTGCGCGTTCCTTCCTCGGCAGAGTGATAGTATCATCCCCGTCCCCTTCAAAGTCTCCTGCGTCGTCTTGAGAGGCGTGAGACCAGCCCTCGGAAGACGCGGAGGTGATATGCGGATTGTGGGATGGGATGGATTCGAAGCCCTCGTCAAATGGAGAGGACGAGTGGGAGAGGGTGGATTGTTGAGAAGGCTGGTCGTCCCATGCGATGGAGTGGAAACCGTCTTCGTCGAGGGGTCCGGGCATGGCGATATATGGTGTATAGAGAGAGGACGAACGGTGAAAGAGATGATGAGCGCAGTCGATCATGTGGTGACATCGCCACTTGCGCGTTGCGCGTGCAGCCAACAACAATCGCGTCTAGTTTTGGTCTAGTATCTCCAGTTTGAAGTTTGACTTCAAATATACATATGCGCAATACATCTCGACCCCCTCGGATCAGGCCTGCCAATACCACCGCACACCCTGTTTCCCGTTGCACAACAGGCCGCAGAAGTGCGAGACCCAGAATGGGACCAAGCAAGCTGCTCGTACGACATCCTCACAGAGACACCTCTCGCATACTTTACTACGACGCCTCAATTACCGGCAGTCAGCACCTTGATACTCTGGACCTAATTGGTGGCTTTGGGATTGGTTAGTGTTGACGATCTACGAAGTTGGACATACGTTGCTGGTTTCTGGTTTGTTTTTGGTCATGTTTTGGTATGGTCCATGGTATGCCGTCATGCGAGCTGCAAGGAAGAGGTGTTTGGCCGGGAGAGAGCTGGTCAGGATGCAGGTGCAGAGGCGCTGCATGAGGGGGAATAGGTGTGAGTACATGGTCCTTCCAGAGTGTACCCCAAGGACCATATCAACAACGCTCGCCGAAGCGCGGACCCGTCGTTCTTTCACGAGTGAGCAGTCCAACAGTGCAGCACGTCTATTCGAGACGTCGGCCATTGGGCAGTATGGATTCGTCGGGAGGGGATGTATGCGGCCGGTTTTACCAATTGGGGTACACTCTGGAAGGCCTGTGCACTCACAACTTCATTCCCCTCATCCAGCGCCTCTGCACTTGCATCCTGACCAGCTCTCGGCTGCCAACGAGCCATAAGAGGTACAAGAGGACCTCACAATGTTTTGACGCACGTTGGCTGTCTCCTCTCTATAAAAACCGTTAAACAGGTAGAAAACGAAACAAAAACAAATAAGGAAACAACAACTTATGTCCGACCTGATTTTGTGAAGCGCTATTTCAAGCAGCAGAGGCTTCAGAATGCATCATGTATATGTCATCTTTGACTATCGACATGGAAACAGGCGAAGCTGAAAGACGAGAACGAGACAACTGTCAACTGAAGGGCCAATGTCATGCATCCCTACGCTGAACAGCCTTCCAAGGCACTACATATATCACATATCGACACAGGATGATTGAATCCTGTATGCAACGCGATGACAGACCAACAAAAGAAAGAGATGATAGGCGCAGCGGTGACATCACCAAACAGCCCGGATCCGCGATGTCAAGTCGTCCAAAAGTTCTTTCCATCGATTCCAATCTGTTCCCCGACCATAAATCCGCTCTCAATAACCATGTCTGGCATACTGAACAGAGCAATCAATGTGTACGCCATCCCACAAGACCTCCTTGACTCGCTCGCAGTCCGGTCCATCGAAGCCGATCCCATCACACAAGAAGAGCCACTCCCTGCCCCCGCCCCGCCACAGCCTCTCGGCACTGGAATATTCTGCCAGACCTGTCCTCACGCCGAGTTTGAGACTGTAGAAGATCAGAGGGCCCATTTCAAGAGCGATTGGCATAGGTATAATGCCAAGGTGAAGCTAAAGGGAGGTGGAAAGGTAGTGGGCTTTGAAGAATGGGGTAACCTCGTGGAAGGTGAGCTTCCTACCTGCGCATGGAATTAGGGTTTATAAGGCATAGGTGTGAGCTCTATCTCAGGAAGTGCTTCCTCCACATCCGGATCGGAACAATCCAAGGTCGCTCGACTGCTGAACAAGCACACCCTTCATCCCTCTGAGGACGGTTCTTCTGAAGCCGCCGAACTCGCTGATCGTCAACGACGAGCCCATCTTCGAACAGCCATCATCTGGTTTTCCCCTACTTCCCCCCTCCCATCCCTCTCCATCCCCAAAGATACCCAATTTGGTATTCACCGGGCATTGTTCCCGCCTTATGACAAAGCGGGTGATTATCTGGAAGAGCTCAAGAGGATGCAGCTTGGTTCGGAAATGAGCAATGCGGTAGAGGAGGAGCAAGAGGGGGAGAGAAGGATCGTTTTGTTGATGGTAGCTGGAGGACACTTTGCGGGGATGGTAGTTGGCTTGCGCCCGAGGGGCAAGACGGAGAAGCAAGAGGTCAAGGGGGCAGGCGATGTGCGTGTTATCAAGCACAAGACATTCCACCGATACACCAGTATGTCTCATTTTTATTCAGATGATTTGAGCTAACGGAGTGTAGCCCGAAAGAAGCAAGGTGGTTCGCAAGCCCTCAACGACAATGCCAAGTCCAAGGCCGTTTCTGCGGGTGCCATGCTTCGTCGTTACGGCGAGACCGCTCTTCAAGAGGAGATCCGCGCCCTGATGATTGACTGGGCAGAGGATCTTGAGGCATCTGAACGAATCTTCATCCGCGCGAGTACCCATGGCAAGAAGAGCTTCTGGGGCTACGAAGGTGCTGTGTTGGACAAGGGAGATGAGCGAATCAGGACTTTCCCGTTCCCAACGAGAAGGCCGACATTGCAGGAGCTCTTGAGGTGCTGGCACGAGTTGACGAGGGTCAGGGTCTCGCATCTGAGCGAAGGGGCGTTGAAGGAGCTGGACGATGCATACATCGCCTCGCTCCAGCCCAAGACACAGACGAAAGCCAAGCCTCAGGCTTTGCCAGAGAAGAAGGCTGAGCCCACGACGCCAAAGTTGACGGAAGAGGAAGAAGCCAGGGTGGACAGGGTCAAGAGGCTGGAAGAGATGGTGAAGAAGGGGCGGATCAATGCTCTTAGGGCATTTTGGGAGAAGCACTCTACCGAATTCTTGTCCCTCTCACCACCCGGCGCCCCGGTATTGGAGGCGGATGCCCAATCCGCATTCACCCAGTCCTCCCTCCTCACCCTCGCCTCATCTGCTGGGCAGAACGAGGTCCTCACCTACCTGCTCTCCGATCTTCACTTCAACCCCACCATCCCCTCTCCCTCAGACCCCACTAAACGCCCCTACGACCTCTCTGCCACCAAGGCCACTCGAGACATCTATCGCCGAGTGGCGTATGACGATCCCGAGCTGTGGGATTGGAAACTTGCCCGCGTGCCCGAAGGGCTGAGTGAGGAGCAAGAGGCGGAGCAAAAGGAGAAGAAGGCGGGCAGGAGAAAGGGGTTGAAGGACAAGTTGAAGGAGAGGGAGAAGACTAGACAAGAAACGGTAGCGAAGGAAGAAAAGGAAGAAGAGGAGAGGAGGCTAAAGAAGGAAAAGGAAGAGAGGGAGAAGCCGACGAGGATGGGCGCCAAGGGACCGCAGAAGCTGGGGAGTGCGGGCACTGGCAGTGAAGGGTTGGCGGGGTTGAGCCCAGAGATGAGGCAGCAGATTGAGAGGGAACGGCGTGCACGAGCCGCCGAGGCGCGTTTTGGCAGATGATAGAATCGTAGATTCATATATGATTGTAATGCACATCTAATCTCTGACCCATTTTTCCGCGTACCTCTCATTCTGTACCAATTTTTCTGCCTCTTGCGTCGATACAAACTCTCCTACATTCTTCAACAGCATATTATGCAGCATGATGGCAGCCGCGACCATATCCCGTGGTCGCTCCTGCTCGCCGTCAGGGATGACGGCCTCGCTGAAATACTGGAAACGGCCCTTGAGGCGGCCCCAGGCAAGCTGAACAGTCTCATGCAGGGGCAAGGAAGCGCGCGAGTTGAACGATCGCTACAGTCACGTCAGCCACCGCTCACTTTCAGAGCTTGCTACTCACTTGATCAGCAAGGATTGCCTCCCCATCCGTCTTTTCGATAAAACTCGCTGCCCCTATATCATACAACGACAACACCCTCTCCCTGCGCCTGAACCCCTTGTCCGCAATCACCACTTGCTTCGAGTCAAACCACCTTCTTTCGTTATCCTTGACGTTCCAAGGCATTCTATCCAGCTGGCTCACGTCCGCCTTGGGATCACTCGAGTAGCCAAGGTCCACCCATCTGATCCTGCCCTCATTGTCTGCAACGCCGAGGACGTTGAGACCTATACGGTTGTCGGGGTGCCATTCGGGTAATGGAATGTTGGGTTGGGCACCGCGCTGGAGACGGATATGGAAACCGTCTAGGAAGCCGACACAGTCGGGAAGGGTATGCTTGGAGGAGATGGCTTGGGAGATGAGGATACGCTCTGGCGGCAGGGGCCAGGAGATGTAGGAGGTTTGGAAGGAGAGGAGAACAGTGAGGGAACGATTGATCCATTCTTGGACATACTCGGCTGTATAAAGTGTCAGCCTTGTAGCAAGAGGGAATCAGGGACGTACGGCTGATCTCAAACTTGTCTGCGATACTCTTCAACGTCACACTCGGCGGCTGGGCGAGTCTGTAGATGCAGACAGCCAGCTGATACTCTGCTTTCCCCTGCTCCTTGACGTCGTCGGACTCAAACACCGTATGCAGGGCAAACTTTCCGAACACTTCCCTCTGCATATCTCCTCTAGACATCCGGAAGTCTGCTTTGAACTTGTCGGCTGGTTGGGAGAGGATAGCTTCGATGGTTTCGCTGGTGACAGCCTTGAGTGGTTCGGGCTCAGGCTCGAGTTCGGGTTCTGGCATTGGTTCACTCTTATCCTCTTCCACGGGAGTCTCCTTCTCTTCCACCACCAGCTCCTTCTGGCTCTCCCCCTGACCCGCGGCCTTAGCCCTCACCTTCTCCAACACCTGCTTTCTCGCCAGCTCTGCCTCATAGAGCTCCTTGTAGAGTGGGATATGGCCCAGCGGGCGCAGTTGGTTGAGGACGAGGTCCAGTTGTCCTAGAGCCTCATCTCTTTCGCCTTGTGCAGGCATCTTGGGATGCGTTGGAGAGAGACAAATACACGCGTGGTTTGTATAGACAAGAGGTGAGACAAGTGGTGACATCACGAGGGGTGTCCGGATTCATCCGCGCTGCTTGGGCGTGGCATCCCCTCTCCCCGCTTCGACACGATAAACTCATCTCTCTCTCTTTCCCCTCTTTCATACACCAAGTATAACCACAATGGCTGAACAACTCGTGAGTGCTCTACATCCCTTGTGGGTGGGAGGTTGCCATGGGGCGGGAAGAGGGGGAGAGGGTGAAGCGCAGACGACTCCCCCGGCCCCGCGCGACGCGAGCCTCACTTCTATCTGTACATCGCTAACACTCTCTGCAGACTAAGGGTAAGCACTCGCAGCGCGGTCTTACCGGGTGACACACTGCCCACTTCACTAACTGCTCTTCTCCCCCTCCGCGTTCAACAGAACAAATTGCCGGTATGTTCCACAACCCCTTTTCAGATCTGGGGACTCGATCTGACATTCTGCCGTGTTTTAGAATTCAAGGAGGCTTTCTCCCTCTTCGACAAGGGTATGTTTGCGCGTGCTGGTAGGGGGTGGTAGCGTGATTGGGTGCTGATGGGCTTGTCTTTTTCTTGGTTTTTTCGACGTTGCTCTATTCTGGGTGCACACCGCCTTGATCCCCTCTTTTTCTCCTCTTCACTACGGACAACTCGCGTTCCCCCTCACGACTCATCCTCATTCCTGATGGCCTACTTGTCCTGACACGTATGCGATACGACGCGCAATTGTACAGACGGCGATGGAACTATCACCACCAAGGAGCTCGGTACCGTCATGCGCTCTTTGGGCCAGAACCCTACCCAGGCTGAGCTTGAGGATATGATCAACGAGGTGCGTTATGATCCCGTCTCTCTCTCTCTCTTTCGCGGTGGTTGTAGCCGCTTTGGGGGAGCGACCATGTAAGAAGTGTGTGCGCTGACGAGCCGATGACAGGTCGACGCCGACGGAAACAACTCTATCGACTTTGCCGAGTTTATGACTCTTATGGCTAGGAAGATGCACGACACCGACTCTGAGGAGGAGATCCGTGAGGCTTTCAAGGTGCGTCTTCTTATTCTCTCGCTGCTTGAAGCAGCAAAGAAGAAGGAAACTAATACACGCGGCAGGTCTTTGACAAGAACAACGACGGCCACATCTCTGCTGCCGAGTTGAAGCACGTCATGAGTATGTTTTTTCTTGTCAGATCCAGGTTGTCAGCTGATACAATGCATAGCCAACCTCGGCGAGAAGCTCACAGACGCCGAGATCAGCGAGATGATCCGGGAGGCCGACAAGGACGGTGCGTTACATTGTGCTGTGGGGCATCAAGGTGGGCAAGCGCTGATGGACTGATGCAGGCGATGGTATGATCGACTACAACGAGTTTGTCACTATGATGATCGCCAAAGTACGCTCCCATTTGTATGACTCTAATGGATGCTGACTGCGCATAGTAATCGCCCCTCGTATCCCTCTCTGTGCTGTCCAAGAACAATCTTGCCAAAAACGACGACCCCCTTTTATCCCCTTCTCTTTTCATGATGCGTATGACTGTTTGACTGTGGAGGAATAGGCAGAAGGGAAGTAGAAGATAAAGCTTGTACATCTGGGATGAATGATTGCCATGTCTGCTTGATGGACGATCCACGGGCAGGGGCGGGGATGGCCGCAGGCACGGGGTAGGGCTGACATCATTCCGGGAAGGATCTGGAACTGTGCGGCGACGTCATCACCTGCCATTCCGGCCCATACATATTTAATAAATCCGTTTCTATCTCTTTCTCTCTTTCTCTCTTCTTCCTACAACCCATCTGCACCACCCGTGAGTCATCTCCATCTATTCTCCATCTATTCCCCCCTATTCCCCTCCCTCCCCCTCCCTCCCCCTCCCAGATGGATGTATCGGCAGTGTCGGCACATTGATCCCCCACCTCTCCCTCTGACCCACGCTGACGCCTGCTCCTTTGTCCCTGTCCCCACTCCTTTCGTCTCCCGTATATATACCCTCCATCCAGACACAAAACACATCAATCACATTCACATTCACAATGGTCGCCCAAGAAATGAACGCTCTTCTCTACTCCGAGGTCAGTCTCTTATCACTCTGCACCATCCCATACTAACCCTTCACAGGCCCGAAAGTTCTCTGTCACCAAGGTCCCCGTCCCCGAGATCGGCGACAACGAGGTCCTCCTCAAGGTCGACATCTGTGGTGTTTGTGGTACCGACCAGCACATCCACGAAGGTGAATTCATCGCCAAGTTCCCCGTAAGCATCCGCTCCTTTATTCCGCATCGACTCCTTTCTGACCATGTTGATAGTTGATTCCCGGCCACGAGGCCGTCGGCAAGGTCGTCTCCATGGGCAAGAACGTCACTGGTTTCGAGATTGGTGACCGAGTCGCTGCCGATGTCGGAGAAACCTGTTCCCACTGCCACTACTGCCGAAAGGGCACTGAGCTTTTCTGTGAAAACTTCAGCCCTGCCGGTGTCGCCCGTGACGGTGGTTTCGCCGACTACATCAAGTAGTAAGTGCTGTTTTTATCATTCCGCAAAGCCAAGCGCTTACGGGAATGATAGCAACTTTGCCAAGTGCTACAAGATCAAGAACCTTTCCGACGAGGAGGCAACCCTTCTTGAGCCCGCTTCTTGTGCCATCCACGGTATGGACAAGCTCCAGATGCCCTTCGGTGCCAAGGTCCTTTTGATCGGTGCCGGTCCTACCGGTCTTATCTTGGCCCAGCTCATGAGGGTCAGTCTCTTCCATTTGATCCGAAAGACAAAGCTCACTCGGTTATAGCTCGGTGGTGCTTCTCACGTCACTATCGCCGCCAACAAGGGTCTCAAGATGGACCTCGCCCGAAAGGTCGACGCCGCCGACTCTTACATTGACCTCGACCGAAACGACGCCGCCAACCAGTGGGCCCAGATCAAGAAGGACAACCCTTACGGTTTCGACGTTGTGGCTGAGTGCACCGGTGTTGAGAGCATTGTGAACGACGCCATCAACTATGTCACCCGAGGTGGTACCCTCTTGGTCTACGGAGTCTACGCCGACAAGGCCAGGGTCCCCGACTGGAGCCCCACCGACATCTTTGTCAACGAGAAGGTGAGCCTCTCTCTTCTTTCTTTGATGTACCTGCTAACCCGATATCAGCGAATCATCGGTTCCTTCTCCCAGACTTACTGTTTCCCCCGAGCCATCGACCTCCTCGACTCTGGCAAGATCCGTACCACCGGTATGGTCACCGACGTCTTCAAGCTCGCCGACTACCAGGCCGCCCTCGACAAGATGGCTTCCAGGCAGGCTTTGAAGATTGCCATCAGGCCATAAACGCCTTTTGAGCCGTCGAAAGTTTGTTGGTAGATTTATCTAGAGAGATGTTGTAGTATCAAAACAATAAAAGGTGAAGCCGCATCTGAAGGAGCGGGGGGGCGATCAGAAGAAATAGATCAAGCATGGGGAACATCTTGGGGTACTTGTTGGGGTGTTTCTCTTGTATGTAGCAGCATGAATTTCGAGTCAGCATATTAAACAGTGATGCTCGCACAAGAAGAACAGAAGGACGAACGAAGGATGGAAGATGGAGTTGCAAGGGCGTGGAAGACGGTTGGCATGACCGCACGGGTCACATGCCATGAACGTCATCATGCCATATACTCCGCGCCTGCCTTTCTGATCAATTTGCAGTACAGCCGTCTCTTACGATATGCATGTGCTGCAATACAACGAAATAAACAGCAAAGGATCGAGCGTTTACTGATACCTGGACAATGCAACCATCTCCTTCATCTTAAACTCATCAGAAGACAGTACCATCACTGACAATCTCCACTGGCGGTCCGCCTCCCTCCCTCTTCTCCTTTGCGATTTCCCTTCCACCCTTCCAGGTAGCAGCCTCGAGTACTTGGGCGAGGCCGAGCACTAGCTTGTCGACATTGAGCTTTTCGCAGAGGATCTCGTGGATCTTGTCCCTGTGCACTGTCAGCCATGATCTCTTTTAAACAAAAGGGGCTTACAAAGAGATGACGGTAACAGCTCGCCATTCAATCACCGCCGGATGACTAGGTTCAAGCACGGGAGGCTTCTCCTTCCCATTCGAATACGCCTCCTCCCCCAACGTCTCTGCCTTGACCGTCAAAGCGCCCAAATCCACCAACAGCCCTCCATTCCTGTACTCTGGCAAGCCCGTCTGGCCGCGGCCGCGATCGACCTTCCAGCCGGTTTGGGATTCGATCCCTTCGACGAGCGAGTAGCAGAGCCATTGGGTGAGTTTGTGGAATGGTACGAGATCGTCGCCTTCTGTACGCCCTGCACCGGCTTGGTCTAGAGCGGACGAAAGAGCAGCACAAGGCCAGACGTCTCCCAGAGCCTCGTCGGGGTAAGAAGGCAATATTGTCCTGGACGGCCAGATGGGCAACAAGAGCTCGAAGAGGGTGGACCAAAAGTCGGCAAGAGGCAAGATGTTGTCGGTAATCTTGTCGCCAAAGCATTGGATCAAGTCGCCAGGACGGCCGGTGGGGCACAAGTCTGGACGGGCTTGGAGGGCGGAACCGAGGTTGATCAGGAGGTCGGTACGGCCTTGGAGACCTGCCATCGGGTTGGCAGTTGATACTTGCAAGTGTTTGGCTAGGAGTTTGGGCGTGAGGTTCTTCAGGCCCTCGGCTATTTCAAGTCAGCTTCTTTCCCGGGTGATGAGGAGATGGATGGAGCGCACCAGTCACTTGAAACTTGTTGTCAGTATGGGAAAAGAGCCCGTCTTTAAACATGTTGTAGCTCGCCACAGCCAACCCCTCGCTCCTCCCGCCCTTCCAAACGACGTTTTCCTTATCCTCCTCATCCACCTCGATGTACTCCCAGTCCGGTCCAGCTCCGGCATCAAGTAGGACAGACACGAGGTACAGATCAGTCAAGGCTGATGCCCGGGCTAGAGGGTCGGAGGGGGGCGGGAAGCCGGGGGTGGAGAGGAGGGTAGTGATGCGGTTGCGCTTGGGGGTTATAAAGTGGTTACGGCGGCAGTGAGCTACTGCTGTCAGCCTATGTGTCTCATACTCGAGCTGGACATACGAGGGATAGAAGCATAATCCGTCCCAAAGTCCCTCTACACATGGATGAGCACATGTCCTCCCGAGATGAGCGATAAGACGCACCTGGATGATCTTTGCGCAGTAGTCGGCAACGTCCCCAAGCTTGGCCTGGTCAAAGTGCCAGTGGTTGAGTTTGCCCTCGACGGCGAGGTGGTAGACCTGGCTGGAGCGGTTGCGGACGGCGTCGAGAGACCTGAGATAGGCGACGAGCTCGGGAGTGGCCATGGTGGGTGATGGAGTGGGATGGATGGATGGGATGGTGTCTATATAGCTGGGCGGTGGGAGACGAGTCGAGGTGCAAGATAAGGATGCTTCTGGGGCTGAAAGGAGAAATGGAATGGAGGGGTTTATATGCGAGACAAGGGAAATAGCCGGCAGGATCGGAGGAGCGCGCCGGGGGAGATAGTGGAACGTGCTGCAGCGATGCTCGGGGATCAGAGTTCAGAGGGGCAGGGGGGGCAGGGGCAGGGGGGCGAGGGGGACTGACTTGCGAGCGGGGGATGCTGCCACAGACGACGGATGCTCACACCACTACCCACCCCCGCGACAACAGCCATGGCCATCTCCGAGACACGCGACTGTCTTTCGGCCATCCGCCGCTGCCAAGTGATTGTTCCAACATGCATATGTTTATTTCTGATATACTGCTATAAGATCAAAATGGTCATCAAGTACGTGAAAGAGTGCGTGAAATGTCATCCCTCATACAATTCCTTCCCCAAGTCGCCCTATATTCAGCAAATCTCTACTCGGATCAAACGGCTGATGCCCACTCCGGCTACTGCCAACAGGTGATACTGGCAACGATAGTGACGCCAACTTTGCCTCTTCCAGCACAGCCCACCGCCTATCCGCTTCAAACTCTTCCCACTTTTTCATCACAATCACGCTAGCATCAAACTCTCCTTCCTTCTCTCCATGCTTGTCATCCCCCTTCCCTTCGCCCGCTACCACTCGCGTCGCGCCCCACGAAAAGTCGTCCATGTGCCAGTAGGCATACGCAGGAAGGACAAGGTTCCAGATCGGGAGAGAGAGCAGATAGAGGAGCATCCAGCCGACGTAGGCTACTTTGCGAGATGTGATGACGATGAGGAGACCGGGGAGACCGAGGATAAAGGCGAGCAGGACGAGAGAGATGATAGGGCGGGGAATACCGGTCTTGTCCTGGGGAATGATCGAGACGATGATGATGTACATGGTAAAGCTGATGGCGGCTGGGAGCACCAAAGTACCCACCAAATCCATAAACACGACGAATTGCATCGAGAAGCAAAAGGTTCCACAGAGATCGCGCACCTGCGCCAGTTCAAACAGGTTGTGGACGGTAGAGTTGATCCAGCGGCGGCGCTGCGAGAGGAGGACTCCGAATTCGGCAGGGACTTGGGTCTTGCAGACTGCCTGGGGGCAAAAGATCATCTTGCGCTTCGGAAAGGTCTTGAGCATGAGAGTTGAGAGGTAGCGGTCTTCGCCCAAAAGCAGGAGGTTCTTCTTGTGCAGAGTGTTGACGACGTTTTCGGAATAGTGTTCGCAGATGTCCGGGTTGGCGAGGACGGGGACCCAGTATCCTTCATCGCCCTTTGGCGTCTTGATCCGATACATCGAGAAGCATCCAGGGAGACAGGTGACGCCGCCGAATACCGATTCGAACGCTTTTGTGAGGTGGTGCGAGATGTAGTATTCGAAGACTATACAAGATTAGCCAGTCCCCTCCAACATGAAAAGACATACCTTGAATCATGGTCACCCACGTCTCGGCCTTGTTGGCAATCTTGGTCTCTCCACACAATCCCATAATGTTGAGGTCGTTGACCATGCACGCATTCATCCTCTGCAAGGAATCCGGAAAGACGACCGTATCCGCATCCACACACAGAGCCGTCTCGTACATGTCTGGAGTCACTCCCGTGACACGCCAGAGCGAGTTGAAGAACTCATACTCAAAAGCCGTCATGCGCTCGTGGAACATGACTCGCTGCAGAAACTTCATGAGAAGCACCTGAGAGTCGCGCTTGCCTCGATTGCCGGCCTTGCTCGTACCAGCCTCGGAGGGGTTACCGACTTTGACAACAAGGACCATGGGCACGCGCTGTTGCTTGGTATCCTCGACCTGCGAATCCGCGCCATAGTCGTAAAATCCCGAAAAGACCTTGCACAAATTGTGCTGCTTTTGCCCGTCTGCGATGGCCACGCAAGATTGAGCCACAACCTCGTCGGCAGGCTGGACAAGATCCTTCATCATGCTCAAGACGAGATTGGGAGTATAGTCGACCTCTTGTTCCGGGATCCCAGCCGCCTCGTCTGCCGCCTTTTCCTTGTCCGACTTTGACCCTCTGACCATGCCATCTGCAATGACCAAGATCACCTTGTGCGAGTTGGGATAGTCGGTGGTGGCAAGCGAGTCGAGCGTCTGTCGCAAACCGTCGATACTCTCCGAGTACGCCGTCACAAGGCAGATGGAGTGGATAAGGGGGTATCCGTACGGTTCATCGTCTGCCTCGGGCTGGGCGATGACATGGGGAGACAAAGGGAGACGGGCATCGGGGTTGGACATGAGGGAGGCGAAACTTGTGGATTCACGCAGAGTAGCGCCGGAAGGGACCTTTAGAGAAGAGTCGTTGGGGTCATTACCGAAACCTGCTGCGCTCGGGGTGCTCGAGGCGACGATGGGGCTCGACGGCTGGGAACCAGAGACCTTGTGAGATCCACCCACTACCACTCCGGCAAGGTCGGAAGCCGTGACAGGTCTGGAAGCAGCAGAGTAGAATGACTGGCGTTGGCTCATCATCGTAGAAGGGCGACTGGGCAAATTGCCTCGGGGCATGCTGTACTGACTGAAGCGCGACTTTGTGGGGAGGGCTAGCAAGCGCCTCTTTTCGACCTTCTTCTGGGGTTGCTTCCCTTCGACGGGAGCATCCGGCATCAAGTGCTCGGGAGCATGAGTCGGCATGTCCTCTGTCCAGCTCTCAATCTCTTTCGCCCTCTGTATCCGGTCCTGATACTTTATCCCATATAAGTTGCCCAACCTCCAGCTCAAAAACCAGCCAAAGGTGACAGCCATGAAAAACTTGATGAGAACGGCACCGAGGATGAAGATGAGAGAGACGTAGAGGACCATGTTGGAGATGAAGCAGCCAATGGTCATGCTGTCGACATATCCGACTTGAATAATGTCGGCGAGGCAGTCGGCGTACTCGGTAGCGTTGGCGCGTTCAACGAGAGCAGAGATGTCTTTTCCGGCCCAGCTGGCATTGCGGTTCTTGAGCGTATCAAACAAGGTTGGGTATTTGACTTGGGAGCTGTCAAGGCCTCGAAGGAGGTTAAAGTCGAGGATCGAACTGATATTATCAGTGTTGCCCGGGCAGGGTACAAACTCACCTCTTGTAAGCCGCAAGGTTGACCTCGGTATCCGCCACTCTGTCCCAAGTGTAAAATATCTTGGCCGTGGGCACGACAGCGTCAAACGCGTCTCTAGCCTTTTGCGAGGGGTGGCAGTTGTAGTCGGAGCCGTAATTGGTAGTGTTTGCGACAGAAGTATCATTCTGGTCGTGAAGATTGCAAGCAAAGTACCAGCCCATGTTGTCGCCATTCGTCGTGATACGGGTCCCCTCGGCGGGAGTGATGATGCCCAAGCAATGCTGGTTGACTTTTTGAAAAAGGAAACTGGCGTCCATCCCACCGGCATTGTACTGGTCCATCCAGAGCGGACTGGTAGACCCATTGAAAAGCGAGCCAGCTTCGGGGTGACGCCACGTGGAAAAGTCATAGTCGTACCCGTTGATGACGAGGGATCCAAGGTTGGCCTGTCCACCGGATATACGAAGCGCATTATCACCACAAACAGTCTGGGTGAATCCGAACGTGACAAAGCCGACGATAGCCATCAAACTGGAAAGGATCGCCACGATTCCCATCTTTTCCCGGAACGCCCGGATACCCTCAGCGTCGACACGCTTAAACACCTTGCGGATGACAAAGACGGGGATCCAGAGAGTGATGATATAGCAGTAGATCATCCAGCAGTCTTTGGGGCCGGGGGCAATGTCGCCGAGGCAGCAGAGGGGTGGGTGGTCTTTGCCTTCTTTGGGTATGTAGTCGGCATTGTGGTTTTCGGCAAGCTCGCGAATCAGAAGAGACTTGCCGCGCTGGAGAGAATTGCTAAAGGTGACTGGGGCGGGTCGGTTGCCGGTGGCTAGGCAGGGTTAGCACTCGGCAGTACATGAAGCTATAGGCTCACCACTAGCCTGGATATCCATATGATCCTCCACCGCATGCTCCCGGTAATGCCTCAGCCTGTGGTTGGGGTCCACCACTTCTCTTTCGGGCTTTACCAACGTCTTCTTTCGCGCCAGTCCGGGAGCACCCTTGGGTATGGAGCGCTGGCTGTTCTGGGCCTCGGCGTCGTAGTCGTACTCGGCTGAAGCACGAGAGGGTACACGCTGGTGGCCTCGGTGCTGAAGAGGGATCCCATCGCGCGTGTCGATAGGGGCGAGAAAGGGGAGGCGTTTGGGGGAACGCCAGGACATGGTGAATGGCAATAGAGCCGAGGGCTTTTTTGGGGTGTTGAGGGATAGAAGGTCTAGGGCTTGATCAGCAAGAATGGTAAAAGATGCGAGCAGACAAGTGCATACTGGATGGTACTGCTCACACGGGGAGAAGGAAGATGCCGACTAGGATAGACTTGAGACGGGCGGGGTCAAGAGACGGGGCAGGGGCGGGAGGTGGAATGGGAGGGGAGGGAGGGGGAAGGGGGGAAGGGGACGACGATGATGAGCGTGGCAATTAAGAGATGGTTAGAAGAAGATGGATGTTGAGTTGATGGAGGGATGGTTGACGGTGTGAACCGGGTGAGTGCAGTATGCGAGCGGGCAACACCGAAGAGCAGGCGCGCTCAGACCATGCTTCAACATGTCGCCATACGAGTGGGGGATGAGATGGTTGAGAGGCAGTAGCAACGACAGACGATGCCCATCCCGGAATCCAGATCACAGGAACTCGTATCTCCCTATCAAACACCATGGCGGAGTGGCAGCCGTGGGGGCCGACGCTTTACCACCATGTATTGAGGATCAGCTACGAAGGCTTGCACAAGCTGGTAAAAGGTATACTGCGATATGACATTACCATAAAACGGGGTCACTGTCTAAATCGTAAACTCGACTCTGTGGCCGAGGGACATGCCACTGCTACCCCTTCTTGATGATAGGACCATACGGCTACCCCAAGCCCCACGCACGCAGCCAGCAAAGAGAGAACGCGAGAACGCGCCATGTTTACCACCCGGCTTCCCGCGAAAACCGCTCTGCAGCCCGAACCCGAATAGATAGAGGTTATACTACTCTTATCTGATAGAACAACTGCAGCCAGAGATCAGAGACTTGCCGTCCTTACCGCGGCCTTATCTCGCTCGCTTGGGCCTGGCCTGCCGTGCACCCCCTGTGATGCGACATGCAGTGTGTTGTTGGGTTCTGTACGCCCCATGCCCCGTACCCCTTCACTCATCACTGATCGCAGGCTGAGCGGGACCAAACGTGTGCGTCAGTTTCTTATCTCCAGTGCGGGCGGGGCTCGCGTGGGCTGACCAATCATCCAATGGGAGGGCGGCTCTCTTATCTCCCTGAGCCGAGCCGAGTCGATGCCGCACCATGATTGGCCGGGGCGTTCGTCCGAAACGGGAAAACCATCCAGCCGACTTTTTTTGTCCCTATAAATTCACAGCCCCGCCTTTCCATTCCCCATCATCCACCATGTCCAACTACCCCCAGGAGCCCGAATTCCAGCAGGCCGTCAACGAGATCTCCCAGACTCTCGAGCCTGTAGGTCGCACCCCAACCCCATCCCAGCTGAGCTGACCCGCCCCAGTTCCTCGCCAAGAACCCCGAGTACCGACGAGCTCTCGAGGTCGCTCAGATCCCCGAGCGAATCGTCCAGTTCCGAGTCACCTACGAGCGAGACGACGGATCCGTCTCTGTCAACAGGGGTTACCGAGTCCAAGTGAGCCTTCCGCAGCTTTTTTTTTTTTTCTCACGGAATCGCTAAACGCCAGTCTAGTTCAACTCTGCCCTCGGTCCTTACAAGGGTGGTCTCCGACTCCACCCCACCGTCAACCTTTCCATCCTCAAGTTCCTCGGTTTCGAGCAGGTCTTCAAGAATGCTCTTACCGGCCTCATGATGGGTGGTGGTAAGGGTGGTTCCGACTTTGACCCCAAGGGCAAGTCCGACGCCGAAATCCGACGATTCGTACGTCACAATCTTTTCAACATGAGGATTCTGCTGACGTTGCGCAGTGCTACGCTTTCATGCAGGAGCTCTCCCGACACATTGGTGCCGACACTGATGTCCCCGCTGGTGACATTGGTACCGGTGGCCGAGAGATCGGTTTCATGTTTGGTGCTTACAAAAAGTACCGAAACGAGTTTGCTGGTATTCTTACCGGTAAGGGCGGTGACTGGGGAGGTTCCTTCATCCGTCCCGAGGCCACTGGGTAAGTTTTTATATTACTTTTGCAGACCCAGAGCTGACCCTCGCAGTTACGGTCTCGTCTACTACGTGACTGAAATGCTCCGAGACCTCGACAACACCGACTGGAAGGGCAAGCGAGTCCTCCTCTCCGGTGCCGGTAACGTCGCCCAATACGCCGCCCTCAAGGTCATCGAGCTCGGCGGTACCATCCTCTCCCTCTCCGACTCTACCGGTGCTCTCGTCGCTACCGGTGACGAGGGTTTCACCCCCGAGGAGATCTTTGCCATTGCCGATATCAAGCTCCAGAGGAAGAGCTTGACCGCTTTCTCTGCCGGCAACAAGTTCACCTGGCACGAGGGAGCCCGTCCTTGGACTCTTGTCTCCAAGGCCGACGTCGCCCTTCCTTCTGCTTCCCAGAACGAGCTCAACGGCGAGGAGGCCAAGGCTTTGATCAAGGCCGGTGTCCGATACGTCGCCGAGGGTTCCAACATGGGCTGTACCCTCGACGCCATCGAGGTCTTTGAGGCTTCCCGAACCGCCGCCAAGAGCGCCACCGACTCTGGTATCGCCTTCTACGCCCCCGGCAAGGCCGCCAACTGCGGTGGTGTCGCCGTCTCTGGTCTCGAGATGGCCCAGAACTCTCAGCGACTCAAGTGGACCCCCGAGGAGGTCGACGCCAAGCTCAAGGACATTATGGTCACTTGCTACAAGACCTGCTGGGAGACCGGTAAGGAGTACGCCGAGGCTGGACCTGTCCCCTCCTTGGTCGCTGGTGCCAACATTGCTGGTTTCATCAAGGTTGCCGACGCTATGAAGGTCCAGGGTGACTGGTGGTAATTCACTCGTCCCTAGTCTTTGATTCTTATGCCCGACTGCCATTTTCTCATCTTTATGCCCCTCCATTAGTTGCCCTCGAGGCGCTACCCCCTCTTTAGTACACCAAAAACCGCAGTAGTTACTGCATTATACCCCATCAGGCGTTTTGGGAGTGACGAGATCAGAAGAATATGAATTGCATTATCAGCAACCACAAATGTGTTTGAATTTATGACCTTGCATATGCTAAAAGTACAAGTATATAGGACAGTCTCAGAATGGAAGGCTATATATCACATTTCACACGCCGTTTTCCAAAAGACGACAGACCAGTGCCCGAGAGGAGGAACGTGCACAGCCGTAGCTACCAAAAGTAGACCAAGGAAAGAACAGAGAAAAGCGCCCAATGGGTATGGCATATCGCATCCCCTCTACTACTCCGCATCTTCATCTACTCTGTGGGCAAGACTGCTAGCCTTGACGGGAGAGGCGCCAAACGCGCCGGGGTGGTGGATGGGGTAAGAGCTCGAGTTGTGGCTTTCACGGAGCGTATTGGGAGGGGAGATACGGGGGTGGCTGTTCTTCTGTTAGCTACATCCCAAAGCTCATCATAGATTCAACACACCTGTCACTACCACGACGTTGATGACCATGTCCCGCTCCAGGCATTTCAATGGCATCGCTTGTAGCCGCCGGGCTGATCCCGACGCCCACGTTGGGCGCAGGTTTTTCAGAAGTAGGCGAGTGGTGTTGCTCGGTAGGAATTGGGGAGGCGTTGTTGCCGGTAGGTGATGATGAGAGGTAGCCGCCGTTGGGGCCAGAAGGAGAGGAGGCATGAGGGACGCTGCGTTTCATGAGCAAAGAGATATCACCACGGAACAGACCGACTTACGCTTCCGGTGTAGGGTGGATGTGCCCGTAGGGAGTGGGCACACCAGCCTTGGACATCATGTAGTCTCCAGAGTCAAAGAACTTGCGGTCCTTCTGCATCTTGGTCAAGACGTTCTTTGCCGGCACCTTGCCGTAGAGCTTGAACGCCTTTTGTTCCTGCTCTGTCATTTGCTGTGAAATTCTCAGTGGGTGTCTCCGTAAGAGCAAGACTGGGGCGTACCGAGACATCGACCTTGTTCTGGATAACAGCAAGGGCCATCGTCAGCTCTGTGTCTCGTACGAAGGATAATGTTAAAGATCGCTGCGTTTACGACATGAACCCAGGCGGGAAGAATGGTCGCTCGGCGATATGTGAACGTCCGTCATGCGCCGGGTGGCCAATTTGGCTCCAATTTAGAGAACAAAGGACTGGCTGGAGCCACTTGTGCAGAGGACAGTAATATGTGACTGCCATGATAGAAAGGCTTGGAAGGCCACCCTTGGCTGATCGCCTGCCTCCACCGCCATTCCAGCAACATGACGAAACGCCCCGTCATGTTCGCCCCGAGTGGCGCCGAGCTGCCTCGTGTGCGTAGCCTTCCGTGTGAAGGGACCGGGGGGACAAGGAGTTGGAGGGGGGAGAGAAAGGACATACCTTCTGGTGCGGGTTCATCTTGGCTGGGGGGTGAATGGATGGATGGCAAGTGACGGGGGCGGGGGTGGGCAGGGGGGTGTGGCGGGGGTGGGAGGTCGTGGCGGTGGGAGGAGGGATGGGATGTAGAAAAAGACGAGGAGATGGGAATGCAGCGCGAGCTAGTGATGGGGTGGCGGCTCGGTGATTGGGCGGTGGCAGTGGGGGCGGGTGGTGTGCGGCGGCGGGGGGCTTGGGGTGGACGGGGCAGAGTAGAGTAGGGCAGACAGAGTAGAGCAGGGGACAGTTGGAGCTGGAGCTGGATGCATCCCATGACCTTATCATTCACAGCACAGGGAAGACTAGCAAGGCACCATTACCGGGCCTGGAACCTTCTTTGCCTCTTTTCTAATCGTCATTTCACCGCATTACCAGTCGCCTCCCGCCGCATCCACTCGACCATATAAGGGGCGATCATCTACCAGAAATAGTATCAACGTCACTCAATCGTCGAGCAATCCCCAGTCATCATTATAAATCAGTACATCGATTATATGTAAAAAGACATTTATCAGCTGCCGCCGGCGCCTTCCATAGCCTGCACCAATTTGGCGAAATAGCTACCCTTCCTCGACTGCAACACCTCTGGCGAATCATACTCTAGCAACTTGCCAGCGCCAAGAACCATAATCTTGTCATAGTCCATCACCGTAGAAAGCCGATGCGCCACAGTGAGGACGGTGCAGGAAGATGGAAGGTTTCGGATCGACTGTTGGATGAGAGCATCCGTATCAAAGTCGACGGAAGCAGTCGCCTATACCAGAGTCAGCCCAGCACGCGCCACAACCAATTCTTAGACTTGCCTCGTCCAAGATCAAAACCTTGCTGTTCCTCACCAGCGCCCTCGCGAGAGCCACCAACTGCCTCTGCCCTTGACTCAAGTTGCCACCGCCCGCGGCGATATGCGTGTCCAAGCTCAAGCGCTGGGGGGTAATGCTTCCAGAGCCGCCTCGCTGACGGGTAGCCCCCAGGCCAGAAGCTTGGAGGGCATCGTTGAGCTCGGCATCGTCGTGCTCGCCGAAAGGATCGAGGTTGAATCGGAGGCTTCCAGAAAGAAGGATCTGCTTCCTGTCAGTGATATCTTGGCCGAGAGAAACAGACTTACGGGGTCTTGCGGGATGATGGTCACGTTAGACCTCAGAGCATGCAGATTAATCTTGCCCGTATCGATACCATCGATCAAAACTTTTCCACTCGTCGGGAGCATCTTCAATAACGCCAGCGCCAGCGTAGACTTTCCACTCCCCGTCCTTCCGACAATCCCAACCTTCTCGCCACTCTTGATAGACAGCTTCAGGTTGTCAAGGACGGTGGGACCATCGTCAGAGTATTTGGCGGAAAGCCCGTCGAGGATAATTTCGCCGGATGTCGGCCAGGCGGCAGAAGGTTGTTTGCGGTCGTCGTGGACTGGTTCTTGAGGGATGATGAGGTAGTCTTGGATACGCTGCAACACTGTCAGATTTTTATCATCGAGAAATTTGAGGGGCTTACTTCAACAGAGTTGCCCTGCACTTCCATCTCGTTCACCATCCTGACCCACCACTATTCCGCCTCAGCTATGCCCACATAGCGTTGTGTAAGAGGAAACTTACAAGGATCATGGAGGAGAAGGAGATCGCTTGAGACAAGGCGAAACCAGAGGTGGAAGCGTCAAGCTTCGCTCCGTACACCAAGAAGGCACCAAGAGCAGCAGCAAAGAGACCACCCAGCATGTTGAGTCGGATCGTGACCCATCGGTTGAGATTGTAGCTAAGAATAATCAGTATCCGCAGAAATATTATTTGTCGTGGACATACAACTGCAGGGTGGGTCAGCACAGCCTCATGTCATGGTCGGGACACTTACGCAAGTAGCAGCCCTTGAATACTTGTCTGCCCGTCTCTGAGCCTCCAGCCTCATCTGCTCTTCCGCTCCATAAGCTCGGATGGAAACGATGCCATTGAAGGCGGCAGAAAAGTGGGAGAAGAGGGGACTCTTGGCATTGGACATTTCACGCTTGACACTGAGTTGTCCGTGGATGTACATTTCTCCCATGATGCCCCCGAGGGCACCGATGATCTGGTCAAGTCAGCTCACTCCGAGTGACTTCGGACGGTACTTACGACAGCGGGGATGGAGAAGAGGGGGACAAGAGAGACGACAACTGCGATCTTGAGTATAAGACCGGCAGTGACATCGGCCACGGTATCAAACGTCTACACCTGGTCAGCAATACTCTCCGCGAACAGAGATACAAACTCACTTCAGTAAAAGGTCCATCAATCGACTTGATATCCTTCGTGAATCGACTGATGATCCTCCCCACCGGCGTCGTATCCATAAACCTCATATAGGCCCCAAAGATAGAGTCGACAAGACGCCTATGCATCTCCCTTGCGGCCTTCGTGCAACCCAAGTAGAACAAGATGGCAGAGGCGCCACCCATGACCACACCGATGAGGACAAAGACAAAGTAGAGGCCGAGGTAGTAGGAGACGGAGACGAGGTTGGCATCTGAGGATTCTTCGTACGCTCGGGCCCAGCGGCCGAGCCAGTAGGTTTGGAAAGCGGACATGGCCTGGCCGCCAAAGAGGAGACCAAAGTAGGTCAGCCAGAAGATAGGGCCGCCAAACATGCTACAACCATGTCAGCTGTGTAACTTGCTGATGCTGGAGACCTACCGGAAGAACGTAATGAACGCGTGCTTGGAGATACGCCCCTCGCTCTTCTCTTCATCCTTGACCAGCTTGGAAGCGGCTTTCTTTTCAGCCGTCTTTTGGGCTTCGTCTGGGTTCTTGACTTCCTCAGCGGGAGGAGCGGCTTCGGTCTCGGGCTCGTCCTCCTCGGGAAGGGCATTCTCGTTGACAGGACCTTGGCTTTGGACAGTGCCATTTTCGTTCAGAGTGATGATGAAATCGGCGACGGGAGCGACCAGGTGCAGGTGGTGGGTCTGTCTCTTGGTCAGCATGGCACACGGCAGAGAATAGTCAAAGACGCACAACGAGCAAGATGGTACGGTCATTCACCAAGTCGCCCTTGAAGAGATGGTCGATGATCCACCTAGAAGTGAGAGTGTCCAAAGCCGAGAAAATGTCTACCAGTTATTAGCACAGTATAACGTAAGAGTGGGAGCGATTCACCATCAAGAAGTACCACAGCCGACTTGCTGTAGATGGCTCTCGCCAACGTGATTCTCGCCTTTTGCCCTCCACTCAAAGTGATCCCCTTCTCTCCGACCTCAGTTTCATCCCCGTCTTCGAACAGCTTCATGTCCGTCTCCAATCCACACGCCCTCACAACCTTCTCATAACGGGACTGGTCGAATGGCGAGCCAAAGAGGATATTGTCCCGGACAGAGTCTGATGAACACCAGCTTTCTTGGGCAGCATAAGAGACTCCACCTTCACGAGGGAGATTGTAGAATGCCCCATCTCTCTGGTGGAAATGGAGTTCACCGATAAGAGACTTGAGCAAGGAACTCTTTCCGCTTCCAGTCGGACCAGTGATCAAGTTGACCTTGCCTTTGGTGAAGGTAGCGTCTTCGATGTGGAGCTTGAACGTCTCATCGTTGATCTTTTCCGTTTTGCTTTCCCAGGAGAAAGTCGCATCGACGAGTCGAATGAGGTTTTCTTCTTGCGCTTGGAGCTGAGATTGAGTGACAATGTTTGTCATCTTGCCTTGAGAGTACTCGTCAATCATTTCGCTCTGCCGGCGAGTCAGCTCGTATTCGTATTCGAGTTTCAGGACGCACCTCGTGCAGGAACTTGTCCAGTCGCTGGACAGAGACCCAAGCGGTAACACTCTCGTTGATCAGCCAGAAGCACTTGTGAAGCAAATCAGCACGTGTCCACTTTTGACCAAGTGAGACTCACCATTCCAGTGTGTCCCTTGATGATTTCAAATACAGTCATACTGGTAAAGACTACATCGCCGTCAGCGTGGTCATCGACGGGATATAGGACGTACCCTTCGAAGCAGTGAGCTCTTCCTTTTCGATCAGAGTATAGACGGCAAAAGTGACGGCCATAGTCAAAACAGGCAGAAGTGTATTGAGCAAGATGATCGCCCTGCCAAGTATCAGTCATGATCCACATCACATGCACGCGACTCACAGGTTCATCAATCTCCTCTTCCAGATGAGATGCAGCTCGTCCTCTCGCTTTGCAGCGACTCTCTCCTTGATCCTCCCTTCCCAGCCAAACATCTTGATGATCCTGAGCGCATTGATAGACTCGGTAATCGAGTCGACACGAGAGTCGGTGGCAAGCATTCGCTGTTGCTGGTACTCGGCATTGTACTTTGTGAGGAGACCAGGAAGGGGCAGGGTGATGAACATGGTGAGCATACCGACGAGAGAACCTGCGTAGATGTAAGTGAGGAATACCTTTGATAAGAAGTCACGCACTCCAGCTCAGGATTTTATAGAGCAAGACAACACACAGAGCGAACTGCACAGGGGTGTACACAAAGATCAAAGCGAGGTCACGTCCTTCGCCAACAGCTTCGATATCGGCAGCCATCAGGACGTTGATCTTGCCAGCCAGCCCTTGACCCTTGCTCTTCTTTGCTTCAGCGTCGGCAGCAGCTTTCCTATCTGTCTTGTCCTTTCCAGTCTGGGACTCTGCGGGAGTAGCAGTCTCAGCCTCGGCGGCAATAAGACCTCGAGGAGCGTCGGGAGCATGGTCGACCTCTTCCACGGTGATAAGCGGTCCAGCGCTCTCCTTGCCCTCCTCTTCCTCCTCCTTTTCATCGTCCACCTGATCCTTCATTCTCAATCTCAGCGAATGGTCAAACAGCAACTGCGTCAAAAGCGCTTCCGCCCTGACCAAACATCTAGTCGCGGTGAAGATGTAGAGTTCCATGAACAATGAGCTCAGCGTAGGACCCATAAACAGAAAGACGACCCAGACGATGGGACGGACGTTGTGTCCCTTTCCATCAGTCTCGAGATAGTCGAGAAGTTGGTTGATACCAACCGAAGAAGAGAGTTCGAAAGCGCCAGAGAAAGCGGAGAGGGCGCAGGTGATCATGACTTCGCGGCGGAAGACGGAGGCGAGACTGAGGACGAGACCGCGGTCTTTGAGGCCTTGGGCCCGGCGTTTGACGGGGTCGAGGGTTGCCATAGAGGTCTGCGAAAGCGTCAGGTTTGTCATACAGGAGATGACTACAACGTACTTTGTAGAGGTACGAAGCTCGATCATAGTCTGCCAGAGGATGAAGATCATCATAAGGCAAAGCAGGTGTCTTCCAAGCCTTCCATACCAAGCTGGTCATATAGTCGAAAAGCAGATAAGAAAGCAGAGGCGCCGTCTGCTCCGGATGCACCTCATTCAACGGTGTAGGGTTCGAGGGGTCCACTGGGGTATACGTTCTCGGTCGGATGAGGGGTATCACCACAGCCGCAAATGAGAGTATGACTACGCGGGACCAGGTGATGGCATTGTGGATATCAGCCGGCTCGAGATGGGATGTCAAGAGCGGCCAGATATCTCTATACGCATACACTCCGAAAGCCAGCAACAGCAGCACGTCCAGGTGCGCTATGAGATGTCGGCGAAGGGGTGTTCCAGGTCGCAGGGTGAGAAGGAGAAAAGAAAACGCGAGGGAGTAGAGGTAGAGGCCAGAGACACCGAATTCTCCCCACTCGAGGCTTGAATAGTCGTCAACGGTGTGGTGATGGTTGCCCTTCTTCTTCCTCTTGAGAGATTCTACCATGCCTCCTTCCAGACCGGGCTCTTGGGGAGATTCGGCTTGGATGGTAGCATAGACGCTTAAGCCGAACAACGCACACAAGCTCAGCGTCCGAAAGATCTCGAGCGCAAACAGCACCGAGCCGTACTCCTTCATCGACTTCACGTGGTTCTTCAAGTCTGAAAGCAAACCTCCAGAAGGCATCTGGGGAACAGCTTCAGGTACTTCGACAGCGACAGTGTCCACATCAAGCTCATCGTCGTGGGCAAGGATAGGTTGGTATTCCTTGCCGAGTTTTTTGGAGACGTAGCGGTAGAGCTTGGGTATAGACCAGGAGATGAAGAGGATAATTATTGATAAGATGGCGAAGCAGGGGAATAGGAAAAGACTGTGTCGGAACAGGAGCGGAGGAGGGCTATACAAGTGTCAGCTTGAGTATATCAGGCCGGACAGAGTACTGGCTGAGTTTTGTTCTTTGCGATCTCGACGAGGGACGATGGCACTGCCGCAAAAGCAGCTTGTGCGATCTCCGGGGCCATGGTACTGTACACAGGCTATGCACTAATGAGAATACTGAGAGGATAGACAGAGACAAATAGACGGTCGATGACTCGTTTGGCACTTTGACAGCGAATTGCGACCCTGGAGCACCACGCGGATCCGTGGCAAATATTCAGCCAGGCACAGAGCGGGTTGCCGAGCGGTCCATCTTCGGGCTGCACCAGAGCAAGGGTGTGTGCGATGTCGTCCGAGCGAATTCCTGCAGCAGGTATGCATGCCAGGTACTGCCCTGCTGGGATCGATCTTGATGTTACAGGATACCTGGGTTACACTCAAGGTCCGCTCATGTCCTCGAACAGGGACGGAGGGGGACTGATCGCTTCATGTCAGTGTCATATGATACATGTCAAAACAGCCCTCTAGTGATCACAGCCTGCCAGTCTACAGTCTCGTCTGCCCTGACGGTTCCAGCCGCCCAGACTCCAGATCTCTGACCCTCGGCGTTTGTTCTTCCAGCTCCAGTTCCTCCCCATACTCTCCCGCTGACTCGGGTCTCAACAACGGCGACCGTCCTCCGAGCGTACTCGTATCATCCTCCACCACTTTCGAGTGGGCAGGGGGAGCTTCATCGAAAGGCGAGTCAAATGGATTATGAAAGCTTCCGGCTGCAGGCGGAGGGTCGTAGAGCTTGCCCTTGCCCTTGCCTTTGCCCACATAGTCATCCCCCGAACCCGCACTCGAAAAGCTGCCTTTGTGCGGCGAGAAGCTAGGTCTTCGCTGAACATTCCTAAGCGGCCAAGCAGCCTCCCCAGGCTCTTCCGGCATGTCCACGCCCAAATCGCCATAACCCTCTTTCCTCGGCGTTCCTCCTCCACTCGAAGCTGCCGAATTCAGCGGCAGATCCCACTCGGAACTTTTTTGTCGACTGTACATAGGCCGAGCAAAGGAAGAGCCAGATGTAGCTATGGGTGTGTCGTTCATCTGCGAGGCGGAGGGGCCGACGGCGTACGGGTCGGTGGAGGGACGGGATATGGAGAGGGATGGGAGAGTGGGGTTGGTTCGAGAGGCGGGGTGGGAAGCTTGCTTGGGAAGACGTTTTTTGTAGCGGTTGCGGAGATAGAGTCCTGCCAGGGTCGCAATAATGACAAAGGCGGCAATGCCCTGTTACAAAAAGTCAGATCTGTGGCTCGACAACCGCGCTTGTGGCCTTACCGATATCAGACCGATGAAACCTCCTGTGGACCCGGCGCTATGCAAGGTCAGTCGTTGCGTGCATGGGGAAGGAGTTTACTTGCATTTCAGGCTGACTGCCCTTGCCGTGCCAGCGACTGTACGTGCTCGATGGGGGACCTGCACCGTACTATAAATAGGCACCGTGAATATCAGTCTGTTGGATAGTCCCGAAGCAAGCTCTTGATATGTGCTTACAGAAGTTGGGACTGTATGATTATCATCAGCAATGGAATATTGAAAGCAGGAAAGACACTTACAGGAAGCTGTGGTAGTGATACCGTAACCCGAACCGCCTCGTTTTTGATATCGTTCTGCGCTCTCGCCTGTAGACCACCCTAGAATCATGCTGATTCTTGGCTTTCGTTTAGAATTCTGCCGATGTCGCTTGAGCTGGCTTCCTGGTGGATTAGTGGAGAGAAAAGGAGAGCGCGTGGAACGAATGCAATATGCTCACGCGTGATTCCCAACGTCATTCTTCGGCGACCACCGACTTTTACAAACCCCCCACCACTCACGCCTTACAGTTTCTGTGTGTTTGACGCAATGTACATGGAGTTCCTCGTGCACATTGTTACCCGTCGGCACGGAACGTTGTGGATCGTCGAATTCAGGAAGAGTCGACGCCTGGAGACACTGGGGCTGCGAGAGCGCAGTAGTCATTTAATTTGTGCAACATGAACGATTTAGAAGGAAAGGTTGAAATTGGGGTGGGTGGATAGTCCCTGGAGATCAAATGGTTTCTCAAACGCCGGGCGGTTGCGAGGCGAGTGGTACACCTCGGTGAGGGCTCGCTAATACGAGCACAGTTCAGAGTCTCCTCTTGGTATGATGCGTGCAGTGCAGTAACCGACGATAGACTATAGACTGCTTCCTTTGGACGAACCACACAAAGAACAGCAGAGCACGGGGTACGTCGAGGCACGAAGGGACAGAGACCACGGGGGTGTATGCTGCTTCGACGGCTTGCCGTTGTCTGCTGAGTGTTTCTCGGGCTGTCCTGCCCCGTCCGCGACAGCTTCGCGAGGAGAGTCGGGATCTGCTTACGATCTGAACGACACAAGGAGATCGACCACCCTATTCTCACGTCTAAACGATACACACACGTTGACCGGGACAGCGCAGTGTACTCGGGCGCTCGTTCGCTTGCTGACGTTGCACCGGTGAGTGAGCAGCGTGGTGGAAAGGACCCCGGCGATCAGCGATGGCCAGTGAGTCACTGCCGCAAACAAACATTCTTGTGCGAAGAAGCAACGCCCGTCCGTGCACCTGCCCCCGCCTATCGTCATATAACATCCACACATCTTTTCTTTTTTTCTGCATCCTCATGTCCTACAGAGAGAATATAAATTCGCCATGCGCTTCCCATTTCGCCGCCTATCCTCCTCATCGGGATCCAGGTCTTCCCCCATGTCTCCGCTCTCACCTATCGCTCCCCCTATCCTCCCCTTCGGCTCCCCCCAGCCACAGCAGCTGTTTGGCGTACCGTTTGGTGCCCCTCCTGCTATCGCTGGCATCGACCAGATCCAGCGGTGAGTGTAAATTGCTGAATCGAGCCACACTGACGCGCTGCAGGATGCGAGACCAGGACACTATGCACCACCTGATGGTCGAGCCGACACATTCCAAGTACATCCACTCGCACCTGGCTAAAGTGCACGCGTCTGGGCGACGGAGCGCTGTGCTGGATATTGGCAGTGTAAGTACAAGCGACGTCCTGTTTGCTGTAATCAGCCACTGACACCTCCTTTCTCTTCAGGGCACAGGCAAGTCGCATACCTTTCCCGGACAGGACCACCTCATTCCGGCTCAGCTAACCTCCGCTTCATCATCTACCACCACCTTTCCGCTCGCCCTCATCAATCAATCACAATATGCTGTACTCCGCTTTCCTCGGCCCCGTCATTCTCGGATGTGGAACCAAGCAGGCAGTTGGGCCACCGCACTGGCCAACACGGAGCCCTTTGCCGACGTCGTCGCCATAGCGTAAGCCCGCACCAACATAACTCACCGCCCATGCTGAGCACTTGGACTAGTGCCGACTGGAAACCCTTTGTGCGTCAGCGAATCATACATGGCAACCTCGACGTCTCTACCGTGGATATCAACCAACATCTGCCGTACCCATCTGGCTCTTTCGGTAAGCGCTTATCAGCTGCGGCAATCTGAAAAACACACCAACCTTGCTGCACCAGATATCATCCAAGTCAAGTCGCTTGCCCGCTCACACCGCCAATATCCCATTCTCGTCGAAAGGCTCATCCGACTCCTCCGTCGCGGCGGGCTGCTTATCCTCGTGGAGAGTCATACTTGCTACGTGAAATTTTCAATCTCGTGCCATTGAATAAGCTGACAGAGGAGGCGATAGGAAAACCCAACGGGAATGGGTTTGCCGACTTGTTTGAGGACTTGGGATGCAAGTGTAAGGTCGGCCTTGGCTGCTCAGGGATGTAAGTCATCTCTTCTACTTTGATATGCTCGCGCTTACCTTGCCGTTCCAGACGATGCGAGAATGGCTAGCAAGCTGCCTTTCCTTGTCAGAGGTGCTGGTGTCTTGTACGTCGCCCTATGAACGAAAGGATGGTACTTACAGAGGTCATAGCGGCAATACGGCGTTCGTCCAAGAGATCGGTATCCCCACTACCAGCTATCCTCAGCAAGGTAGGTATTTTCTCTCTCCATTGAGCGAAAGCCGACTCTAGAGCCAGGCATAAACAACATCGCCCAAGCCGGTGCACTCCACGCCCGCACGCTCCCCGCCGAGATGTCTTCCTTCATGCCCCTCTTGAGGCAGCATGGATACGACGAGAGAGCCATTCAAGCGATGATTGATGAGTGCCTGCATTGTGTGAGTACCATCCCAAGATAAAGAATGTGAGATGAAAGAGGCTGATGGGAAAATAGTTGCTCAATCCGCAAGCCCGATTCTTGCAGAGACTCGTGGCGGTGTATGCCTTCAAGATGGTCTGACACACCGCAACCTTTTCAGCGCCTCACCCTTTCCTTCCACACGCCGCAAGCCAGCAACAAATTGTCGTATATCACGCCCTAGTCCTCGCTATCCTCTACACGCATCGCCAGAAGCCCATTGCGGTTGTTGTAACATTTCGTCATTTGTATACATCCTTCCACTTTCCCGTATATACCCACACCGATCTGTGTTTACAGACAGACACTTTTCTCATCGCATATACTCATAGCTGGGCGAGGAGCTCAGTATAGACAGCATTTTCCAGTTTCATAGCATTTTCATGACGACCGACAAAAGTACAAACCATTCTTTGGGCTCACGGCGTACTCGTACAGCCGAGCTATAATATACACGACCTTCTTTTCCCTTTCATTCTTATACCATACTTTATTACTCTTCTCCCCGTTTATAGTCCATAATACACGATGGAATCATGGCATGGATAGAAGCGATCAAGGGCTGTTACAACAGTGGTGCATGTGGTGATGACGCTATGCTGCTCACTACCTCCTCTTCTTCCTGCTTCTGTCTCTGCCTCACTAGATCCTTCTATGCCGTTGTTCGGATTGATGAATGGTGAGATTGCAGTTGACGGAGAGATTATCTGATCCTCTTTCCCAAAAGTCCCTCAACCTCGGCTTCGGGTGTTTGATGGATGACAGCTCTTCCAGGGTATGCCGCGCGCGAGGAGGGGACATCGACGATAAGCGATAGGAGCTGGTAATGTCCATTTTCATCCTGATATCTGTCAGCACAACAAGCCGGAACTAGAAAGGAGAAGCAAGCCTACCTTGACGTACTCTCCCCTAGCTTCACCAGTGGTATAAGTCCCAGCAGGGTCCGGTTCTCTCCCGGTAATCCTGACTGAACTCGCCGCTGCTCGAAGGTTGAGCCCCCCAAGCCAGCTGAACCACCTTCCAGACTTTTTCTGCCCTGCTGCTTCTAGTCTTCGTCCTTCTTCTATCAAGTCTTCCTTGAAAGCTTCCTTTGCCAACCCTTCCGGCTCTTGCCCAACCAACCCCAAAGCCTCTACACTCTCCTTTGCATACGCCTTTGTGCTCACCCATGCTCTTCTCAGCCAGCCCAGGGACAATTCTTCATCCTTGCCTCGGCCGTGCACCCAGAATGAGATGATGAGATGCTCCTTGCCGGAGGAAAGGTTGCGGACGGTGGTGGAACTGATGGAGGGAGTGCCGCGGACGGGGGAAGACGAGTGTGGAGAGTGGGTGAATTTGATGGGGGGTAGGAGGTACTGGTCCAGCTGCAGTACAAGTTAGCATTTGCATGCACATTGGATGAAGGGAAGCTTACGCCATCCGAAGCGCGAATCATATCGACCGCTGCAGCGTACAGAACAGAAGGCGAGTTGCGAGCAAAGAGCTCGGTCGTGAGAGCCAGCGTCAAGACGACAAACAGCGTGCCACCAGCAATGATAACTGCCAAATTTCCTGACTGGCGCACTGTTCGTACCACTACCGCAATGTCGTCAGCATCAGAGAGAGACTTGATGAATTATGGAGACGTACGCTTCCCGCCCAGACCTAACTCTCGCCAAGTCCTCCAAGGCTTACTCCCCCCACCAGCACCTACTCCCAATGGAAAAGGTCCAGCATGGTCCTGCTCTCCAGCACCAGCTCCAGCTGTGCTGCCCTTATTGAGAAGGTCGGCAGTAGCTTGAGACTGAGCGTGTGCCGCGGCCGACGAGCGAGGGGTCGAGTATAACCGTTGGGCGAAAGATGTCGGCCTGCGAAGCGAGGGGCGGGGTGCTGCGAGGGAGAGGACGATCCTGAGTGGGGTGACTTTGCTCATGGCTGAATTTTGCGAAGAAAGACGACTTTTGATGCAGAAGAAACCCTTCGGCTCGTCATGAAACCGGGATCGGCGAGCGCCGCCGTGATTTGATCCCGCTACACGCTTTCGTTCTCCCACATTCTTCGCGTCCACTCTGATCCCATAAAATCAGCCCTCACCGCAAAAATGGCCTCTACTATGTACCAACGCGACCCCAGGGCGGTAAGTGCATTCTCTTGGGGGTGACTTGCGACTGACAGGAACTGCAGGGGCTCTTCTTGGGCGGTTCGAGGACCAGCGGCGCCGAAGTTCGCGATGCCAACGGTATGTCCAGCAACAGCTCAGAAGTGTATCTTTTTGCTGACGGGTATTATAGTGGCTGCTTGCCAGACCGTCTCCAACGTCCTCAAGTCTTCGCTGGGTCCTGTCGGGTATGTTGCACGGGATGAATCAATTTGAGGTCGTGCTGATGTTCCGGCAGTCTCGACAAGATGCTCGTGGACAATGTCGGAGACGTCACCATCACCAATGACGGTGCCACCATCCTCTCCCTCTTGGAAGTCGAGCACCCCGCTGTATGTGCACTCAGCCTCAAAACATTCTCAAGCTGATGAAAGCAGGCCCGAGTTCTCGTTTCTCTTGCTACCCAGCAAGACAAGGAGGTCGGTGACGGTACCACCTCTGTCGTCCTCCTTGCTTCCGAGCTCCTGAAACGTGCCAACGAGCTTGTGCGGAATAAGATTCATCCCACCACTGTCATCACTGGTTACAGGTATGTCATCCTTATCCGCCTTATACAATTGCTGATTCAGATACAGACTCGCCTGTAAGGAGGCATGTCGATTCATGGCCGAGCAACTCTCCACCAAGGTCGACAAGATTGGCAAGGACTCTCTCGTCAACGTCGCTAAAACTTCCATGAGCTCCAAGATCCTTTCTGCCGACGACGACTTTTTCGCTCCCCTCGTCGTCGACTCCATGCTCGCTGTCAAGACCATCAATGCCAAGGGCGAGGCCAAGTACCCCGTCAAGGCTGTCAACGTGTTAAAGGCTCACGGTAAATCCGCGCGAGAGTCTATTGGTGTCAAGGGTTACGCTTTGAACTGTACCGTTGCGAGTCACGCCATGAAGACCAGGATCCAGGGCGCCAAGATTGCGTGTCTCGACATGAACCTCGCCAAGCAGCGAATGCACCTCGGTGTTCACATCACCATCGACGACCCCGACCAGCTCGAGGCTATCCGTGCTAGGGAGAGCGACATCACCCTCGAGCGAGTGCGCAAGATCCTCGCGACCGGCGCGAACGTTATCCTTACTACCAAGGGTATTGATGACCTCTGTTTGAAGGAGTTTGTCGAGGCTGGTGCGATGGCCGTGAGGAGGTGCAGGAAAGAGGATTTGAGGCGAATTGCCAAGGCAACCGGCGCCAGCCTTGTCTCCTCCCTCGCCAACCTCGAGGGTGAGGAGACATTCGAGGCTTCCAGCTTGGGTTACGCCGAGGAGGTCGTGCAGGAGAGGATCAGTGACGATGAGCTCATCCTCGTCAAGGGTACCAAGATGGTCAACTCTAGCTCCATCATCCTGAGAGGTGCCAACGACTACATGCTGGACGAGATGGAGAGGGCTTTGCACGATGCGCTGTCGATCGTCAAGAGAACTTTGGAGAGTGGAAGCGTCGTGCCCGGTGGTGGTGCTGTGGAGACTGCTCTGTCTATCTACCTGGAAAACTTTGCTACCACCCTTGTGCGTCCTCCCTCTTCATTCGGAATGTAGCTGACAAACTTTAGGGTTCCCGAGAACAACTCGCCATCGCCGAGTTTGCCAACGCCCTCCTCACCATCCCTAAAACCCTCGCTCTCAACGCCGCTAAGGACTCTACCGACCTCGTCGCCAAGCTCCGTGCCTACCACAATGCGGCTCAGAACGCTCCCTTGAACGACCCCAAGCGTGGGCTCATGTTCTACGGTCTCGACTTGATCAATGGCGAGGTCATCGACAACAGGCAGGCGGGTGTGTTGGAGCCGACGATAAGTAAGATCAAGAGTTTGAAGAGTGCTTTGGAGGCGGCGACGAGTTTGTTGAGGATAGACGACAGTATACAGGTGGCGCCTGAGCAGAAGCCGGAGGTCGATGAGCACGGCCACTAGAGGGCAGAGATTGTGTAGTTAATAGGGAGCTTGTTTACACCTTTTGCATTGATTGACTAGCATATCCTGCCTCTGCTGCATTGCCTTCTGATGATCATCCTGGCTCTGTACATCACTTACATGGCGCATCTCGTTGTCAACAGCGCGTCGGGAGCCCGCATCCCCACTCGGCGAGATCCGCCTGATATTTCGGCCGCCTCTTTCCAACATCTCTCTTCCTCTTCTCTACAATATCCTGCAATGCCTGGCCCTGCGCCCTCCGCACACCAAGTGCTCGTCTACTCCGGCCCAGGCGTGTCCCCCCTCTCCCTCTCCCACACCCTCCTCACCCTCCGCCTCATCCTCCTTCCCCACTACACCGTCCAGCCAGTCACACCCGAAATCCTCTACTCTCAGCCATGGGAGCCCTCTTGTGCTTTGCTCGTCATTCCAGGGGGTAGGGATTTGCCCTTTGTTGAAGCCCTGACAGAGCGGAGGGCGGTGACAGAGAAGATCAGAGAGTATGTCCAGGAAGGGGGGCGATACTTGGGCCTGTGTGCTGGTGCATACTTTGCCTGTGAACAGGTCAAATTCGACGTCGGGGGAGGCTTGGAAGTATGCGGCAAGAGGGACCTAGTGAGTGACTGTTGCTATGGTGAGGAGCTTGTCTGACTTTGTGAAGGGCTTCTTCCCCGGACCCTGCGTCGGGCCCGTCTTTGAAGGGTTCGAATACGCCTCCGAAGCCGGATCGCGAGCTCTTACCCTGAACCTGGAGACTGGTTCTCGAGAGGTTCACCATATATACTATAATGGTGGTGGACACTTTGCACTCCCTTCGCCGGCTCCTGCCAATGTCGAGGTCCTCGCGCGATTCAACTATCCCGCCTCGTCTCCGGCATCTGAACAACGCATAGCGGTAGTCTTGACCAAGAACGGCAAGGGTCGCACGTTGCTAGCCTCTGTGCACCCAGAATACCCGCTGTCAGACCCACCTGCAAGCAATGCTATCGAGAAGCTTGATGTCCACCTGACCAAAGAGGAACTCGAGGTGAGCGACAAGGCGAGAGTAGCTTGGGTTGCAGAGTTGCTCGTCAGTCTTGGACTCAAGCCGCCCGCGCACGAGAGTATCTCTGGAGCTCAGACGGATATTGAGGAGGACCCCGCCCTTCTCTTCCATCCTACCCATCCATCTCCCATATTCTTGCTCTCTCACCCCAGTCTGCCCCAACTCCCGTCGACAGCGGTGAATAAGACAGAGCTGAAGAGCAAGATGGTGCAGGTAGACGGGTGGAGCTTCTTGAGAGATGCGAATGATGAAGTCAGATTCGGAGAGGTGGAGGCTACTTGCGAAGATGCGGAAGCCTCTGAAGAGTCTGTTGCAAAGTGGCTTGGGACTGCGAGACGGACCAAGCCAGTATTTGAACCTGCTCTGGACAAGCTGTCCCTCGACGAAGAGTCTGATGTTTTTCGACCGCCCCCTCCCCCAGATCTTCACTCCCTTCTCAAGACAATTCTTTTGGCATCCCCTTCTATCCCGTACTCTCCTCGCTGGACACCACTATTCAATCTTTCTACCTATTGGAACGAGCTCGACCAGGCTCGAAAGAGGCTTGGTAGGCGTTCTGGGATCATGCGCCCTGGACGGGATGGACTAGACGAGAGGTGCTCCTTGGGTGACTGTGTCCTATACGGGGAGACGGTTACGAGTACACAAACCATGCTGGACGCCAACCCTCTCCTCCTCTCAAACCTTCCCGCGCCCCTTGCCTTCCTTGCCTCCTTCCAGTTGTCTGGACGTGGTCGCGGCGGCAACATGTGGCTCTCTCCTCCTGGGTGTCTGCAGTTCTCAATCCTTCTTGATCTCCCCCAGGAGCTCTCGTCAAAGATGGTATTCATCCAGTATATGATGGCGCTTGCAGTGGCCGAAGCGGTAGATGAAGATGGAAGGCTAGGTGTGAGGATCAAATGGCCGAATGATATTTATGCGGAAGTGGAAGGCGTGGGTGGAAGCGAGGTTGGGAGTGGCAAGAAGGGCAAGGCGAAGCTTGGTGGTATATTGGTCAACACCAGTTATGTTGGAGGCAGGTGGAGAGTCGCCGTTGGTGAGTGTCTTTCCCTCGACTCTGATCTTGGCTGATATTTGATCAGGCTGTGGTATCAACGTCCTCAACGCGCTACCCACGACCTCCCTGTCTCAACTCCACTCTCTGCAAGCCGCTAAGCTTTCCTCATCCAACAAGCCTCTTCCTCCTGCGCCCACCATGGAAGGCACTTTTGCCCGTATCATGAGTTTCTTCGATGCCAAGTGGGAGCAATTCATCGAGGAGAAAGGGTTCAAGGGATTCATGGATGAGTATCATGGAAGATGGTTGCACGCGTAAGTCTACTTTGACTGGTTGGACGATAGAGACTGACATTTCTTTTGGTAGTGGGCAAGAGGTGACTCTGACAACGACTGAGCCTCATACCCGCGTGCGCATCTTGCAAATCACACCAGATCACGGACTTTTGCGCTGCATACCCTTGTCGAACCCTCGGCCCCAGGCGTCGCATGGGCTCACTCCTCTATACGACAGGAATGTCGACGAGGGGGAGAACGATCGGGGTGGGTGGTCGTCCAAGCAAAGCAGTGGTGCGGGAAGCAATGGATCTAGTCCCTATGTCGATCTTCAGCCGGATGGGAATAGTTTTGATCTGATGAGTGGCCTGATCAGGAGAAAGGCTTAGAAACTCTGGAGACGTTTAGAATCATATAAAATCGTAGGATCACCGTTTTGTTGCGACTCTAGCTCAGTCATGACATGTCAAGCATATGGTAGAAATCGTGCATGAGTGTTACAGTAGAACCACAAAACGTCTCCGTTAACTTCTCGCCGACTTGGAACTCCCGCTCTTGTCCTTCTTCTTCAATTTGAAGAACCCATTGAAACCAATCCTGATACCCAAAAAGCGCACATCCAAATCCTGATGCGCCCCAGCCATGTGCACGACGCTGGTCACTTTATCGTGAAAGTCGTTTGCGCAGTCCCGAATGCGGATGCGGATGGATTGTAGCTGTTCTTCAGATTTGGATGGGTCGTCGTCTGCTGCAGAGGGGGTGTAGAGGCCACGAAGAGCGTCACGCTGGCGATCGAGACGAGTGGCTTCGGCAAGAGACCACGCGTAGAGGTCGTCCTGACATGAGAGGGTTAGTGAAAGGCTAGAGGCGACAACACAGGGGCACGTACGGTGGCATCTGTGAACTGGAGTATCAGGTCGAGAGCATCGCGGACCAAGTCGAGTAATATCTCCTGCAAAAAGATCAGCGCCCCGCCTTGATTGATGTGATATCTGACTTACCTCCTTCTCACGCTTCGATGACAGCAGCAGAATCTTCTTCACGACCCTACTTAGATATTTTCTATGCGCCGCAATCAAGGTATCCAGATCTCCTTCCCTCTTTTCCACATACTCCATCAGCTCTGCCCAGGAACACTCTATCACCTCCAGCTGACAGAATGCTTGTATTTGTCGCAGAAAATGAACCATTTCGGATTGGACCACTCGACAGTGGTGCCAGTCGTTATTCAACCCCGGCAGGTACTCATACGCCTTACTCCCGCTTGTCGCCCTCATCCAGTTCTGCGTGAGAGCTACCTCCACCCTCTTCAACCTCCACAGATGATTGAAGAGCCTGTCGTAATCTCCCATTGCCCTACCGTCCAACACGGCATTGATTGGAGCTTCGACTTTGTACTGGAGAGCGAAACAATCCCATCCAGTCTCTCCGTGCGAATACTCTAGCATACGGGCGTCGAGACGTCTGAGGATGTCGGGAGGAGAGAATTGGGCGTTAGAGCCGCGGATAGCAGATTCGAGGTCGGAGGTGAGATGATGGCGATAGAGACTGATGGCGGGCTTTGAAAGTCGGGGACTTGAGAGCGGTCAGTGTGTCTGTTGAACAAAGAAAAAAACGGCAAGACGTACGCTAAGGATTCCATGAGTAGCTCGGCAAAATCACCAGCACCCAACATGAGGAACGATTTGAGAGCGCGGAGATGGTCAAGTAGTCTGAATTTGTCAAAGAAGATTTCGAGAAGTCGCTGAGAGGCGATAGAATAGGCATCGTCGATAGAACGCTCCAGGCCAGCCAAATCACTGTAGCTCAGATCTGAAGACATGTCAGTAACGACTTGGGTCACTGCACCTGGAACGCACCTCTGCCAGCATTAGCCAGTTTTGCTTGGGTCTCTATCCAGTCGCTGTCATGACAGCTGTATCTGATGAAGTTTAGACTCCTGCCTGTGGAGAAAATCTGGAGAGTATCAGCTTGGTGATCTATGAATGGTGAGGTGACCCACCTTTTTGGCAAAGTCCTCCGTCACGAATCCCGGCACCATCTTCTTCACAAAGACATACTTCTTCTCCCAGACTGCATACGCCTCTTCGAGCCCGTCCTCTCCTTCCATTCCTAGTTCCCACCCCCCGTCTCCCAGTACTCCTCCTGGACCATCTTTCAGCCTAGGTGCATCCGGATTCAGTTGCACAAAGAACTCTTTGAATGGATCATGCAGCTCGCCGGAGAATATCCACCGTTGGAGAGTAAGGAAGAAGGGCTTGGAGACGGAAGAAAGAATCCCGTTAGTGAAAAGGCGGATGAGTGGGTCACCGTTGCTGGTGTGAGAATGGATACGGGACACAAGAGAACCACCATGATGGGCTGTACTGCAGGTCAGCTAGGCAGTGGAAGAGAATGATATTGCGCACCTTTGGCCTCCTCGACGATTTCGTCCATTTGTCTCAGCTTGAGGCGCATCTCTTCCGTCCACAGTCCCAAGCGCATGAGAGTCAGGCCTCCGCTCTCCGCTGTTTTGTCTGGATCCGCCGAAGAAGCCGTGTTCATCTGCGACTCTAGCACTGCCAAAAGACGATGGTATTCTGACAGATCGTGATGGAGGAAATGACACAAGCTCTGCATGGATGTCAGTATTGGCATGTATGTCGAGCAGGACCGCATACCTGTTCAATCATGCCCCCTCTGTTATCTAGCGACTGGCGAGATTCGATGAACCCGGTGACTCGCCGGTAAATCATACCCAGCTCGGATATTTGCATCAAAAGCGTTCTGGTGGGTTGCGAAATATGACCATCCTGACACTCATCAGCTGTTTTGCCACTGATAGCCCGTTGCACTGACCAAGACTTCGTCCGCTACGATTTCGATACCAACAACCTCTTCACCACCCTCCGCACTTTCGACCACAGGGCCGTTTTTACCCAGCGGAAACCCTGTGCCTTCGTTCTCTTTACCCTTTTCTGTGAGGTATGGATTTTGCTCCTTGGGAGGGGCCAAGGCAAAGCGGACGTATCGACCGTCAATCCCCTGAAGGAGGTATAGAGCGTCTCTGAGAAGGAGTTGCGGTGGAAAGGTCGGGCGAGCTAATCACCGTCAATACGACTTCATGAACAATGGGTGCTGCTCACATTTGAGGGCTCTCCATTGCTTCAAGACTTCGGCTTTGCTGATACCCTTTCCACTGAATTCTGCTTGGGCGATGAGTGCACCAGCGCCGGCCATCGGCTGCTGAGAAGAGCTAGCCTTCGTTGACGGGAATGCCGGGGGAGGCATAGACTTGGAGGGTTGAGGAGGGTTGGCAGTACCTCTGGATATGTTGTTGGGATTCATTTCGGACAAAGCGGACAGGAATTGCAGATGGGGATTCGGTGACGAAAGCAAGCGCTGTAGGTATGTCAGTGTCAACACCAGCAGGTATATGTGTATGCGTACTCCTCGCTCTAGTTTGTTCCATATGGAGCTGAATCTCAGAGCTTTGTTGGATCCGCTCTCGCTTCCAGTCGGTTTGGAGGAGTACACCATTCGCTTGACGGAATCTGGTAATGTGCCTTCTGACAACGGGATGGACAATGGGAGGTTACTGCAAGGTAGGACATCAGTATAGAGGCATTGCTTGAGAGGAGACCCTTACCTATCCAAAATATCCTGGCACCATCCTGTAAGCTCCTTGACTCTCTCTTTCCTCTCCTTCTCCACGGGATCTTCCGGGCGAGCGCCTCTGACCGGGGCAAGGGACGGGACTAGAGACAGTACGAGTTGTTCCAGGGGAGGGCGGGATGACGGGGTAGACGATGATGGTCTATTGGACCCTGATGAGGCTGTGCGTGCTGCCATGGCTGTCGATGAGAATGATATACTTGCGAGAGGCTTTGTTGTTGCCAGAACGCGAACCGACGCGTCGACGGAACCAAATTGTTTACTTTCAAGAGCTGCCCAGCTTATGTAAGCACATTTGATTCCGCCCATGACGGTCGTTCGAACGAAGCAACAAGTCTGTGGCCACCCAGTTACTACAACCCCTAATTTTTATATCCGACTACAACAACCAACAACTCACCATGTCAGGCTGGATGTCCTACTTCACCGGGAGGAAAGATACTCGCGAAGGCGCCCGCGATGCGATTGTGGGCTTGAGGCAGCAGCTCCTCATGCTGGAGAAGAAGGAGGAGTTCCTCGGGAAGAAGATAGAGGAGGAGATGAAGAAGGCGAAGGCGAATGCTACTTCCAATAAGAGGCGTGAGTCGAGATTCTGGGAGTTATAATCGGCGTCTGTCCGGAGGTTAGGTGCAAGGGAAAGCGAACGAAGCGGAAGGTGGATAAAGGAATCGAGACGAAGTTAATGATTGGGGTCAATCAGATGACTGGATTTTTTCAATGGGAATGAGCTGACGGGAATTGAATGGTAGTGGCAATGGCGGCGCTCAGGCAGAAGAAGGCGCACGAGAATGAGCTGGACAGAATTGCCGGTACTAGATTGACGCTCGAGACCCAAGTGAGTTAATTGCGTGCTTGCCAGATCCATGTCTGACCTCAAATTCCAGGTCAATGCCATAGAATCAGCAAACCTCAACGCCGAGACCATGGTTGCCATGAAGAAGGGTGCCGACGCTTTGAAGGGCATACACAGCAACCTGTATGCTGCACACTATCTCTTGACATTGTGATATGCCGCTGATCGTTCCCAAACAGCACTGCGGAAGGTGTCGACTCTACGATGGACAAAATCAGAGAGCAGATGGACCTCACCAACGAAATTTCTGATGCGATTTCGAACCCTGTTGGGATGGGTATTGTCATGGACGAGGTACGCTCAGAAGCTTCTCTCTATATCATAATGTTATGGCGGACTGACGGGATGCTAGGACGACCTCAAAGACGAATTGGATGCTCTCGAGCAGGAGCAGCTGGACGACCGGCTTGCTGGAGCGGACCGCGTGCCCAGCCATCTTCCCGCTTCACCAGTCGGTCAAACAACAGGCCGTACGTCATGTTCTCTTGCAACTTGTGCATGAGCTGACTCACTATACCAGGGGCCGCCGTGCAAGAGGACGAGGACGACGAGGAAGCGCAGCTCCGCCAACTCCAGGCTGAGCTCGCCATGTAAACCTCCAGTCACCCCCTTACTTCTACTTTGTGTGCTTGCATGATCGTTCTCTAGATTCCGTCGCCCACGACCCATCCTTTACGAATGTGTTGTTTCCTCTCTTTCGTGACTTTTCAGTTCTCACTACAGGGCATGTATCAGTATACATATTTATACACACCACTCAGAGAGCAAGCCCATTCTAGAGTCATCCAGGACATTTGCATGCTCGACCGGAAGTCGATTATCGTTCGGATAAAGTACTTGTACAACAGAGTGTGACGTATGTCTTCCGAAACTGCTACTACCAACTCTTGACAGTGTTCCCAATGGGCTGATCCCCGCCCCTATTTGTAGCCCCATCGACCTTCTTCAAAGGCGGCGGCGGTGGTGTCAAGGCGAACCCGCGCCTCGCCGTCGGTGTCGATCCTCCCCCAATACCTATTCCCATCTCAAAGCTCCTTCTCCCAAAGCTCAAACTTTTCCTCTCTTTATCGACTCTAGCCAACGTCACACACCCCATTCGATTTCCAAACCCGCCCATCATCCCCTTCTGCCCCAGCTTGACCATTGGAGTCAGCTCCACGTAGCCTAGTTGAGAGTAGGTGGGGACCGAGTATGAGTCGGAGCGAGATGGGAAAGAAGCGCGACCGGAAAGAGACAGAAGACGCTCCGTTCTCTTGTCCTGCATGGAGACCATACCCGGTGTCGCCGGGCTGTCTCTCTGCCCATTCGCCAGGGAGTGGTAGCTATCCAGTTGCGTCCGCTTGACAAGCTCTGTGAGATCAACGGATTCTACAACTAGCCCATTGCTATCCCAAGGCTGTGTCAAGTCGACGACCCAGACTTGCCATTGATCATCGTTGATCCCTTCTCTGGCACGCCCGATTCCAACGAGAACATCGTCATCGACAACCGACCACCCACCGGAGGGTGAGCCGGAAGAAGAAACGCCACCGAGGGAGGTGATTTCCATCTCTCGGCCTGGGGAGGCGGCGTCGATGGTGGCAGAGGTAAGAGCAGTGAGGCTGAGATTCAGGCTTCCTGGGGTTGAGACGCTGTAGGGCGAAGTGGTCGTCATTCGAGACGGCTCGTCCTCCTTGTGCAGATTGCTCAGGCGTCTTGCAGACCCATGTGAAGAAAGCGGAAACTCTCCGTTCGATACAGGAGTAAGCAGAGTGGACTGCTTCGCGGGGGATGACCCCGGCGTGAGTCTTTGCCTAGATCCAGAGGGAGGGACAACGAGGGTACTGGTCTTTCTCAAATCCCCTCGCCCGAGTGGAGTATCTTCTGTTGGTGTGTATTTTCTGGGGCACCGACAAAAAGTGGGTATAGGGTTCTTGGGCGCCACTCTGTCGAGAGACACCTGTGTTGCTGTTGACGAGATGACAACATAGCCCTCTGTGGACTGTAGACCACATCCCACACACTTCATACTCGCCGGTCGCACAAGCTCGACCTTTCTCACGCCTTCCATGCTTGCGCCTTGTGGGACTAGGTCAAACTGGCCATGAGACTCGTCGTAGATGGAGACGAGTCCGGATCGGTAGCCCACAGCAAAAACACCTGGAAGGGAGGCGTTTATATGGGAGAGCGATGTGATGTGGTCGGTTGCTAGAGGCCCAGGAGAGACAAGGGCCGATGTCCAGCTCAATGAGATTTTGCGCCAGAGAGTGGTGCCGAGTTGGCCAGCAATGATGATGTTTACGCCTCGGTTTTGGGCAGGCAAAAATTGTATACGACAATGCTGCGAGCCATCACTTTGAGCATCAACAGCAATGTGGACGCTCTGTTCGTTGACTTCCAGCACCGAACCGTCGGCGCATGCAACCAGCACTGAAAAGATTCGCGGAGAGCTGCTGTTCGCCTGAGTAGCAGTGAACGGGTCATCGGTAGTGGTATCGCTCTCATCGAAAGCGATATCGAGTACCCTCGCCGTCAAGCCTTGAGGTAAAGCAGAAGGTTGTCTCGTGACCACAGCACCTTCCTGAGGGATTTCCCATACCTGTAATACCCCCGATACAGTACAAACACCAACATGATGCCCATCTTCGCTGACAGTAGTGGCCACGATAACATCGTCCTCCTTCACCCCTTCCGCGTGAAGCAGCTCCCGCATCCCGCTCCCACCTTGAGGGTCCTCGAACCGCCAGAGACAAATAGAATTGTCAATGGCGACTGATATGACTAGGCTGCCGGACGAGTTGGAGGAGATGAGGTCGACGTCGGCCTCATGGCTGCATGGAAGCATGTACGCTTTCAGCTGGCCGGCCAGACCGATGGATCCTTTGGGAGAGCTCGGGGTTTCCGTCTCGTCTCCTTGGTCAAGGTCCATTCTCCCAAGCCTGTCTCGTTGTGCGTCGAGCAGCTCCGAGTCTTTCAGCAGATAAAGCAAGAGCGCATAGAGAGCCCCAGCAGTGATAGCCTGAGGCAGGATGAGGACCTTGAAGACGTGGAAGATGGCTTTAAGCCTGGGGATAAGGAGTTTCCGGGCTGGAAGAGAGAGTTTCCGTAGATCAACTGGGCGTAGAGAGTGTCCATCTTTCGGCAACACCAGAATGGAAGCTGGAGGGACGACTACGTGCACAAACGGCCACCCGTCAGGGTTGATGGATCTCCACAGCTTCTCAGCCGAGGAGAGAGTCGTGGCGTTATTGTCAAGATCTTGGAAAGGCGTAGGAGTTGGCGCGGGAAAGTAGGATGTGGATGTTGCCTTTGCAGTGGGGGTGTATCCGTACAGGCTGGCCGTAGTGTTGAATGGTACGCGGTGCTGTTTTGTGAGCCAGTAAAGAAGACCGACAGTAAACAAGAGCTGTGTCTTTGTCAGTATGGGCCGTGTGTGTAGTATTTTGAACTCACCAATAGCAAACTCCCACTCTTCGTGGTTCTTGCTCGTAGAAGATTTCTCCAGCTTAGCCCACCCTCGTTCTGTGCCACCTTTTCCCTTTCTTCCTCCACCGACGAAGCCATCCCAACTTTATTGGCAACAAGAACATCCGCCAGCTCCAGCCTTTGCGCATCGATTGATAAGACCTGAATGTCTCGTGAGCTTCCTCATGACGGTCCCAAACGCAGGACTCACAGTCAGGAAGAATGTGTGCAGCATGAACCAATCAGTGATGATCACGACTGCCGCAAATAGGCAGAACTCCCGCACTGGCTGGAGGTTGACACATAGCCAGACGATGCCGAGGATGGCCAGATCAGTGAGCGAGGTGAGGGCGATGGTTGTGCCAACCTTGCTCAAACCGAGCCCAATCCGGACGGGAACTGAGTGGATGAAGGGGATGGAAAATATGGCTTTTGTCTATAACCTGTCAGCCAGATAGTCTCGGAACTCTCTGCGGATAGCTCACCAGTGTCGACATGTTTTCTGCCCCGACAACAACGATAACAAATGGCAAGATATAAGCTGGCAAGCTACTCTCTCCCCTTGATGCCCCCCAGCCGTTCCAGCCTAGAAGCGCCAAGACACTGAAGGACATTACGGACGAGCAGCACAGCTGAACGACACCAGTGAAGGCAAGACCGAATCGAGAGTGCACTTTCGAGGCATTGGAAAGTTGGACGATGAGCGTTGTGAAAAGCACAAAGTAGAGGATGATGATGATTGTCGGTGGGGAGGAAGGGATCATTGCTGGGGTTGAAGTTGATTGTGGGGATACCGGAGCGGGAGAAGAATACTGTAACGCATTGGCAAAGGTCAACAAAATCGGTTTGTACTCACATATATGTTCCACTCTCCCGGTTGATGGCGGCTCCTGGCCTCCACAAACACCTCCCCCTCAATCTCCCGGGATATGCCCGCTACGGCTTCTTCCCATCGGCTCGCAAATGTAGTATTTGTTTTGGCAGGTACACGGAAGAGAACGGCGAAGCTGTGGTAGACATTGCTGGCTCCCAAAGTATGCTCACTCTCCCCCAGATTGGCAAGGTCCGTTATCGGCGATATCGTGAGGTCGACTTCGGGGAGGTATTTTGATGGAGAGATTATAGCGCAGGGTGACCTACTTCCGTTGGACGATTGTCCTCGGAAACATTGCTGACCACTGGAAGGGTATTGTGATTCCCAACCCTCTGCTATGTCTCGGACAAGACCCAAGAGGAGATGATCCCTTCGCTCCCATTCCCTTTCTCCCATGTGCACATCCCTATCCAGAACATCCTCTACATCGGCCCAGCCGACCCGCATCACCCATACATCCTGCCCGCCTCCTGCATCGGTTATCCCCGGGATCTCCTGTGTCGACGCCCACCCCCCGTCATCCCATTTAGAAGTATCTTGCGGCCACCAACCGACCCAGTCTAGCGGAGGTAATAGAGGAGGAGGGGAAGGAAAGAGGCTGTCGAGTCCAAGAGGAGAGAAAGAGTGGCCGGGTGGTGGATGTGAGTTGGTTGATGGAAGGGGTTCTTTCTTTTCAAGATATAGAGCAAGGGACGGATAGAAGAGATTTGTCATGACTAGACAGTCAATCAAGAGCGTCCGTATCTATGCCATAGTCAGCATTCAGCCTGCTTCCCAATCTGTCACTTACTTGACCCCGGGCGCAGTGCTCGCCAAACTTTCGAAAGGCCTCTGTGACATGGCCTCTCCGCCATCTCAGCTTTCTGGGCCTTTCACCTTTTCTCTTCCGCTTTGAGGGCCTGCCCCTGTCCCCCGAGTCGCTTGGAGAGGGACTTGAGTGGTAGGTGGGATTTTCGCGTCGATGCCGCGACCTTGCATTGCCGGAAGTGTGGTGGGCGGTGGAAGAAGACGCGGCTGTGTTGGGGGTGAGTGAGCCGGCCACACGAGACATGGTTGCTGGTGGTCTATACGCTGGCCATGGCGGGTGTCTGTCCTGCCGAGAGTGCTGTTGAGGCCGTCGAAAGCGCTCTCGGCATCGTCGCCTCCGCCTCTACTTTCGTTGTCCGTTCGGCGATACGCGTCCCTTCTCTGCGCCCCCACTTTTGCTCGGTGTGCCGCACTCGCCCAACTCTCTAACAGTTTGGTTCTGCATCCCTCAACAGCCGCCCCCAGACTCGCTATGCTTGCCTTCCATTAATCACCCACCACCCACCACCCAATAGGACTAACTACCCACCAAGATCGTTTAATTCAAGCGCCATGGGTCAGTAATCAGCCACTCCTATACTTCTTAGCACCTGCTTACCGTATCACAGACTCCCCGCCTAGACCTCAGGCCGCTCGCGCGCGATCATCTACTATCGTTGGTACAGGCTCTCTTCCACCTGGAAGCACACAACGCGGCCCTCCGACAATTGACCTCTCCGCATCCTCCTTCCGCATAACCACCAATCCCCAGCCATCCCAGCCATCAGCTGCTGCCGAAGCACTCACAAATCTCAAAGGCAGTGCCAAGCGGCCTCGGATGAGAGACGCTAGCTCGGGGCATAACCGCGTCTCGTCATGGCCTAGCCCGCCGCAACCGGTCGTGACAGCTATGCCTTCCGCCCCAGCTGTACCTACCCGAGCTACTCTGGAAGGAGGAATTTTGGACCTGTCTTCACTTGAGAAAGAGAGAGACAGTGCAACTCTGTTGCTATATACCTACCGACCACCGATATCCAATGCTGCCAACAACAATGCCGCCCACCCTTCTCCCTTACCCTCTACATCAGCCTCGCCGACTGCACCATCATCTCAGGTCACTATCAACTATGCCGCTCTCCCTTGGGATGTAAAGCCCGGGGACTATCTTGAAATCAGAAAGATTGCTCGTCCCAAGACCTCTCGTTCTGTGGCGCCAATGCGCATACAAGGGCTGGAAGGAGAAACGCAGCAAAAGGTCAAAGGGTCACCTGCCATTGAGGGCGTCAAGCCTGGAAAGGGTAGGGAGGGGTATGTCTTCAGACTAGGGGATGATTCTCCCAATACCAATATCCACCAAATCCAGGTCCCAGACTCTGTCGCCTCCGCATTCGGCTTCCAAAACAGATTGGAGGTCGAAGTCCGCAGAGTGCACGACAAGGAATCTGCCCACACCGATTATATCGAGCTCTACTTTTCCCAATACCTTGGACGAGCCGATATGTGGCGTCTAGGTATGTCATTGGAGGGCACCACATTGCATGTAGGGGAGAAGGTATCCTTGGCGGGAGGCGCTGTGCGCGCAGAGGTCAACTTTATAATACGCAGTGAGAGAGATAAGGATGGGACGATGATCAAGCCGAAAAAGTATTCCAGTGGTATCGTCACCGCAAAGACAAAGACCATATTTCGGAGTAAGAGTGCCCAAGTGTATATATTTATACAGCTCTGTGAGGAAACCTGGCAATTCGATGAAGATGGAGAGCGATATGTTGAAAAGGTAGTACATGGTGAGTTGACAATATGCGTACTAGCAGCATTTGCATAGGGGAGAAACTGATATGACCTAGGCTACCTCCCCGAATTGTTTGCGAGATGGGCAGAAAAAGGCACATCTCATGTCGCCACAATCGTCCTCTTTGCCCGTATCTTTTACCGCGACGACGAGGTCGAGTACCTCCGCAAACATGACATGACAGACATGCTGTGCCAAGATCACTCTGGCCAATGGTACAAAGACTTTTTCAAGGTCGCCGTCGATCTCGAAAGGCGAAACGACTGGATGAGTTCTCTGCCCGAGATCAAGAGACAGCTGGAGAGGAGTGAGAGAGACATCTTGTTGGATTACCACTTGGGGCTGTTGAGAGCCAAAGGGGTTGAAGAGGAGATCAAGATTGTCGGAAAATGGAGTTTTGCTTATCAAGGCAATGTCCTTGAAGCCATCAACCTCGCTCTCAACCCCTTCGACGAACATTACGTCGACAGAGATCTTTCCCGCACCGGTCTGTCTATCACTGTCGTCACACCCGGTACTGGTCACTTTGCCGTCGACAAGAATCTGCTCAGGTTAACAACCGAGCGTATGGTGGATCATGGTATCACCACAGATTTCGTCTGTCTCACCAAGATGCCGCTTCATAGCGTGCCCCTGTTCAGCTATATCACACACAAGCCAAAGGGCCCGGTTTATGAAGATGGCTCGGGTCAAAGAAGGCTTATAGCGCCTGATTTGCTATACTTCGATGGTCAAACAGCCATTGCAAAGGACACCGAGTTGTCTGACTGCTATTGTGAGTAACATATCCACCGTGTAACTCTAGTCTGATGACCCATTAGCTCTACCTTCTTGGGTTAGCTGCTCCTTCTACGCAGTGACTCACGACAAACCGTTCCGGGAAGACCGCTTCGTTCCGCGGTGCAAGATGTATGATATCCAGATGCTCGGCATACTGGACCACAACCTCACAACCGTCACTGTCCCACTCCTCAACGTCGACGATACGCCCATGCCCCGTCGGCCGCTCACCGCCGAGAATAGAAAGACGATCAGGGATGACTTTGATCAATCCATTTTCAGTAATAATGTGGAGATGCCTCCAAAAGTCGGACTCGGTACTTCGCCGATAGGGTCAGCGGCATCAGGGAGCGTTCCGGCGAGCTATCAGTCGGCGAGACTCCTGGCGGAGAAGGAGAAGGAAAAGTTGCCTTCACTGTCCATGTCCAAAGACAGGACGAGCTCAATGTCAATGTCCAGACCAAAAGTGTTGGAGTTTCAGAACTCCAAGTTGTCTCCCATCAAGGCCATGGTCGAAATGGAAGATATCGAGCTTGGGAAGAAGGCGCCTCTACGGGAACCGTCCCCTGCGCCGTCCTCGCTGAGTTTGCGCAAAGGTTCCAGGAGGTCACTCTCACCCACCAAGCTGGCACAGATCACCCGAGTGCCTCAGGATCCCAAACATCCTACAGTGCCGTCACTGTTATCAGAGAGTCGAGTCGGCTCCCCGACCACAGCGACCAGGTCGTTATCTGCTTCTCCAGCCCCACCCCCCGCCGAGACAGGGAAAGACTCGTCTACGGCGACTTCTCCTCCTCAAGCCGACACGGCAGAGCGTCATTCGTCCCCATCCCCTCATTCTATTCGCTCCGTCACGACCGATCAATCTGGCGCATCGACGCCCAAGCAAACGACGCCTGGCAAGAGCCTTAAACACCAACCAAGCAAGGGCTTATTGCCAAGGTGGATATACAACAGCTTGAGCTTCAAGCCCTTAGTGTCTACCTCCACGCTGAGCTCAGCCGAGCCAGCGACAGAGACTGCAACGAGGTCGGACGTTGTTGGTGGCGCGAACAGAAGATCAAGCTCTCCTTCACCTTCCATTGGTTCTTTGAGAGGGCGAGCTTCAAAGTTGCCCAACCCTCAAGCCATCGTGACTCCAAGCACACCCTCTCCTTCGCGCATCGAGCGTTCAGAGTCTAGATCAATGAAACCTAGAGAGATCAGAGACAGGGGAAAGGAAAACGGCCAGGATCAAGGCACTCAGCCCCTGCCCATTGCAGCCTCCAAAGCTCGTGTCCAATCGCAGTCCGAAGAGGACGCCATTTCTCGCTCGCTTCGCACGAAATCAAACGCTGCACTCTCCAGGTCCCACGAGGATTCCTCCTTGCGCGCAGCTCAAAGCAACGCCCTCGTTCAGTCATCAAGGCACTTCACCATCAACCCTTGCAAGCCTTCGGTGGAGACAATCGATCGAGTACGAGATGCTGGTGGCCGTCGCTGGCGATTTGTCCTTCCCAAGTTGACACAACAGCACATCGTGCAATGGCCCAGCCTCATTGCTCCCGCATGTCTACCCCTCACGACCGACTTTTTACCGGACCAAAAGCAGAGCGACGAGCTGTACACGACGGGAACGTATACTGTACAGTGTTATCTGGAGGACAATGCCTTTTTGATCAGGTCGGATGCCGCGGAAGCCAATCTGCCTTTGGCTATGATGCGCGAAATGGTTTCGCAGAGATTGTCTCGTAGGTTTCATCGTCGTCTTTGTGCATGTCCCCGCTCATACCGCTGTAGAAAACTTCCAGGTCATTGTACAACCCCATGAGCTCTCTGAGCCGGAAACTCCCCACCCGATGCCAATTCATCTGGAGAAAGACGCCGATATCGGCGTTGAACTCGTATCCGGCGGAGCGTCAGAAGTGCTTAAGAATGGGCAAGGTGCAATTTGGCTTTCATGGGCAAACCGCATCCACAGGCTTCTATTCCACCCGAATAGACCAGAGATCATCGTACACTGGATGACACGAAAGATCATGCACGAGACAAAGAGCGTGCCTTGGAAGGGGTTGGTGTGGCCCGCTGGGACGAACGGGTATCAGAAAGCCTCTGCGACTTTTGCATATCCGGTACGTTCCTCGATCCGGCTGTGACCTCGATGCTAATACGCTAAACAGGACGTCTCCTTGAAAATCAACTACAACCACCTCGACCATCTCATCATTGGGGAGCGTGCTGATTTCGGACCTCTTCGATACTGGCGGACGCGCTTCATTTTGATACCCTCGGACAGAGAGCCCGGCTCCTTCCCAGGTGTGATGCCCAAAAACGAGTTCCTTGGCTCCAATGACTTGCTGTGGCTCGGCTCACAGAAAGTCATGGAGACGCTTTCTAGGTATCTCTTGAAGTACCCTGAAGGACAGATCCCGCAAAGGTCGATGAAGATTGTGACAACCACATTCGATCCATCGACTTGCGTGTTGGATGAGGAGCTGATGATGGATCTCGCGCGACAGATTCATGAGGTGCCAAAAGGAAGCACCAGAAGAAAGATAGAGGGGATGACATTGGCGCAAGTTGCGGAGGCAATGTGCATGCCAGGCAATGGTCTTGTCATCAGGACGAGATGGTGGGAAGGTGAGTCAATGCTTGCTGGTAGCTGTGCCGTGTACTGACTCTATCAAAGCGCGACAACATGTCTCTTCTTTCAACGGTTTCGAACTTCGAGAATGGTTGCAGAACAATTTTGAGGATGTTACTAGCCGAGAGAAGGCTCAAGAGTGGGCCATGGAGTTGACCAACAAGGGTTTGATAGGTAAATCCATCTATTCCCAATGCTCGATCTCACTGACCTTTTCTCAGAGCACGTCACCAAATCTCACGGCTTTTTGGACTACTGGCACGTGTACTACCGCCTTCGCGAGCCGTACGATCAAATGTACAAGCCGCCTACCAAGCAAGAGAAAGAAAGCAAAAACAAGTCTTGGTTCTCTTCCAGCTCCAAAGGATCTCGCCGTCAACCCCCTTCTGCTACCAGCACTCCTACTGCGGGTAAAGGCAATGTTGCTGCTTCAGCGATTGCCGAGCCTGTGGCCGCTATGGCAGATAGCAGCGCTTCAACCTCGACACAACCTAGTGCCGCTGGAGATAGTAGCAGTACTGCCGGCGACTCTGAACACGACCAGTCCTCGCTCGCCAAGATCTATCTCAAGACCCACGAAGACGAAGAAAAGAAGGGTGGTAGAAAGAGAAAGATCGTCATGACTCAGACAAGGGTACTGGACCTGGACCCCAACAGGAAAAGTGACCGAGCAGAGGTTGCTATTCTGCATGCGGACGTTGTGCACAACGCCAAGAATGCGTGAGTCGTGTGTGGTCATAGTGTATCGTTGCTGATCTCTGTGCAGGTTCCACTTTGAGTTGAACTGGCTAGGTGTCACCGCCGCCCTTCTGGACGAGCTTCGCCAAAAACTCTCTGCACAAGCCGATCGTTACGGGCTCCGCTTCGTTGAAACACCTGTGGAGCAGATCGCCGATATCTCCAAAAAGTGTGCTTACCGCACCGCTATCCCTATCAAGCTCGCGCTCGCCCCTCCTGTCATCCCCGACCTGCATACTCGCCTCGTGGCGGTAGCACACGGTACAGGCCAAGCAGAGAACTACTTCGAGTACTCTATTCTGACCCGCAAGTTTGGCTTTGTGCTTGACATGGAGGCGACAGATAGGTACCCCGACAACGTGGAAGTGGTCTATGCCTATAGAAAGGGCGGTGTCAATAAGTACACCTACTCCCAGTTCTGTCACAAAACAGGCCTCGCGCTGGTGCAGTGTGTGGGCGGTGAGGAAGGATTCTTGTGGAGCGACAATAGGCTGGTAGTGTCAGCGCCTACAAGGAGGGGTGTCGGAAACAGAGTGGAGGAGGCAAGGTCGTTGAGGAGAGAATTGGATCAGTTCTGTTCGGATAAGGAGCAGTTGGAGAAGTTTTACAAGGAAGTCACCCCACCTGTGCTCACGACAGGGGAGAACACTCCTGCACAGTCACCGGGTGAACAGTCTGCTCCACGAGAGGAAAAACCTGCTCAACAAGTTGCTGCCGAAGTGCAGTCGGTCACTGAAGAGAAGGCCGATTCTTAGATACATACTTTGCTCTTCATGTTGTTGTATATCTTCTAGAGTCTCCGTAAAGTATATGCACTGCATAGGTGATGGATGTACAACTTTTTTGCTCACTTCTCGATACCGCCGCAGGCTTGATCCCATCCCTGCATATCTAATTATCACCACGGCTGGAGGGAACGCCGAACCCTCCTTCAAGGATGAGGCCTGGGGGAACGCGAGACAGAAGGCGAGGGTGAACGACGCCTTGGCTTTCTATCACCTTCGAATTCGTCGCCCGAGTCGTATTTCTGCCGTCTTGGGGAGGCTGAGAGGTGAGGGGAAACAGATGAGGAGTAGCGTCGGCGTCGATGGGTACGGGAGCGGCTGGACACTGATGATGATGAATCGGAATCGGACTCGGTCGAAGATTCGGAGCTATTCAATCGTTAGCTGAGCGCCGAGTACAACGAGCAGAATCTCACCTGCTTCCGCCTCTCTTGCGCCTACTGCTACTGCTCTTTCCTTTCTTCGACTTTGCCTTCTTCAGCTCCTCTTGCTTTTTCCTCTCCGCCTCCTTCGCCGCCAAGATCTTGTCTGCTAGCCCCTTGCCCTCATTCTTGAACTCATCCGGCACTTCCACACTCGGCTTGTCCCGTCCAAATGAACCGGATTCAAGCTGTTTAGAGCGGGAGGGTCGAGGTACATAGGGTTGAGCGTTCTTGCATTGGTAGGTGAAGTGCCCGAGTTTTAGACATTTCTAGATTTCGGTGCAGATGAGCGTTGTGAAGCTTTGAGGGTTGGGATCCGGCGACGAACCTGGCAGCGGGTGTTGGAGGATGCTTTTGTGTTGTTCTGCAATGAACGAGGACCGCGAAACATGCTGATGGGTTTGGAGGTCGGTATTGTATTGATTTCCACGGGCAACATGTGGGCATAAGGCGGCGATGTCCGCTGCGACTTGCAACCCACATGTTTGCCACGTGCATACGTACGGTAAGCTGTCACTGATCTCACGTCATCTACTGGCCTGCTGCTGCTGCTATGTACAATCTTCATAGCTGGCTCTAGAACATATGTACACATCTGGTTCGCCTTCTCACAGAGGCCAATTTTCTGGCCGACCCGATACCGATGCTTTTATCATAGAAACTCCCTGCGTACCCTGTGTCCAACTCCAGGGCAGTCACAACTCACACCAAACATCCCATCCACCCTCGCGCGCCTCGGACCTGGCGCATCGCGATCACATACACTCTCTCTCTATTCATCTGCTGTCACTGAATGTCACCGGAGTCCGGAGTACCTGGAGTTGCGACCTAGCAAACCCTATCTGTTGCGAATGCTGCTTTGTCCACGCTGTCGATTATGGGATCATATGATAAGAGCTCGATCACCCTCAAGTACAGAAGTACGAGAGATTGAGTTCAACCTTGTCGGGCCGCCGGCGGGGAACATGAGACAAAGGTGACAGAGCAAGATTGTCGTGCCCGTCGCGCCTGACTTCCATTATGACGCGGGGCGCCAGGCGTCTGTCTTTCCAAGTTCTCTCCTCTTGTCTCTAGCTTTGCGTGCTTGGACTCGAAGAATAGTCAGCTATTAATGGTATCTGCTTAATGGCATTTATCATGAGCGTTCATGATAGCCAAATCCAGTACATAGTACAACAGCTCGGAAAAACGACGACTTGCTTCCTGTATTCTTCGAGCAGAGGAGTATATACAAACGCAATGCACTCCACCATTGCCTGTCTCGTAGCTCTGTGTTCCTCTCATACCTAGCACGCTCAGTGCCGGCGCACCCGGGTTCAAGAACCCTGCAATCGTGTGACTGAGAAGAAGGTCTGGGGCCTGGAGTCGGCTGTTTGGTAGGCACGCGCATATCTGGGATTCTGGGATGATTCGGACGGTCTTCCTTGCTTATTACGCTGACTGCAAGCTGCAAGCTTGTTCCTCTGTTAACAGACTTCACACGTTCTATAGAGAATGTCTTTGGTGGTGGCGCCGTGTTGTAGAATCGGACGGGACAGCTCTTCTTCCCAACAAGTGAAGGTACCCATTTGAACCTGTGATGCTACTCGCGTGATAAACAATTGAAGGATGATCAGAACTTGTTGACAGTCTCCCTTGATAATGCATGATGATGATGCAAGAGGTGGCACTGTCTTACGACATCGGCGAATGGACATCTGTTGATTACGGTTGATGGCCGTGATGGCCGATGGTGAATTGATGCCTTCGTGAAGTGCATGAAGTGAAGAGATGGAAACAACAACAGAAGCTTTGGAAGGAAACGGTGAAAGACAGGTGAAAGAGGCATGGAAGAGCGAGCAAAGTGTGGCTGGACATCGGACCTGTAAATTGTATGGCCCCTGCAGGCAGAGGGCCGGCAACGACGCCCGATTACTGGTATTATGACGGTAAAATAGTCAATGCACCATGTTTTTCTGGGACTGCTGCGGACGTTTGTGGATGCATGTGCATAGGGGAAGCCCAGTAGATGGATGAACTACTTTTTCGGAAGCCGAAGGGGAGAGCAGATAGGACTAGAGGCGACCATAGAACCGCGAATGCGCTCCCTTCTCTGCCGCCAGCGACCACCAAACGCCTCAAACAAGCCCAGCGCCAAAAAAACACCCATTCTTTTGTTCTTGAGAAACGAGACGCGATGTACGGACGCGTTAGCGCGAATGACTTTGGTCATGTTGAGAGGACAATAGGGATAAGAGAGGATACAGTCAGGAATTCAAGGGTTATTTGGCCGAAAAGTTTGGAAGCGATCAACATCAGGAATTTGGACCGTGGCGCTTGGCGTGGCAACCTTGACGCGTCGAAACGCGTTGTTGGTGTGCTGAAGGTGTGCAGCGTTGGATGATCACGAGCGTCCTCGGATGTCTCGGAAGGGCTGGGGGCGGGAGGTGCGATGGATGGACAGGTTGGCAGAAGGCGGGAGACGGTACAGACTATGATGCGATGAATGACATGAATGGTCACCGTCCTCAACGTCAGCCGGTGACGCTAGGGTGCGTCCCTTCAGGGCAGGACAAAAGCAGTCGCGGGATCGCGCCTATCGAGACATGTCGCAGCCGTCCACTCGAATCTCTGAACGATCTGCAACTCTCTTCACGCACACCACATCTCTTTCCTCTCCATCTCTCCCACCGCCTGACCTCCCGCTGCTGCTGCACCACCGCCGCCCGCCTTCCCACCCCCACCCGCTCCCCACCCTCGTTCCGGGCATCTTCCGAGCCCAGCTGCGTCTTTGGCAGTGGTTCACGCTCTCCTCCCCTACCTCCGTACACTGTATCCCACCACCCGTGGAGCATACCTCGCCCACACGTTTCTCGTGCAGCCCCAGCCCCTTCTCCCCCCGTCTCCCGCAGAGGCCGCCGAAGACCAAGTGTCGATTCCAGACGCCAGGTCACTAGCAGGAACGGCACGAACGTCACACACATCCCTTTCGACCAACTTTCCTTATCCTGAACCAGCGAGATCAGTGGGATCTATCTCCGCACATCGCTTCTGCCGTCCGCATTTCCATCTCCATTATTATCCGCCCACTCGCCGACAGTGCCACCCTTCACAAATTCTGCCATCTGGTATGTGTCCGTGTTTCATCCCATACCCCCTGAACGGGATCTTCGTGTACACCCATGGCTTCGCCTTGCTGCAACATGTTTGCTGACATTCTTCGCAGATAGCTTACGTTCACCACCATGAGTGCTTTCGGTTCTTCGCCCCTCATGGACGCCTTTCCCACCCACCACTTTTCCGAACTACCCTCGCCTACCAAGACGGAGACAGATGACCTTCCTATGGAAGTAGATCAATCTTTCAACTCTTCTCTTTCCATCTCGGACTCTCCGGGCTTCTCCCCAACACCCGCTATGGGTACCAACAGGGGTTCTGGCTCTTCCAACCTCCTCCCCGCCCCGCCCGTTTTTTCGCTCAAGCCTAGACGACCGGATCCTGTTCCGGTCCAAGTCCGACCCTCACCACGCTCAAAGACATTCGGCGGTGCTGCTTTTGGCTCCAAGCCGCTCGGTCGCGAGAGGTCTTTCGGCACGGAGCTCTCTACCAACGCCACCGCCAACAGGCGATCCGTCGAGTTGACCAAGAATGGCAAGGGCAAGATGCTGCCGCCATCTATCCCCGAGAGTCGGATGTTAAAGGTCCGAGGGTCAGTGCCCATGCAATGGTCGTCGTCAAACGAAGAGATGGGTAGCCCAGGACCGAGAAAGATGTTGGGAGTGCCCAGGACAGAGGTTGGTCATCTTGCGCTATTGTGCGGACTATGCTGACCGGTATCTCTAGAGCGACCCACTTCTCTGCTCACCGGTATCAGGCAGATCACCGAGAGCCAAGGACGACAACGACATGGACGTCGACTCTCCTCACCCTCTATCGGCTTCTGCTGCTCCACGCGGGTCCCTCATGGCGTCTCCCGCGTTTGGCGGCCCGGCGTCGTTGAACGGTTCTCCAGGACTTGGCTCCTTTTTCTGTGACTCGCCCGGCCAGCCGGTGCAGGCGCCTCCAGCCAAGAGGCGCAGTCTCGTCACCCCTGCCTCTCCTTCTTCAAGCTCGCCCTCTGCCAAGCGCGCATCTTTCGGCTTATCTCGCCCGCCTCTGGAAAAGACCGCATCAGTGGGCCCCATGCTCTTTGGCAGCACTCGCAACGGATCTATGGGTACTCGCCGTGGTATGACTGGCACCAAGCGTCCTACTCTTGGCCCCTTGTCCGCCACGACGGGCGACGCTTCCCGCATGACCTCTGCCAGCTCGGCCTTCCCCATTCTCTACGGCCCTCCAGCTCAGACTTTGGGTAGCGGTCAAAGCGGTACCTTCCCCCGTGCTGCCATGGCTCCCATGCGACGTGCTTACTCTGTCTGCGACCAGCAAAAAGCTCATGAGGTGGACGATGATGAGAGCGAGTTTGAGAACTCTCCCTCGCTTGGGACACAGGCCGAGTATGCGAGGAGGTATGAATCCAGAATGGCCTCTCATGTTGATGGCTCTCCTGGCTTCAAGCCTTCGAGAGCTTCTATTGCTGCCTCTGGCGAGGGAGTCGCGAGCCCTATGGGCAAGAAGATTAGCCCCTACGGGCCTGGAGGGTTGCCCGGTTTCGGTGATAACGAGATTGACGGCAAGATCCTGCCTTGTCACAAAGTCAAGGAGGATGGTTTGGTGAGAATCACCCCTGATACTGTGAGTAGCGTATAAATGCTCTTGGAGTTCGCTAACGTTGTCTTAGCTCGACAGCCTCCTTGACGGCAAGTACAACGACAAGCTGAAACGATTCCATGTCATCGACTGCCGATTCCAATACGAGTACGAAGGCGGTCACATCGCCGGCGCCGTCAATGTCAAGTCGATGGACGCGCTCGATCACTTGCTTCTCTCTGAGGCTGAGGGTCTTCACGCCAATGGCGAAACTTTGCCTACCCCGAGCCGCAGCGGAGAGTTGCCAGACGGCCAACCGGTTGTACTCGTTTTCCACTGCGAGTTTAGCGCCAAGCGAGCCCCTGCCTTTGCCAAACACCTGCGCTCCCGTGACCGACTCCTCAACAATGCCATATATCCTCGCATCTTTTACCCCGAAGTCTACATCCTTGAAGGTGGCTACTGCGGCTTCTATCAAACCCGTTCCGACCGCTGTGACCCCAAGGGCTACACACGCATGGATGACCCCGAACACTTTCATTCGCGCGACTCTGACTTGCACGAGTTCCGCAAGTTTAGCCGAACCCGTTCATTCACCTACGGCGAGTCGCAGCAGGCAGCGGCTCAAACGTCGAGGGCGCTGCCCCCTTGTCCACCTATGGCTTTTGCTGCCGCCTCAGCTGCTGCTGCTAGGCGGAATGGAGCCAGTGGAGTGACGATCAAGGAAGAAGACGACGGGGAGCCCGAATCCTCGCCTCACCCAGGCGACAGCAGCGCCGAAATAGACTTTGGGACGGACGCCAGTCCTTGTCCTCGCGGGCAAGTCGTGAGCTTGGGTCAACCGCCTCTCTTTGGCTCGGCCAGACCACGGACATTGGGCCGAATGGGTTTCGCGAGAGTTGCCTCGTATGCGGGTCCTACAAACCCCAACTCTACTGGCTTGGGCTTTCGGTAATAACTCTGGCCTTATAACGACACTTACAACGAAAACGAAATGATCACGTATCACACGACCACAACATGCCTCCACCCTTTTCCCCACCTAGAAGCGCCCGGTTTCGCTTTTACTGTGAATAATAATTACTACGTCTCCATCTTTCTGAGACTTTTCGTCTTTCCCTCTGGGAGAGCATTAGCATTGTATCATCACAGCTCTTCGCATCAATACGCATCAGCATTTTTGTCCCTAACGCCCTTTCCTTTTTGACCTCAGCAATCGCTTGGAGGAACCTTGTTAGTTTATCATTATATTCCCGCGCTTGTTATATACACGGCATTATTATTGTACTGTATCTATTACAGACCCCCACTTTGACTCTTACTTGTGAGCTCTTGAGAGCCTTTTATGATCTACCCCGATGGACATTGATTATCCCACAACATCTCGAGATTGTGCAAATGATTTACGTCCATCACCTTTGTCTGGAAGGCTAGACCATGTCTGAACCGTAAGCACCTGACACTGCGTCCTATCATTTCAACGTGTTCCAGCATGGCATGTCATTTTGTGGTTCACTTGGTAATGGAAGAATGATATGCATCGTATGATCGTACAACCAATCTTCCTCTCCATCGACGACCAGTCGTCTTCAAGCTCGCCGACAAGCTATTCACTTCTACACAGATGTCTTCTAAACCCCAAAATATGCGGGGCGCATCATGAATCAACCACAATGGGTTCGTGACTTTCCGTTGCTGTAGGGGGTTCATTCAGAACTTCGGACGGGGGGAGAGGGGGCGGGGCCATGGGAGACTGAGGTTGAGTGGGAGCGGTTAGCTGGGCGACAGGGGCTGAAGGGGACGTGCGTTTGACAGTGGCAGGTTGAGGAGCGGGTTTCGAAGGAGCATTCTCTGGGGGCGTCAACCCAGCAGCAACCTGCAGGAGTCAGCAATCCATCGATAATCGACAGGCCAGACAAACTCACCCAAGCCTCCCTGTACACCCTCCAGCATTTCTCCTTTCCCTTCTTGTCGTCTTTTCCCCTTTTTTCCTTCATCGCCGACTCCTTCAATTCTGCCTCAATCGCCACCTTTGTCGCCGCCTTTCCGAACTGTTCTCTCAGCGCGGGTACCAGATCCTTGGCAGTCCTCGTGTCGCCTTCAACCATTTTGTATAGATCGGCCAAGAGCTCAGTGGGGAAGGAGGACTTGGCGACGCCCCGAGGCTTTTGAGGAGCGTCTTTGGGTAGTGCAGAGGGTGGTGGTTTTTGAGGGATGAGCTCGGCTGAAAGAAGGCATTTGATATTCGAGTTGGGCCCAATGACGGCGATGCCATAGTCGGCTTTGTACTCTTGGGCGGGATCGGGAGAGATGTACGTGAAGGGGTCTATTTGTGCAGGAGTATCTACAGAGGATCAGGAGTAGTCCGAGAGCGCGTTTAATTGACCGACCGTTCAGCAGCTGAATACGATACGACTCCAACCCTTCGGTCCCCTTTTCACCAATCTTGGTCTCCCACAAAGGCCCCTTCCAAGTCGGCACAAGCTTGACGATTCGTTTCACCGGCTCCTTCTTCTTGGCCACCTTTGCCGGGGCCGGCAACTTGCTGACAGACCCCATCGGGTCATCCACATCAATCACTTCTGGAGGAGGTGGCCCAGATTCCACTTGTTCAGAGTCGTCCAGCCAGTCGTCAAACTCGCCCTCCTCCTCATCTTCGTCATCATCTTCCTCTTCTGCCTTTTCTCCGCCCCCGCCAAAGTCATCAACATCTTCTCCGCCTTCGTCTTCCTCCCACTCATCTCCCGAGTCGATCGAGTAGTCAAAGACTGGGTCCTGGGCAAACGGCGTTCTTGGTCCGACGAGCAACGACTTTTTCGTAAACGTCCCGCTATAAGGCGGTCTGGGCTGATGGTCGAACGCAAGAGTCTTCCAAGGGAAGCGGCGCCTATCCTTCAACTGCTCAAAGACGTCGCGGGGTTCTTCGGCTTCTTGAAGGGTGGCCCAAACGTCGGCGATGGAGCCGTTTATGGGGGCCGACTTGATGCCTGAGGGGAAGATGCGGCGGGGAATGCGGGATTGATGATTGTGTGTCTTGAGATGATCGTTGATAAAGTCTGAAAAAGTCAGACGATGGACCCGCGGCAAGACGCAGACTTACCTCTAGATGACCATCCTTCGACCTCCTCCGCCTTGTCCTCTCTCGATCTCTTTTGCTCAACCCATCGATTTTCTTTGGCGACTTGGATATGCTTCTTTGTCGGTAAGGGCCTGAATACCCTTTTATAGTCGCTCTCCTCCTCCCCCTTCTTTTGGGGCGAGCTTGAGCTAGCCGGTGAAGCCTTGGGCGCAGAGGTTGTTTTGGTCTTGAAGAACATGGACATCTTTTTAGCTTGTTTGGCAGTGGCTTCTTCCTTCTTCTTGGCTTCCTTGTCCTTCGCTCTGTCATATCGTCAGCAACGACATAATGAGAGGTAGTGTCGAGCTCACGCCTTCTTTTCAGCCAACACAGCCTTCTTCTCTTCTCTCTCTTGTTTCTTGGCCTTGGCAGCTTCAATCTTGACCTCTGCATCAACACCGTTTCCATCACACGATGAACGGGGACGTACCTCCTCGGGCGTCTTTCCAGGTTTGATAGGCGAAGATGCGCTTTCCATCTTGACAGGGGACGACCCCCTGATCGAAGATCCAGCTTCCTCTGGCCCCTCGCTCGCACGACTAAAGATTGCCGACGTCGGCTTCTCTTTCGGCACCGCAGCCACCTTCGCAGGCGTCTCTTTATCCTTATCGTCCTTCTTCCCCAACAGCTCGTGCTTTTCCACGTCATCCAAGCTTGTCATGATCCCGATACATTCTTCTCTCGCCTTTTCTCGCTCTTCCTGGCGCGCTTGAAGCAATTCGAGCTGTTCTGAAGGAAAGTATTTGGGGAGGTCGACAACTTGCCAACAACGTACTTGGAGGTGCGCAGGAAGACGGGGAGGGGGAGGAGGAAAGTCGGAAGGGAGGAACCCGTATTGGTGGAGGGCGAAGAGTCGGCGTATCAATGGTGTCAGGACAGAGTTGGGCAGAAGGTCTGCACACCCGTGAGCTACTTGGTCTAGGGTGATAGAGTCAGCAGGAGCTTACCTTGATCGGTCGGGATGTTGAGAGCGGTTTTGAGCTGCTTCAAGAAGATGCCTTCAGTAGCACCAGTCCTTTGGTAGTGTCAGTGTGGCACAGGTGGTGATATAATCGGCTAACAGTTCGTGCCCGGCCATGGCGATGATGGACCAGTGTTCCTCGGGAATCTCTGTGACTTGTTTCTGTTCCTCCACCTGGTCGAGCAGGTACGTCTCGAGATTGATGAGCTCTGGTAAACATGTCAGTATGCTGGTAGACAGGGAGTTGTAGAGCTCACTTCTTCTAGGAAGAACGCGGTTGTGGGGCGCTTGCTTGAAGACAATCTTCTTGTTTTTGATCTCGACTAGTGAAGAGCACGGTGCTGCATGTCTCGCGTCAGTCCCCATTCAATCGTATGACCACAACCTACCTTGTACGGCCTGCCTCTTCTCTGCCCGCTCATTCTCCTTTTCCTCTCCTTTACCATTACTCGAGAAGACGTCTGCAGCTTGTTTAGCCCCCAGTCATTGAAACTTGAGCGAAGAAGAACTTGTCGCGTCGACGTACCATCGACCTTTCTCTTCGCAGCTCCTCCGTTGGGACATGTATTCTGCACTGTGGTGTTATTGGCCATGGGTTCTGGCGACCTGGCCGTCATGGTCTCGCCGTGGGATGGGAAGGGAAGTTGCGAGAAGAAAGAGGAGGTGGACACAACGCGACTGGACGCGTCGCACATTAGAGCCCCATTATTATCTTGGTCTGTTTTTATTCATTATCTCCCAAAAAGTCGCCTGCAGCCAAGTACGAGATTACGAGGGTGCTACACATGGCTTGCTTGGATACAGCTCAGGGCCGTTGTGGTCTATACACAGATCAAAAAGAATGCAGAGAGTAGGGGGTAAGCATGGCAAATTCAGGTGCATATTCCTGCATGTTTGGTGCCGATACGCCACTTTGTGATCACTCAACGCGTCCAAAGCAAAAGAGAAAAGAAGTTGCCACCGGGTCACCGAGGACCGATCTGTTGCATCTGCTGCATCTGGATGCTATCACAGTCGACAGATCGAGACCCTTTACGTGAACTCTGTCACGATTTCGTCTTCCTCGCAAGTGTCGTTTCTTGTCTCTACCCGAGAGGTGTCTATCCGAGGTCGAGTCATACCGGAAGAACGTGCTGCATGACTGCATCCGTGCTCCGTAGCCGTAGCTCGTCAAGGCGCGTAGATACGCTGGACTGGAACGTTGATACAGTGCCTACATGCAGGGCGCCGAATGCGGGATGAGATGCTAGTGGGGATAGATTGCAGAGGCATGAGAGCTGGCTGGGGCTAAAACTTTCAAGCTTGAGAACTCACGGTCTGTCCCGAGATCCCGGGTAGGCGGGGGTGTCCGCCAGGGAGGTGGCGGTGGATGACGCAATATTTGCCCTGAGCTCGCGAGATAAACATCGACAGATCTGGCCGCAATTTTATTTTTTCCAACTCGACGCGACTCAACGTTATCGTCCGGAACCCATGCAAACGTATCTCTTTCTCTTTCTCTTTCTCTCTTCCATCACCGCTGCAGCCCCTAAGCCATACACCCCTCACCCATCCCGCCCTCCCTGCCAAGCTGCGCCCGAGACAGAGTTCACAGTGAGTCCCTCGACCGACCTCAGACCGGAGCGGGCCGCAAACGTGCGACTGTAATAAGCGGCAAACGCAGCCCACGGCCCACGTTCCTCCCCAAAATTATGCTCGGTGCTTGAAGGGCAAGACCGTACGTGCACGGCGTCGTGCCGGTGCGTGCACCCTGCCATGCACATGCCCGCGCGACGCCCAACTTTTTTTCCGTGGCCTTCGCTCCGGCCACCACGCTCGCATCTCATAAACGGCCGTCCATTCCTCTTTTCATCTCTTCCTTCTTCAGATCCATTTTACGCTCCCCGCGAGATCTCGTGCTGACCGGTGTAGACGACCGTCATAACCGAGTCATCTTTTTATCAGATTGAGAGATAGTCACCCTTTCGGCCGACCCTGACTTATCAGCTGAGCTGCCGCCTCACGCTTCAAAATCTTTCCTATTGTTCTCTATCGCATCTTTCTGCTCTTCTACTCCCACGCCGAATCCCCTGTACACAGCCCACCACTCTCGCCAAAGGCGTCCCCCCACCTCCTTGCACCGACAAAAGGAGCGCACCCACCTGGCCTTCAAAACGCCCACAGAAAGCCACAAGAAGATCTTCCCCGCCAATCCCCTCTGCTGATCCTTCACTATTTGCTCAAACTCGTCACAGAGTCTGAGCTTGGCACCTCGCAGCAGAGATATTAAAGGAGTGATCGCGGACGAGCAAAGGTTATCCCACCCCACGCCACTACCAAAGTCTGAGATCCTATATTCAGCCGCCGCCGACCTGTCCTGTCGGAGTCTGAGCTCGAAAGTCCTTTTCGAGTCCCGCCACCGCTCGGTCCTTAGAAGAGTATAAAGCGACGTTTACTCGGTAAGTCGTTCAATTTTTTTCACCCAACAAAGCATCCCAAAAAAACGCACGATACCGCTCAGGTCCTTGTCGTCATTTTCCATCGCAAGCACGCAACCGTCGCTTTCCCATCCTCAAAAACCAAGATCACAACTGACATGTCTTTTCAACAGCTCTGCCAACAGTGCGGCCTCCTCCGTACATCCCCCCGACTTGATACCATGTTTGAAGAAGTCTTTGAGCGCTGCTTTATCTGCCAGGGACCGTCTAAGGGGTGAGTCACCGAGTCACGCTGTCCTCAAATCTTTACTGACACTTGCACAGGCTCTATTGCTCCTCGGACTGTCGCCAGAAGGACCAGGGTATGATGTCTCGTGCAGCCCCAGAGTCAGGCGGCGTGCATATCACTTACCAAATACCTCCCGCGCTCAGCCCGCATATGCGCCCCCATTACCCCTCGGGCCTCTCGCTACGGAGTACCAAGCCACGCACAACGAGCAATAGCACGTCGTCGGGCTCTTCGTCGGCTGTTTCATCGCCCCTGCAATCACCACGGACAAACCCTACAGAGTTGGACTCGCCCCAGAAGGGTCTGTTCAACCTGCCGCCCCCGGCTTATCCGTCCAAGCAATCGTTTGGCGTGACGTCGTCGGTACCCATGAAGATTCCATCACTAGCCTCGCGGACGTCGCCCGTATTTTCGGCGGTCGGCACACCAGGATCAGTGGGATCGACAGTGTATGCCAACAATGCTTCGATCGACACACTACGGTTCGGGCGTCGGCCTGCTGCTGTTAACAGCGTAACATCGCCGAATGCCCTCATCCCCCGATGCGCCTGTGGCTTGCCAGCAAACCACAAGGGACGGTCAACGAGCAAGGACCGAGCCGACCTGTTTGACTCTGGCTTCTCCCGTTTATCGCTCAACCCCTCTGGTACAGCAAAGGAAGAGCCGATAAGCCGTTCGCTGCGAATCGTTTCCGACTCTGCTATTCCTCCGTTCACGCTCTCGCCAAAGGTGATGGCCCAGGCAATCACGCCGAATACGCATGTGACGCCGTTGAATATCTCTGAACACCCCTCGCCTATTGCGCCTACTACCCACCTCTCTCGATCCCGTTCCGACCCCATCCCTCCTTCCCCTGAACATGACCGTATTCCCCCAGCACCCGTCGTCTCGAATATCGCTCCTCCCCGCCGCCAGAGTGTCAACCCTACTCCTGCAAACTGCCCGGGTAGGGAGCACTGTTGCTCTGGACTGAGGCAGAGCACGCATGCGCTCGGCGTGACGGATGTTGAATCGCCCAGGAGGGGACGGAGCCGGGAGAGGACGAGCCACGAGGACAGTGAAGATTGCTGCATGGTCACTCAGACCCAGCATGGCGTCCTTAACCACCCGCCAGAACGAGAGGCTGCCCCATCTCGATCCCGAAACAGGCGGGACAGCGCGAGGCGGAGTGGCACGAGGTCGAGGTCGAGGGTGAGGGAGAGGTCGCGCCCTAGGGAATGGACGAGGGAATTCGGCATGTCGAGGGAACGGCCTGCAGATGGCCAGATCTCGCCCAAGCACCACCACCTCTCGCCCAGGCAGTCTGAACCGCAGATCCTGCCTAGTTGGTCTCGCCCGCAGGGGCTCGGCCTTGAGAATGGTGTGGCCCCGGGCATGCGCCGGACGGGGAGCGGGCAGGAGAGGCGACGTGAAGGCGAGAGGGAAGGCCGAGAGAGGGGCAGGGGGGGAAGTCAGGAGGAGGAGAGGAGGGCGCGAAACCAGTTTGGACAAGTGTTTGGCGTTGCTGCTGGATAGGCCATGCGTTTCTGGGTTTCTTTATCATTATAGCATACATAGCATTTTCAACAAACAAAAGAGAAGACACTCTCATCCAACTGTTTATACATCGATAGCTTTTCAACATTAGCATAGGACTTCAGGCGTCTACAGTATAGGCATAGCAATGCATGGGGACATTCAGCATGGATTTTTCTCAGGCATGGTGCATTTGCTGTATTGTCCTGGTATTGTCCTGGTATTGTCGCGTGAGATGGCGGGATCTATTTCTTATCAGCGTGCCTGGCGGTGGGTGACTGAGAGTTGCAGCTGCGAGTAATTGGCGAGTAAAGTTGATTCTGACTTGCACGGTGAGTTCAGGAAATCAGGAATGGACCCCCACCAGCTGGCACAGGCCGCACTCAGCCTCCCGCCCCTCCTCCACGTCGCAAAGGCAAAGCCCCAGTACGCCACCCACTCCCACAGCGGCATCAGCTCACAGCCCACAGCCCGCCCCCGCTCATCTTCCGGCACTCCCTCTTCCTCTTCCCCCTCTTTGTCGCCGCCTCCATCCTCATCCTCCTCCTCTCATGGGCCATCCCAAAGCTCTACAGGGCCACCAAGTCTAAGTTCAGCAAGCACGAATACGAGGCAATCCTCGCGCGCGATGACGAGCTGGGCGTAGAGACCGAGGCCGTCGAGGTCGTCGCTGCCCCGCCGGCCATGCCGTCTGGTGGACTCTTGGACGACTTCAAGAAACACGTCCGGTCCATGCGAGAATATGGCACGGTACTCTTTGCTCTCGAGGTCGTCCGTACGCTCTGTCTCTGTGCGCTGCTCGGCCTCAGTATCTATGCGACCATCCTCGCCGAATCGCCGGTGGAAAACAGCACAGGCCTCGGCGATGTGGATATTTTAAAAAAACACTGGAAAGGCAAAAAGGGCAAAAAGAGAAAGCACCACCACAAGTCGACGGTCGATGACTATTCGAGCTTGGAATGGGGAGAGTTTGGGGTCTCGGGGTTCTACCTCTACACCTTGGTCTTTTCATTCCTGCTTCTCACCCTTCGGCCGGCCACTCCCCTGAGGCGACACCTCATCGCCCATCTGGATGTACTTTTGCTCTTGGGTTTCGCCGTATATGCCTATAGAGACTACTGGCCCCTGTTCACATTCGACCTCGAATCCGCCGACATTCACAACGCCATCACCTGGTCCCGTGCCGTCATTCTCACCATCGCCGCAGTCGTCATCCCGCTCATCCGGCCTCGTACCTACACACCTGTTGACCCCGAGAATCCCACCCCACCAGGCGAGGTGCACCCGGAGCAGACAGCGCCGATCTTGTCGTACATCTTTTTCGAGTATATGACGGGCTTGGTTTGGAAAGCTTGGAAGTCGCCAAGCTTGCCTTATGAAGCGCTGCATCCGTTGGCGGATTATGACCGGGCTGCTTATCTATATAATGTGAGTTTTCTATCACGGGAGGAGCCCGTACTGACATCCTGCAGCAAAACATGGACAAACTCGACCCGGTCAAACGTAAAGCCAAGGGCCTCAAGCCCCGCAATCTCGTCATCCTTCTGGCCTCCATCTTCAAGAAAGAGGTCGTCTTTGTCTGCGCCATGACCAGCATCGCTGCTATTCTCGAGCTCTCTGGGTCTGTCGGCATCAACCAGCTCCTCGACTATCTCGAGAAGAACGGCAAAGGACACACTCTCCGCCCCATCGTCTGGATCATTGTCCTCTTTGCCGGCCCTACTCTCTCTTCCATGGCTCTCCAGTTTTACATCTTCACCACCACTCGTACTCTCGTCCGGACCGAGGCGCTGCTCACGCAATTGTTGTTTGACCATTCGCTGAGGTTAAGGATGAAGGATCAGGTCGATGATGATCGAGAGAAGGAGGTAGAGGAAATTGACAATGAGGAAGCAGTTGTGCCTGTGGTCACGGTCGAAGAGATTGTGGACCATGCTCCCGGGGCACCTGAAGAGTTGCTTCATCGGGCGGACAGTGAGACAGAAGGAGAGACTGCTGTCGCCCCTTCGACGGAAGCTACCGAAGTTGGGAGCTCTGCCGGTTCCGACAAGGACAAGGCTACTTCTCGCAAAGCTGCCGCCGACGCTGAAGCTCAAAAGACCAAGGGCCAAGGTCTGGCGGGCAAGATCAACGTCCTCATGGCTGCCGACATTGATGCTCTCATCGAAGGCCGTGATCTTGCCCTCGTCTTTGTCTACACTCCAATCCAGTTCGTTCTGTGTATCGCCCTGCTATACAGGATTCTCAGCTGGAGTTCCCTCATCGGGATGCTTACCATGTTTATCACCCTCCCTCTTCCCGGCTTGCTCACCAAGCTCAACGCGCAGTTCCAGCGGAAACGGATGCTGGCAACAGACTCGAGGATCGATACCATCACTGAAGCGATCGGTGCGCTGAGGATTATCAAGATGTTTGGCTGGGAAGATAGGATCAAGGAGAGGGTGGCGGCAAAGAGGGAGGATGAGTTGACGCTTATTTGGCAGAGGAGGTTGATGACACTGTGAGTGGGATCGTGTCGTCTGTTGTATCGTGCTGAGAGAGAGTAGCTTTACGACTCTCTTGAACACTGTACTGCCCGTCTTGACGATGACGGTGACCTTTGCCGTCTACACTACTATCCAGAAACAGCAACTCACGGCGGCCAAAGGTAAATTTGGGATGTGTGGCTCGGATGTATGTTGACGTGCTGCAGTCTTTACCAGTATGACGGTATTTGAACTCGTAAAGGGACAAATGGGCATGGTGAGCATACTCTGGTCGAGACTGGCTCTTGACGCTGACCGTGCAATCAGACTTTCTACTTGTTGAACTCTATCGTCACTGCTTGGGTGTCTGTCGGTCGACTTGACAAGTTCCTGCACGAGGCATGTCCTTTCCAGTTCCAGACTGACTGAACTAACAGCCTTTCAGAGCGAAATGATCGACGAGTACGCTGAGGAGGCTTCTACTGACGACAAGCCCGAAGGCTTGCTCAAAGCTGAAGAAGACGGTGTCGTTCGATTCCACGAGGCCACCTTCACCTGGGACCCCAATCCGTCAAACAAAAATGATCAGGGTTTCAAGTTAGTCATTGAAGATGCCGCATTCGTCAAGGGCAAGATCAACTTGATTGCTGGACCTACCGGTAGCGGCAAGAGTTCTCTGCTCAAAGCACTGGTTGGTGAACTCCATTTCCACCGAAAAGCCGGTTCATTCTTCCATCTGCCCCGCTCGGGTGGTGTCTCATATGCCGCCCAAGAAAGCTGGTGCTCCTCCGACTCTATCCGCGACAACATCCTTTTCGGCGAGCCCTTCGAAGAGGCCCGATACTGGAAGGTCATCAGCGCCTGTGGGCTTGAACCTGATCTAAAGCTCTTTGATGACGGTGACCACACCGAAGTCGGAGAGAAGGGCATCACGCTGAGTGGCGGACAAAAGGCGAGGATCACTTTGGCGAGGGCCATCTATAGCAGGACTGCTGTTGTGCTTCTGGACGACATATTCTCTGCTTTGGACACCCTGACTTCTAGGTGGATCATCGACAACTTGTTCACTGGCGACCTTGTCAAGGACCGAACCGTCTTGCTTATTGTAAGTCGATGAATATGCCTCGAGCGTCCTGCTCACGTGGCCCGTAGACTCATCATCTCCATCTCATCGCTCCTGTTGCCGACTATATCATCACTCTCAATGAGGACGGTACTGCTCGATCGCAAGGTTCTGTCAATGACGGAGCTCTTGACCAGGGCGAACTCGAGGAAGTTGAGGCGGCCGAGGTCCAAGAGATCAAGGATGCCGAAGCAGAGGAAAAGAAGGAAGAGAAGAAGCCCGCTGCCAAGCTCATCAAGGATGAAGAAAAGAGCGAGGGACGTATCTCCAAGAGAGCTCTCTTTGCGTTCTTCAGAACTTTCGGCGGCCCCGTCTTCTGGTTCCTCTACTTTGGACTCCTTGTCGGTGGTCAAGCCATGTCCTCTTTCGAGACCTACTGGCTCGGTCGCTGGGCTCGCGCTTACGACGAGTCTGAGAGCCCCAAGGACGTCTCTGTGGCATTCTACCTCGGCCTGTACTTTGTCTTTGTCCTCATCGGTCTTGTTGAGCTAGCTGCTTCGGCTATCTTGTTCTACATCGGTGCCGTCAAGGCGTCTAGAGAAGTGCACAGGAGACTGGTGAATTCCATCTTTGGAGCTTACATGCGATTCCTGGACTCTACTCCTGTTGGTCGAATCATCAGCAGGTTTACCAAAGATATGAAATCCGTGGATGGATCTTTCACCGAGGTCAGTGCTGCGTGCTAACACAAAAGGACATGGCTGACCTGTGCGCAGACCTTTGCGAATGTTGCCGATGTCACGGTCGGTCTTGCGCTCAAGATCATCGTGGTCGTGTCCTTGGTACCGTTATTCTCTCTTCCCGCTGTCGTCAGTACCCCCACCTTTAGGTCATGGACACTGTTGACCGATATGTCAGTTCATTGGTCTTCTTGGAGGTACCATCGGCGAGATGTACATTCACGGTCAGCTCAGTGTCAAGCGAGAAATGTCCAACGCCAAGAGTCCTCTCTTCTCTCACTTTTCTGCCGCTTTCAATGGTATCGTGTCGATCAGGGCTTATGGTGCTCAAAACAAGATGCGCAATGAAGCTCAGAGGAGGGCGGACAAGTATACACGTGCGGCCGCCAATGTAAGCCATTTTAACAATTACATGAACACTTACTGACCTGTCTCTTGCAGTTGTAAGCCGACCAATAATGTCAAAGTCATCTCTAAATCAACTGACGTTTATCTCAGCTTCAACTTCAACCGATGGGTCACGGTCCGACTTGACATGTTGGGTGGTCTCTTTGCTGCCTGTCTCGCTGCGTTCTTGGTGTACGGTCCCCGACTCGATGCCTCCACCGCCGGCTTCGCTCTCTCACAGGCCATCTCATTCTCTTCCATGATCCTTGTAAGATCCAACATGTAGACGCTTACTCAGGAGGCTGACATATTGCATAGTGGTGGGTCAGAATGATCAACGAGATGGAGGTGCAAGGCAACTCAGTAGAGGTCAGTCCCTAATACTACAATTATGACTGAAGCTCACAAGTGACTCTAGCGTATTCAAGACTATCTTGACATCCCTCAAGAACCCGCCTTTGATGACCGCAAGCAACCCTCTGCTGCTTGGCCCACATCTGGAGAAATTGTGCTTGACGGACTCTCTGCCAAATATTCCAACGATGGCCCTATTGTCCTGGACGAACTCAAAGTCTCCATCAAGAGCGGTGAAAAGGTCGGCATTGTTGGGAGGACTGGGAGTGGAAAGTCCACCTTGGCTTTGGCTCTCTTGCGAATGCTGCCTACCACAGGCAAGGTGCTGATCGATGGGGTCGATACTGCCAAGATCAACTTACACGCCCTGAGGTCGAATGTGACTATCATTCCGCAAGACCCGGTGAGTTCATTCTGCTTCTGCCAGTATCAAGCTGACTGTGCCACAGATCCTTCTTTCCGGTAGCTTGCGATTCAACCTCGACCCCTTTGGCGAGCACGACGATGCCGAGCTCAACGACGCGCTCCAATCCTCTGGCCTCGGTGCCACTCGTCAAAGCGGAATCTCGGGTAGTGTCACCCCTCAACGTCTGTCGCTCGACACCCACATCTCGGCCGGTGGTGGTAACCTGAGTCAGGGCCAGAGGCAGCTGGTGGCTCTTGCCAGGGCTCTAGTGAGGAACAGCAAGGTTCTCATTCTTGATGAGGTGAGTTTTGACCGTGGCCGGCAGAAGACAGAGCCTGATCAATCACCAGGCAACTGCATCTGTCGATTTCGACACCGATACTCTGATCCAACAATCTATCAGGGATCTTCCATCTTCCTGCACTGTTCTTACCGTCGCCCACCGTCTGTCCACTGTCATGGACTATGACAAGATTCTCGTGCTCGGTGCTGGAAAGGTGCTTGAATACGATACCCCCAAGAACCTGCAACAGAACAAGGAAAGCTATTTCGCCAAGTTGGTCCAGGCGATGGAGGGTAAAGATGTCGATAGCACGTAAAATATATATATTTAGACCCATGTAGCCCAAGGCAGTATAGCGCGTCCATGGACATTGACTTCCTGCTAATGCAAGTTTAAAACTTCTGTGGTTTACAAGCTGTCTGACAAGGTTCCCGACACTTGCGACAGATCCTTGCTTCCCGAAATATCAGCCCTGTTACCTCTTCATTGTCTGTGATATAGGTCCTATGACTGATCAAAGTAACTAAGAAGGAACTCAATGGCTAGGTAGTACATATCCACATATATACATCTTACTTTGCCTCTCTTTACAATGCTATAAACTTTTTTGTTGTAAATCCGAGTACATTTTGTGTGCGTTGAGGCACCGAAAACTGGCCCTATGCCAAATCTACAACCCTTCATTCATTAATTCCGTTTGCTTTGGCAGTCCTCTCGGCAGTCTCCGCTGCCGCCAGAGCTGACTCGAACCATCCCTTCAACACCGCCTTGTCCTCTTGACCCACACTGATCCTGACCAATCCCTTCTCCACACCATATTGCGCCGCCCAATCCAGCTCGAGGTAGTGAGCCAAGATGGTGTAAGGCGATGCCAAAGTGAAGCTCGTGCCCAGTGACGGTCCCTTGGCGCATTCCAAAGTGTCAAAGAACGCCTGGGAAGCAGCAAGAGAGGTGAAAGTCAGAGAGAACAATCCACCGTAACCGCCCTTGCCCAGTGTTTGCTTTCTTTGCGCTGCGGCATAGGTATCAGATGTGATATATCTGGGGTAGTACACCTTTTTGATGATTTTGCCTTCGGCAGGAGATGTGGTATCGTCGAGGGAACGTCTGTAGAGCAGGTCACAGACGTCGTACGCGTTGTTATTGACCTTTTCAATACGAGCGCGATAGTCTCGTGAATTACGTTCCATGTAGACGGCGTCTTCGGGGAAGTAGTGGTCCTCGTAGGTAGAGTCCTGGGCAGCCTTGAGATCGGCGTACAGGGGCCCGTTGGGGTTCAAGATCAGACTGTAGAATGTGAGCTGATACAGCAATCAGATATGCACAGTTACTCACCTTCCACCCATGACGTTTGAATCTCCACTAAAAATCTTTGTCAAACTGCTGACCACGATATCCGCAAAAGTGACCACCTCGACATTTACAAAGTTGCCGATTGTCTCGTCGACGACAATCACAAATCCATATTTGTCGGCGAGCTTTCGAATCCGGACGAGATCAGGACTCTTGAGGAGTGGGTTGGAGGGGAACTCGCAAAAGAGGGCGAGGATTTGGCCTTCATCGGGGTTCTTTTCACTCGCGATAAGGAGCTCTTCAAGGGCTTCGACCTCTTCAGCCCCGCCAATACCAAGGAAATGACATCCCGGGCCCCACTTGTCGAGGATCTTGAGAGTGTCGGTGTAGGGGAAGCTATACAATTGTCAGAGGTGGTCCAACTGAAATTGACGAAACGTACCCATAACAGACACTCTTACCCTCCACCTCTCCCCTCGCTCTCCGTGCCACCCGGGAGATATCATGCGCATGCCAAATAGCACTCATACCACAAGGGTACAAGTACACATCCTCTTCAGTGACCCCCCTCTCCCCAGACCCAGCACCCCGCGCCACATCATCAATTTCGCCATAACCTTCATCACTCGGCAGCAATCCACCCGCAATACGCCTCTTCAAAGCCTGTTTGGCGAGAGGGGCATTGAACAGTGGGAGATTTCGGCCGTATCGCTCTTCGAGATAGGTGGTCAAGTCGGGTGTCAGATTCTCCTCAGAAACGGGGACGGGGTTGGCCGAGGGCTTGTCCAGGATGATGGAAGAAGAGGGAGTGTTGTTGGCAGAGTCGTTGGGGGTAGTGGGGGTAGGAGGAACAGAGGTAGTCCGGCGAGAGTAGTGCCTATTGCGGGTGCTCGGGGCTTTGCTGGCCGGTCTTTCCAGGGCGGGAGGCGACGCGGTTCTGGGTTCAACACCAGCCGGAGTCTCGCCGAGGAACGCAAGAGCCTTTTCAGCACACCGAGAAGTGATACCGTCACCAGTGTGCTGCCAGAATGCCTTGGCGAAAGGCCAGTGCTCCTTGCTGAACAAGAGAATCTGGAGCTCGATGCAATCGACACCTAGAGACTTGGCCGCAGAAGGGTCGATAAGGGAGTTGGCGGAGGGGCAAATGACAAACTCGACTGCTCGAGACTGGACCGAGGGAGTCCGTTTGGCGAGAAAGTCCCGTCCTTCGCCAGCGACTTTGGGGGTAGGGAGGAGGATGCAGAGCTCATTCGGCTGACCGAATTTTGCAAGACATAATGCCGCAAGCTATGAACAATGTTAGCAAGGCAAATGAGCCAAGCAGTCTCGAGACTGACCTTTTGAATACTCCTGTGGATGAAGAAGCGAGGGTAACCGGTCTCCATCTTGTCGACTACTCGTTTATCTCCCTCCTCGTAGCCGACGTTGTCTTCCCAGGTGGGCAGGGAGACGGAGATGGCATGGGCTGTGAGGGCTGGGACCGAGGAGCCGAGGGGGATGGGGCCCCCGGAGGGCTGCACGGTATGGGGCATTGTCCTTTTTTTGTTTTTGGACGATGAAAGAGATGATGCGATTCGCGCGCGCTCGCTTCGACTCACGATTACGATAAACTCGGTCTCCGAACGGTATCAAATATCAATTTGGTTCCACGCCATGACATTTATCTCTACAGAATTCGTGGTATACAGGTTAAAGGTCCCAGTCAGACGTATCCTCTCCCTCCAATATGAACGGCTTGTCCAAAGCCAGCACTGCTCCTTCACAAAGCGGGCAGCTTCCCGCCACAAGGTCATCCAGCTCCTTCCTCAGCTCTTCCACCCTCGCTTCATCTATAGTATCCCTCTTTTTGACCTTCTTTCCTGCTCCTCCCTTCTCCCCGCCTCCGCCAACACCGACCCCAACGCCAACGGCAGACACGGCAGAAGCGAGCGCATCAGGGATGATGAGCTCGCGCAACTTGTCGCCCGCTGCCATGAGCTTGTTGCGGCCTGCCAGAGTAGAGCCAAGCAAGTCTGAAGTGACGTTGGCAGCGGCAGAGTCTTTTCTCTGAGGGGTGTTGGCGCCTCCGGTAGCGGCGGGGGAAAAGTTGGAGGAGAGGAGTTGTCGACCAGACGTTGGTTCTGTGCGCGATACCAGCTCATCTTGAAGATGCAGAAGACGTCTCAGCGACGGCGAAGGAAGGTTTTCCATTGCCTACAGGATATGTCAGCATGTCTCTCTTGCCACAAAAAAGCCTCACCATTGATATCAGACAGTCGCCATGGAAAGTATGCTGACAAGGAAACACATAGAACTGCCTGCTGACCAGCTCCAACCCACACTTCCAACACTTGTCCCCTTGTTCCACTGTAACAAACCTTTTCGCCAGAGCATCGATATCCCGTTTGATCGATTCTGAGGAAGCAGTGGCATCGTCCATCTCGGATTTGAGGGAATCAATGTGGGCGGAATAGTCTTCGAGGGCCGAGCAGATTTCGGTTTTGAAATCGTCAATGACGACAAAGTCGGGGAAGAAGGGAAGGATGTCTTCAATCTTGAGCAGGTCTGTAGACTCGAGGAAGCGCATGGCACTAGATATTGTCAGCTGTACAACTTGGTAGGGAGAAGAGATAACACACCTCTTGATATCCTTCTGCTCCTGCACGACATACCTCGCAACCCTCAACCACAGCTTCTTCCTCAACGCCTCATCCTCCTCCGGCTTATCCGCATTCTCTTTTGCCAGCTCCAGATCACCCTTCTCCAGTGCGAGATCAACACTACTTTCGTACAGACCGAGCTTGGAGTAGATGAGGACGCAGGCGTGGATCCGATTGTGGAGTTTACAAGTTCGCAAAGCGTAGTCGAGGTCGTAGTAAGGCTTTTCTGTTTCGGGGTCGTCTAGGCACGAAGACAGGAATCGGAGAAGAGGGGAGTCGTCGGCGTCAGTGTCCGACGCATAGAGCGTAAGAAGTAGATTATAGATGGTCGTATCTGTGCACCCTTGATGGTGGATCACATGTGACAGATATCGCACAGCATGGTTGGCAGAAATCGGTTCAGATCTTTGGTGCTGCTGCAGTAGAGCAGGTATGAGGCGGCGGGGCGATAGGCTTGGCTGGCGGGTCCATGAATCTACCGTCTCTCGAGGCGCGTGTCGCATGAGGATGGAGGCGAAACGGTAATAGAGGTCGATTGACGTCTTGAGATGATTAGCTTGACCTGAAAGAGAGAAAGGCAACTCACTTGTCGGTTCAGGACATCTATAGCTTTCAACCACTTTTCCTCCGTCACATAATATTCTACAATCTTCCCATGATCCTTCTCAAGATCCGCGTAGAACAGATATAGGTCCGTCCTTCCATGACTCTCGATCAGCTCGTATACCACCTTGGACTCGAAATCATTCTGTACCAAATCAGTCAAGCGCTCAGGAGGCACTTCGTGAGGCTCACCTGATAGGATGTCACGAATTGCCTCAACTCTTCTTCTATTATCTTCTTCTCTGCTTTGAGGTTCTGTACATCTTCACTGGCCGACTCTGCGGCCAAGCGGTCCTCCAGTGTGTTCCACTTGGCCAAGTAGATTTCTACCAGCCAAGTGGCCAGCATCATCCTCTGGGTCCGTGACTGCATCTCTGATCAGCATTTTTGCCCCAGAAGAAGCTCAAGAGAACGCACCTTCTTGTCCAATCTGTCCAACCTTTCCGACAAAAACACTCTCAACCCATCCCGCTCCTCCGCATCTATAAACTTGAGCGCCACATACTCAAAGCTTCTATTACTCGCAGCAAACGACTGGGCGGACTGGATGTATCGTTCTTGGGAAAAGAGGGCGTCGCCTTGTCTGGAAAGGATGATATCTTTTTGAGGAGTCGTCTGTTTGCAGGGTCAGCATCAGGGAGAGGAGAGGAGTAAGCGAGTAAGCGGGCGTACATGAGCAAAGGTGAGGGCCTTGTCGAATTCTCCCTTGTCCAACTTGGCGCGCCACACATCTCTGTCTTCATTCCGGACCAGTATCTCCAAGATGGATTTGTTTGTGGAGATCCAGAATGTCTGAGAGACCGGGTCTGCCGAGAGACCAATGGCTTTCTCACCCACAGACTAACACTGCTGTTAGCGTAGCTCGAGTTACAATAGGTAAATAAGTACACACCAGAGGCAGTCTCTCCTCCCAAACCAATTTCTCATTCTCCCTCGATATAGCGACCACCTGATCCGGGTAGAGCAAAAGCCAGTGCCACCTTGTGATGCCGACATCTATAGGCACAGCCGGTACCGCCGCACTAGGCGTGATGTGACGGCTGAATCCCGCTGGTTCCTCTTCCGGTGCAGGATAGGGCAATAACGAAGGCCTATTCAAGATCTCATTCGCGGGTCCCTCCGACAGGCTCGAAGTATACAGACCTGGGCTCGTAAGCCATGCCACATCCGTTGCTGGGGGAAGGTTGTTTGCCGACTGTTGCTCCCCAGATGGAATGTATGCCCTCAAGACAGGATTTGGAACGTCTCCGGGCAGTTCTTGGAACCTCGGGGTAGTCTCCCGGATGGGTTTGAATACCTCCTCTGCCCAGCCGCCTGATTTGCCGCCAGCGAGGGTGGTTGTGACGTTGCCTTGAACCTCGTAGAGCCGTTCTTTGGTGGTGATGACCACCCAAGCACGCTTGGCCCCTGTTCTAGACGTTTTCTGCGCCTGCGCGCCAGACGGCCAGAACCCAAAGCCTAGTCCCGTCACAGCTCTCTCATCTGGCAGCGTATACACAGTCTGCAAATCTTTCTCTGTGGGCTGTCCTCGGCCTATGGAGACGTTCTTGAAGATGTCATCCTGCGGCGGTAGAGGAAGCGACAAGATCTGCCCAGTGGTAGTACCCAACAAGACATCCGTAGCTGGTGGAGTAACAGCATCGCCCTTGGCCTGAGGATGCCCTTCGTGGGAAGATACAGGAATTGGTGACCACCCGACAGCGGTAATGGTATGCCGTATGCGTAACGGTCTCGGGCGCCTAGATTGGACGGCTGCGTTGCCCGGGCTTATTGGAAGGTAGAAGGCGTCTCCCGTGTTTGTAGTCACTATCAAGTGCCTTGCCGTGGGCTCTGCAAAGAGATTGTCGATGACTGGAGACTCTTTCTGCTGAGATCCCTTTTCTGGCGCAGCTCTGGGCAGGTCGATAGTGACTAGTTCGTCAGGCTTTTCGAGGTCGATGATAATTACCGACAACGGAGCTGAGGCGAGAAAGAGTATGTTGTTGACTGAGGTAAGGTGTAATATCGAAGAGGGAGGAGAGTATTGGACGAGGGAAAGGGAGAAAAGGGGTGGTAGGGACTGAGACCGCGCGGAGGGGATGAAGCCTGTCTCGAGCTACGATACATCAGCTCTGTAAGTTTCACCTGCACGCTGGCTTACAGCTTGAACCATATGAGCACCCTGCTCTCCTCCATCATCTCCGTCCTCCTCAAAACCTTCATAGCCTACAGCGTCGATGCCTGTGCCGGCGATAGCCGATGGCTGATTGCGATATGCGGCCGAAGAGGGGCCGACGGAGGGCCCCGAGGTATGCTCCACAACTATAGATTGTCAGATAATATCACAGTCAGTTACAAGGAGCTTACAGTCATCGAGCATGGACATGGCGGGCTGGATGGCGCATAGACACGACGGTCGACCACCGACTAAAGCGCGAGGTCATGGTCGGACCCATGACGTGGAACATTGACACGAGCGGGGTTCTCCGCCGAGGGAAGGGCCACACGCGCGCCTCTTGTGGGCAGGCGTTGTCGGAGGCCCCGGAGGTTGGCCAGCAAAAGGTTTCAGGAACGGCACGGCAGAAAAAAGCTTAACAGGCAGAATTTCTGGATTCTTGTTGTGGCATCCGGATTTATCGCAGCACTCGCTGCCCATGGGGTGCAGGGTGCAGGGGGTGCAGAGGGGATGCCATGCGGTCACCGGTGGGCAAAGAGAGACACTGTAGTCCAACGATTGCATCCACAAACACGACGATGCACCCTGGATGATCTATGGGCATATTATTCCGCGGTGATCGCCCCGAGTTGTCACCGCTGCACGCCTGTTTATACCCCGAGAATAATGGAACGTTCTAAACGGGCTCCCTGCTCCATTGCAGCCAGTTCTGGCTCGTCAGCAGCCCAAAGAAGGGAGCGAAGCGAAGAGCGAGCCGGTAAGGCCGGTAGAAGCCAGCATTCAGCTGGGCGGGGGAGGGGACTGACTCGCAAAAGAAGGACGGTGAACGGAGATAGTCCCCTTTACACATCTCAGTTTCTTCGTCGTCCATCGCAGTTCGTCTCGTCTCGACCATCCTTATCGTCCTTGTTCCCCCAAACGGCATCTCTCATTACTTTATACATAACAGACGGGATTGAGTTCCTGGCGGTTGTTCCTAGACATCCTCGACAAATTCTCTCGCACAAACAGTCAGTCTCAGCCGCAATACCCTCCTACCCATCCACTCACATCCCTCTTACTCGCACCAGATCATCACTGTTCTCCTCCATACTCCTCAACTAGCCTCACCCAACCAACCGCATCGTCGACACAACAAACAGCCGTTTCCTCTGCGACAGCCACCCATGTCTTCCTCCCACCACTCGCGACTTCCGCCCTCCTATTGCATCTAATCTCCTTACTCTTGTCACCTCAGCGGCATCCCATCCCGCTCCGTGATGTTCTCCCCGCGCGCTGCCCCTCCTCTGGATCAACTCAAACTCTCCCACATCCTCAGTGGCGATACCTGCCCCCCAATTTCTTTTGCAGACTTTGCCGCCTTTGTCATCAATAAGGACTTTTCCACCGAGAGTCTGTTGTTTGTACTGTGGCTTCAGGACCATCGGAATAGGTGGGAAAGACTGAAGGATGAGCAGAAAGTATGCGTGCCTCTGCCGAGTCTCAGTCTGGCGCATCGCGCGCATCCTTTTGACTATCTCGCGTTGAGGGCTGAACCGGCTTCTGCGGCGAAGGAAGGCAGTGCCCATTTGGAAGATGCTGGACGGCGACCGCCAGCTGGGTATTACGCGCCGTCTATCGTCTCCACAGTAGAATCGCATGAGAGCATTGAGAGTATCAATCTCTGCGAACCTGCCTCTTCTTCAAAGTTATCGGCGATGCTGCCCCGTTTCGCCCGCCGAAGTTCTCTCCAGCCCACCTCTCCGCCTCATACGCAAGTCAGCGAGTTGCCACATCCGGTTTTGCCTCCTGCCGGAACCGTCTTCTTGCCTGTTGAAGAACAGGCCTTGTTCCTACATGCCCAACGAGGGTTTGAAACGTTCCTCAAAAAAGGCGCACCGCACGAGTTGTTCGTCAGTGATGAGCTGCGAGAGTTTGTCAAGGCGTGTCTGCAGCATAGTACTGCACCAGATCTGGTAAGTCTATCACTGGGAAATGGCATAAGCTGACGCCGGACAGTTTCAACCGATTTACGATGAAATGTACTTTACGCTGGAGCAACAATGCCTGCCGCGCTTCCTGCTAGCGGCTAAAAGCAACATCAATCGTCCTAAGCAGCTCTTCTGGTGAGCCTTTCCCCCCTCTCTCAGACTTTCACTGATCTTCTCTAGGTACTTTGTTGGTGCCGTCGACTTTACCATCGGCCTTATCACCTTTCTCCTTCTGACCCTCCTCCTCCCCGCGCACCCCTTCTCACTCCGAGCCTACCGCCTATTCTCCACCATCTTCATCGCTTTCGGTGCCGTGCAAGCATACTCGGCTTATTGCGGATTCTGTTCGCAGGTCTGGAAGAGATCGCATAGGCAGGTATGGCCTTGGGAGGGAGGCGAATCAAGGCTGGGGGACGAGGAGGCAGGTCCGAGGGGCAAGGATATGGCTATGGCACAAATTGACGTGGTCAACACGGTGGAAGAAGACTCGTTCATCCTGAGCGGTACACATCCGCTCTCCAATGCCGGGGCTCTGGAAGGGTTCGAAACGCCTTCTCGATCCTTTCAGGACGCTGCCGGGTCGTCAAAAATCTCACTCAACCTCCCCGCCGTGCCTACCCTCACAATCAACAATACAACGAGCTCGCTCTCCATCAGTCCGTCTGATGTGTACAAGACCAAGCAGCCGAGTGATCATAACGGGAAGATGGGACAAGACGAGGCTAGGCAAATCTCGCCTTTTGCTTTCGATGAACCCGATATCTGGGGAGTCGGGCCTTCTCGTCAGGGGTCGCCGAAGAACACATTCTCTTTACCCCTCCACGGCCCTCCTGTCTCTGGGTCTGGCCAGCCTGGTCCAGCAGCCCAACGCGCATCGCGCAACATCCATCAAATCCTCTCTTGCCTCTCTCAACGTCGCCCATCCCTGGAAGATCTTCGACTTCCGGGACAAGCGAGCTGCCAGAAACAGTGTCGTCGAGAGAGCTACCAAGTGTCGATCTTTTGTCCGGAGAAACTGGTGGAAGACCCAAGGATCAAGTCGGTGTATAGTAATATCAGGCGGGATATTGTCATTGTGGGGGGCATTGTTTCGGTAATTTGGGTGGCCTTGTGTTTATCTGTGCCCTGCGCCGGGCTATTATGATGTTTGTAATTTAGCTAGTGCGTTTGCCGAGTATATTCATTCGGCTGTGTGTACCATATATAGTTCGTTCACGCTTCACGGTCTTCTTTCTTGAGTACTTTCGCATTTTCCATAGTATGATCATCACACGCAATCGTTGTTTGTGCCATAGACATATATTTTCGTATAAAATTTACTTCAGCATGAAAGTATAGTCACTCATCATTCAACCCCACAAAACTCGCGTCACGTCTTATGGGTACGATAGCTCCCAAAGGCTCACAACTTTGCTTCTCTCTCAACCTTTTGTTCTCTCTATTCCGATCGCTCTGTGTGAGTGCAATCTTCCTGGTCATGTCTTTTCCCTTGAGTCCCTTCTTGTGTGTCTGGGGCATCCCCTGCCGCTTCTTTGGTCCATACCAAGCAGCCACAACCTCACTATTCCACCACTCTCTCTCGAGTCCTTCCACTTTTGCACCACACGCCGGCATGCCCTCCTGCTGTGCCTCTTGCAGCATGGTTAGAACCCGATGCTGAAAGTATCGGATGGAGGCAATGTATGCCGGGGCGACGAGGGAGGAGTTGACGTGGGAAGCGAGCAGGGAGGAGATGGACGTTAGGAGGGCAGAGAGTCGCTGAGTTGATGACGATTTTGCGGGAAGAGACTCGAAAGTTTGGGGCAGCTGAGCAGGCGTGTCAAATGCCTTATCCAGAAGCAGATCCAGTAGAGCACTCTCACCATGATTAGCAGCAGCCGAGTATGTCGATACGCCCAGCGTCAGTTGAGGTAGCGATGCGTCCCAAAGTGATGATCCTTGCGGCCTTGGTATCGGAACGTATCTAGTCGAAGCCCATCTCACTCTCTCCCCCCCACCCCAAAACGATAAGTATTCAGTTATAACAATCCTCTTTGGAAGACCAGTGGAGTCGACGCTGCCGAAAACTCGAAACGAAGCTTCTATAAAAGGAAGGGTTGGAAGACTTTATGTAAGGGACTGGTACTCACCTATCCTACCCTTTATTACACTTTAGCGGGGCCAGAATGAGTTTGATCGCGCCATGGGTAGACTATATAGAATGAAGCCTAGATGGTCAAAGGGTGCGGCAATATTTGCAGATGACTTTCTCCCAATAACAGGAAGGTATAGGCTGATCTCTTGCGATGCGTTTTGAGAGTGAACGGAGAGCTGATATCTCATAGTCATTCCAGGATGCCAAGAGAAAAGGCGCCCCCTCCTCTGACCACATGGGCAGCTCTAGGGCTCGATAGTAGTCTACGCTCGAGCTGAGTGGCAGCTGACTCCTTTCATACTCTTTCCGTGTACTCTCAAATTCGTACTGTCGTTTCTGTATGCCTCTGTGAAAAGAGCTCGGGATGTTACATAAGGCACAGCAGATACTACCCACATCTTCGCGGGACATGGCCGAAGCACGTCTTCGTTCGTTCGTTGGCGATCTTTCGCTGTTCTTTCCCCGGTATTTGGGATTATCAAATCCATGTACATGCCCTGACCTTACTGTCATCCCTCGGATGATAATCGGCGACCCGAAGCCCATTGACATATAACAACGGCAACTGAGATTCGAGTTGTCGTGCGCCCCAACCAAGCAAACCAAAATGCCCAAGCCCGAGCTGGAGTTCAAGCACCTCACCGACTTTGCGTGGGACAGGAAAGAGGGGTTTGCCCAGCAGATTCTTGCTTACGAGTTAGTCAACTTCCTATAGACGCTTCGCGGTACTGATCAGACATTCTACTAGCGAAGAGACTGGGGACACTACCAAGGTCGTCTCTCGAGACCCCGGACATGAGCAGCACGGCCCCCCTCAGATCCATACCGACTTCTGGTGAGTACGAGAGTGATGAGCTCCTTCCGCCGCTAAAATTCATTAGGGAGGAGGTCTACATATTGTCGGGCTCCATCTACGACAAGGGTCTAAAACAGTACGCACATTCTGAAAGCACAGCACATCAAGCTGACTATGGTCTCAGGTGGTTCCGCGCCGGCTCCTACTGTTGCCGACCTCCTGGTATGGTGAGTAAAGGCTCCATTCTGTTCCGGACCTTCGCTGACTCGACTTGAAAGATTCATGGTCCTTACATTTCTTGCCCCGACGAGTAAGCTTGAACTCGACGTACTGTATGTCCGTCTACTGACACGGCAATAGGGGCGTCAAAATGTTCGTCAATGTCCGCTACGTCAGAAAGTCTGATGTCCCCGACAACTCATAAGCAGACCTTCATACATTTTGCATGCAAATACTGTCACATCAAACGGTCCATATCTATTGGCACTCGCACACAAAGTTACGCCTCTTTCGTTGCCGGTATCGGCTTTCCGGCCAACGGCGTGATCCTTATCATATGTCGTCGCTTTCCCGGGGGCGTGTCCAGCAGTGCCGTATGCTGTGCTCGCCTCTGGTCCCAGACTACGACAGTCCCCTCTACTACAAGTCAGACAAGTTACTATATAATTGAACGTAACACTCACCTTCCCACTTGACACGTGCTTGGATATCAGCCGCGCGAGCGACATAGTTGAACAAGAACTTGAGAAGGTTTTCAGACTCTTCTTTCTTCATGCCGTTGACGGAGGTGGTGAAGACTTCATTGACGAAGAGTATCTTGTCGCCAGTGACCTGCCAGTCATAGTCAGCCGACCGCTAAAGCACATTTCTACGACGATGCGCTCACCGGATGCTTGGTGATCAAAGGGTGTAGAGTATTGACAGCTTCTCGACGGAGAGCGGTGCCGCTTTCAAAGAATTCGCCTCAAGCCTGCCTTCTCGTCTTCGCTGGCGACATACTCTTCCTTGGCCTTCTTAGTAAGCGCGTTGCTAGAATGGACTCCTTCAAGCCCGATGAGGACGTTCTGCATGACTGGCGAGAGCCTGGCAAACACTTGCACCGAATCGGACATGATACTGTCGCCTCCGGACCAGCCCTGCATGCGCAGTATGAGCACGGCTCATCGTAAGGATAGATTCCACTCACTTGGTTCTCCAAGACGCCAAAGAAGGTGACACCTGGAGGCTGCCTCTCGTGAGTCTGATCCGCATGTCAGTTCACGCCGGAAACTCGGTCCCCCCAGTAATTGCTAAGAAGCGTCAGCTACAATACCATCATGGCCCAGAAAGATCTCACATTCGGCGAACATCAGCAGCAGACTGGTAGATCACGGCTATCTCTGTTTCTGTTGCCGGGCGAGGCTGGACGGGGTGTTTCTGCAGTGGACCAAAGTGCCTATGACGGGTCAATGTCTGCTTTTGAGGCGATGCACGGTGAACACCAAACTCGCCTAGCGATATCGAGCTGCTTCTTGAATCCAGCGTCCTTCCAATTTTGCCCACGGAAGACTGCAAATCCTCGTTGAGCAACTGAAAGCAGGTAGTATAGCATACTGACGAAGAATGCGCCATCTCAGATCGACCAACAAGCGCATAGTAACGCGTGAGTATTGATGGTCATCAGCTTTGGTGAATGCTGATACAGTTGGTGAAGCTATGTCTCTGGTATGAAAGAAGATCTTGCCTTCAAAGGTAATGAGTACAACTGGGTCGGAACCTGTTTCTCGATTGGGTCAGTTACACTTTCATATCACAAGACGGCTCTTCAACGCTGATCATCTACATCATCCCCAGCTATACTATCGGCAAAGAGCAAACCTATGGATTACGTCTTCTCCGTGTACCAGATCAACCTCATCCCTACAGGTGGTCAAGCCCTGCAGATCGTAGCCACTATCGGTGCGGCCGCATTGAGTGACCTTTTCAAGGCGCGACTCTCCATGATCGTCATCATCGCGGGTATCGGTATGCTCGGTCACATCTTGCTCTCGGTATGGGACATTGGGTTCTCCGGTCAATTTGCAGGTAAGCTTGGTTGATTGTTGAGTGACAACGCGAAATCTGATGGCGTTTAGGGTACATGCTCATCTACTGTGCTGTCGACGCGGGCGCACTTTGTTTGACTTGGTTCTCCGAGATCTGCAGTGCCGATGCCGAGGTCCGAACCATCATTATTGGTCTCGCGAACGGAGTTGGGTACACTTGGATTGCGGGTTTCCCATTCTTGATGTATCCAGCTTCTCAGGCTCCTCATTGTAAGCGCATTTCCCAACTGGATGTAACGTTGAATGAGCGCTTACGAACGTTGACAGACAAGTACGGCTACGAAATTGGGGCTGGATTCTACGCCATCACCATCACCGGCTGTACCGTCTTGGCTATTCTGCTCAAGCGCTACGGCACGCCTTATCAAAATGTTCCTAAGTCTGGTGACAAAGATGCCGATCAAGGGTCTGAGGGGGAGGTTGGCGGAAACTCGCAGGACAAGGAGAAAGAGCTCGATTTTGAGAGGACTGAGGCTGTTGCCCGACTTTCCCATGGGAATGAGAGAAACCAGCGTTCATAGGCTCACTCTTTCACTACCTCCTCTTTCCAATGTTCGGGGCCTGCTGTTCTTATAGATTTTCTGTTTTGGTTTCCCTTCAGCCTATTCAATAATCTCGACAGCGAGTACAGGCATGTATTCAGTGTTATTGACATGACCATCATATGCTGAGTCAGATTGCTGATGCAAGAGAAGCGCAGCGCATTGCCATGAAGACAGGCGCGTCCGCAGCGGAGCAAGCCGGCTTTGTGTGGAGGTGGCGAAACTCCCGATGCTGCGGTGACGTCACTGGGAATCGATCCTTGCATCAGAAACGCCCCCAGCCGTCCAGTCGTTTATAAACAGCGCTCAGTCCTCTTCTTCTTTCTTTTCCACGAATCCATCCATCACATCCACAATGGCCTTCACCTGCTCCGACATCTTCAAGATCATCCTTGCCGTCATCCTCCCTGTTCGTGCCCCTCCCCGCCCATGCAGTGACCCGCTAACACTCCAATCAGCCTCTTGGTGTCTTCCTTGAGCGAGGATGTAACGCCGACTTCTTGATCAACGTGAGTACAACCATATGGGATCCATCGTGTACACTGAGCTGACACTGCTTCCAGATCCTCTTGACCGTCCTTGGTTACATTCCCGGTGAGTCCCTAGGCTGCTGTACACATCCTTGAGGGGTTATCTCTTGGCATCCGCCGGGGTCGGCGACCCACAGCTGGTTCTCCCTGGGACGCGAGACGGCCTGTATCAGTGATGCAACCTCCAGAAGCATGTCGGCTGCAGGCTGTGGCTGGATCTGGATGATGGCCGGCACCGCTCTCGGCGGGGCCAGGGTCCGTTGCCGCTTCCCTGTCTTTGCCACCAGATCGCCTTCCCCGGTGTGCAGGAGGCTACCTCGATCCTAATCCTCCTTTTGAATGGTGTAGCATCTCAAACCGTATAGAATCAACCGCTGACTTTGGTTTCCCTTCTTCTCTTGGGTCCTCTCTCCAGGTATCATCCGTACGTCCTTTCTCTGTTTTAACTTCTGTTTAGAGTCATATACTAACTTTACGCAAAGACGCTTTGTACATCATCCTGAAGTATTAAGACGCTCCCTGCCTACCCGAGGGTGTGAACACCACCCCAAGGCAAGCAGAGAAGGAGGGACTGAAATGCAAGAAGTAATATGCGTGAAATGGACTCCAGGGATGCTCCCGGGGCCGGCGGCTCAAAGCATTGTGACTATATGTTCTTATAACTAGCTCATGTATCTCATCTGGCTATCAAACTTTTCTTGATCACCGTCGAGGGCGGCGAGGGAGGGCAAGGAGATGAAAGAGGAGATAGCGCCCGTTTTCTAAAGCGCGTCAATTGCTCTGATTCGGTGTCAGTCCGTCTCAGTAAACGCCTCTGGTCGTTCCATCGCACCCTCCCTCATTGACTGCGTTACAATCACGGACGAGGCAATCGTCGAGAACATCTAGAGACCCAGGTCTATGACGTTGCAGAGCGTTTCCAGAGCCCCTCGAATGCTCTCTCTTTGTGTCTGCTGCTGACAGTACCCTCTGGCCTCTGCACATGCCCACGTCAGGAGCTTCCACTGCACACTCCACGGAGCACAGCGAGGAATGAGGATGGCCAGGTGCGCTTAGCGCTTAGCCGTAAGCGCTGCCGACCTTTGTTTTTCCATTTCGTCCAGCTGCATCTCATTCTCCATCTCCCCTCATTCCCCCATCTCGCCAAGTTACATCTGAGCTGCCCCTTCCTGCATCCCCTATCAAGTCATCATGCTCGCCCGCTCTTCCCCGCTCCTCCGCCAATCACTCGCTGGCCCACTGCGTCCATCCCGGCTCGCCCTGCCCCTCCATCGCACGCTCCACAGCTCCTGTCCCGCCGCAGAGTACAAGGTCACTGCCAAGCCTGCAGAAGACTCGACGTTCAAAACACCCAACTATGAGTACAAGTTCTTGAACAAGCCTGCTACTGCTACCGTAAGTGAGAAGGCTTTCTTGGGAGCAACACTGACTTTCGGACCCCGTAGCTTGTCGGTTGCCCTTTTAGGTATACTTTGCAGCTATTCCGATTATAGATGCCTAAGCTGACATGTATCGCAGTGGCGGCCAAAGAAGAGCCGGCGTCGACCTCGCTCCCAACAAACTCATCTCCGCTGGCATCATTGACCAGCTCACCGGCCTCGGCTGGCACGTCAACTACGAATCCCAAGACACCTTCCTCGACATCCCCTACAATCCCCTTCCCTCCTCTTCCCCTGCTGCTACAGGTACTGAGGCTGCTCCGTCATTGTCGGGCGAGAGGATGGTGCAGCGGTTGCCAGACCCTGATATTGGGATCATGAAGCGACCGAGGTTGGTCAGTGCTGTGAATGAAAAGGTGGCAAAGGCTGTGGGGGATATTGCCGGGCGGAAGGAGCTGCCTGTGACCCTTGGTGGTGATCACTCTCTCGCTATGGGGACTATTGCTGGTACCAAGAGCCAGTACCCTGATGCCGGTGTCATCTGGGTAAGCCCCTTCGCGAACTCGAATCTATAATGAGCTGATGTAGTGTAGGTTGATGCGCATGCGGATATCAACACGCCTCTCACTACCGAGTCTGGTAACCTCCACGGATGCCCAGTTTCTTTCCTTATGGGTCTTGAAGGCTGCGACGTTGAGCCTTTCAACAAATGGCTCAAACCCTGCCTCAAGCCCAAAGACATGTGCGCCTCGCCCCTCCTCTCTCCTTCTGCTCTGTACTAACCAGAATTGGTAGCGTATACATTGGTCTCCGGGACATTGACAATGGCGAAAAAGCGATCCTGAAGAAACACGGCATCAAAGCCTATACCATGCACCACGTCGACAAGTACGGTATCGGCAAAGTCATGGAGCTCGCCCTGCAACACATCAACCCCACCGGCGAGCGTCCTATCCATCTGAGTTTTGATGTGGATGCGCTGGATCCTACTGTGGCGCCTAGTACTGGTACACCTGTGAGGGGTGGACTGTCATTCCGAGAAGGTATGTTCTCGTCTCTAAAGGTTGGGCAAGAGCTGATGAGTATTCAGGACACTATATCACGGAAGTCGTTGCCGAAACGGGGTGTCTGGTGGCTGTTGATATCATGGAGGTCAACCCTTCGCTGTTAGACCCGAAGAGTGTGGAGATGACTGTTGCTGCTGGTTGTTCTTTGGCGCGTGCGGCGCTCGGCGAGAGCTTGTTGTAATCCTTGATACCTCTTTTGAGGCAAGAGACACAGGCGGGCGAATTACGAATACATGTATCCTGTATACCTTACAGTCTAGAACATCTCGGTGTACTTTTTGGTGCAAGAGTACCTATGACAATGAAGATCAGCAAGTGCGCAAGGGCTAGAGAGGAGCAAGCGCACCACTCCCAATCAAAGTTGTCCTGCTCGTTACACCAACAGCGCCCTTTTGTGTGTGCATCTCCTTGAGGGCAGTGCTAAGTGCAAAAGTCAGCTCTCTATCCAGCATCACATAAAAATAGCTCGCAGTGAAAGGTTCGTGCTTGTAGCCAATGTCGTCAAAGAAGTATATCTGTTCCTTCTTGGCAAACAATGCCGCAGCGATGGAGTGGATAGGCGCATCTCCCCAGCGCTCGTAGTAGAAACCACCCTTGCTGTCGAGGAAGTCGAAAAACTCGGTATAAGCTGGGGATCGCCAAAAGTTGAGGTCGGCAATCTCAAAGTTGGACCAGACTATGGCGATAATCAGCTCGTCGTTCTCCCGTGTTCATACCACAATGTGAACGCACAGTGGCATTTGTTGTAAGACTCGCCGCCGTCGTCGCTGACGAAACTCATCGCGTTGCCATCGGCGAGATAGTCGGGGTGATCGGCTACAAACTCCTTGACCGCGTCCCACAATGTCGGAATAGTACCAATGTACTCGAAGAGGGAGATCGTAAAGCCGTAGACCTTGTTCTCATCTTGCATCAACAAGAAGGGGTCGTAAGCTGCGATAGCGTTAGTTTGACTCATACCATAGGTGAAAGCCGTACTGATATCACAATAGAACTTCACTCCGGGGTCGATGCGCCAGTAATAGTCGTAATTGGCCATAAGCGGATGGCGATAAAAGTATCCAGAGTAGAAGCGGCACATGTTTCTATATGGGACCGAGTCGCCATAAATGACCTTGGCTTCGACAAGTTTCTGTCGGGCAGCAGTGGCTTTCTCTTCATCAATCCTATTTGGGTGTCAGATGTCATCGCGATTGATGCGAGGGTGAGCCTACCAACTGGGCTGGTTCCAATCTTCAGCATCCACCTTGCCATAATGGCATCTGGCTTTGGTCAATGCTTGTGTATACCTCTTGAATTCTTCGGTAAAGTCCTGTGAGCATGAAAGTCAGCAGACTTGATCCATACTCCCCATGGGTACGCACGTCGTCGTTAAGGAAGACATAGTCGTAGCGAGCCCAGTGGTTGAAACGGTCCTCCATCTGCCTCATAGAGTCCAGGATTTGCCACAAGTCCGAGTTCCTCGCTGATCTCCGTCAGCACTTTCACCCGGAAAGTCTCTACGCAGCAGCAGCAGCTTACAAAGAATCACAAAGGCAGCCTTCGCCCTCCGCCTCTCCTCCAAGCTCTTCTCAAACTCATGCAAGATGTCCTGGTCCAGCACGGGCCGGGCCGAATCTGGCGGAGAAGTGGGATGCCATGGGTCTGGTTTGGGTAGAAGGCCAAAGGAGAGAATATCGGTGGATTGGCGATATGTGGGATGTATGTAGAGGAGCAGATAGAGAAGTACCTGGCAGTGGAGTCAAGAGAGATTTGTCGGAAGATGAGCAAGTGGACTCACGATGACCGAGGCAGCGATGCCTAGATACTTCCAGCGGGTCAAGGATATCATTGCGTCGTTACTAGAAAGGCGAATACAAGTGCAAAGTGAAAGAAGATGGGCGGAAAGGAGGCAAAGGAGGCAGCGGCAGGGAGTGCTCAGCTGCAGGCAGAGCACGTCAGCGCAAGCAACAGCGGGAGAGATGCGGCGTAGGTCATGTATCGCATCAGTCGGATACTTGGTTATTTGGTTCCGCCGTACATACAATCCATCACTGTGCATCCTCAAAACACTGACCGAAACCTCGAGACGCCAAGGTGGGGCCCTCTCTTGCGTACAGTTCATCACAGTACGAGTAGTCTACATTTCCAACACCCCTCCCCATCCTACTTTCGCGACGTCGACAGATCCCTTCGCTCCCACACCTGTATCACCGTTTCCCCAAGGAACACCATCTCCTTCCTGACCTCTGTCACATTCAGGTCCTGCATCTCGAACCACTTTTCTCCTCTTCCTTCCGTCTCTGCACTCTTTTCGGCTCCATTCTTGCCTTCTTCTCCTTCCGTCTGACCCGCCCGGACATGAATCTTCCAGAACATCTGGTTCTCCTCGCCTTGTTGCGGTGTCCGCTTGGTGATACCCGGGCCAGTACCAGAGGTCGAGGTAGAGGCGGCAGTGGTGTCGAGGAAGACGTTGGAGAGGAGGTCATATTGGGTGTGCACGTTGTCGGAAGGTTTGGGGTCGACATCTGCTAACCGTTCAGCTGTGTTGGATGTAAATAGGGAAAGACACTTACACTCGCTCATGTCGACGCCTCGAAGAGGGAAGTTGACGATGGTAGGGTTACGTTCTTCGACAAAGTTGTTCTTGGTGAACCGCTTCATGTGGAGAATGAGGTAAGGAGGGAGCGACGTAAGGTGATGTCTTTTGAGCGTAGGCCCGAATTCCTGCAACCATATCAGCAGCCCATTTCTGGTAAGCGCTTGACGTGACGTACTTGTGTATGCTTGCCGTCGAATTTGGCGAGGATCTGACCCAGAGAGACCTGGGGAATGATCTTCTTCTCGTTAATGTCTGTGAATAGAGGTGTGGCGGGAAGATCGAGGGCGAGGAAGAGGAAGGGCGATGATATTGTTTGGATGTCTGTATATTCGTTAGACCTGGCATTCCCCGGAGTGAAATGACCTACCTCGTCCGACGTCGAAAACGGGCCGAGCATACTCTTTGTGAGTGATGACTTGCTGCGTCTCAATTTGCACCTTTCCCTGAAAAGTTGAGTAGACAACACTAGAATTCCTCTTCTTTGTTCCGCCCAGATCCCTATGCAGGGTGTTGACCAGCCACCCCAAGAACTCAACAGGGTCCCCTTGCTCGGTCGTCTTGAATTTCCCATTGCTCCTCTTTGTCACCTCGTGCAAAAACTCGTGTGGCGACACCTGCGCTTTGAACAAGTGCGGATTCCATAATCTCTGCGCCAATGTCGCGAAACGCTTCACCAGCTCGGTAGGACGGGCCTCGATCTGGAGTTGGGGCGTATGGGGATGGAGCAGAAAGTTGCGCAGGGGAGGGACATGGAGAAGGAGGTGAATGACGACGTTGCAGTAATCGTTGCCTTTGATGTTGTTGATGCCGATATAGCCTGGAGTGTATTTTTGACTTTCCAGGGTATAGGAGAGCGGAGGGAGACGAGAGAGTTTGGCAATGTCTTTGGGAGCATACCGAGGGTGGAGGACGCGGATGATGTCGTTGAGAGAGTGGTCTGCGACCGGGTAGCCTTCCGGGAGGACATAGAACTGCGACTTGTCAGCACAGCTGAATAGGTGGGAGTTGATCTCACCTTTTCGGTATCCAGATTGAGCCACACTCTGTGGTTGTCACCGACGGCGTGTCGGTACGCCCAACTGCCCTTTCCTCGCCCTTGAAAGTACTTGCCGCAAACGAGACAGGCGTAGACATTGATATTGCTCAGGCTTTTAGAACACAAATGCTCAAAGTCAAAGTCAAGCTTCTGTCTGGAGATCTGCGAGCATGTCAGTGAATATCAAAGGAGCATAGACTTAGCACTTACAGTATCGAGATACATATCTGTCCTGGACAAGTCTTCTTCCTCCTTGGCATCTTCTTGCTCTTCCTCTTCGTCGCTTGATTCCTCTTCCGCAGGAGGAGGAGGAGCAGAGGTGAACTCTGGTGCCGAGGTTACTGCAGGCGCCCCGTTGCTCTCGGCCGTAGATGGCTCTGCGGCAGCGGCAGCATCCAGCTTGATGCGCTTTGCAGCTGGCGGCGAGGATTTTGGCGAACCGGCTGTAGACATTGCCTCTGCGTTATCTGGTCTATCGTCAGCGATGATCTTGCGCGAAAGCAAAGCTAGTCACAGGAAATGGGCTGGGTGGCTGTTGCTGTGATCGGGCGGCTGGGGAAAGTGGAGGAGAACGGAGGGGGGTGGGGACGCTGAGTTGCGGTATGGCTCTCTAAAGTACGTTGAAGACGCTCGCGGATACGCTGACGAGAGACGGTGGCAGATGCAGTTCTGGGTTGATTCCGTTTGCCAAGTTCATCCCCCGACGATGGCACAGAGCAATCTCGACGGAAGCAAATACCAGCTGTCCGGATACTCGCGTCGGGGGCGGACGCGCCCTTGTGCTCTGACTTTTGGATGATCACCTTTATACGACTGTACGATACAGGTGCTGGCTCACCATGCCCATAACGAGCCCACCAGAAACACCAAAGCGCTCCAGAACGCCTGCAAGACCAGTCCCACTACGCAGCTCCCCCTCGGCATCTACCACGACAAGCTACGATACTCGCCATGACCTGCGCTCGCGGCCTTCCGGCACTTCCCTGACAAACCTCGCCCAGCGCTCGGAATCGCCATTCGACGCGCTACTGGGCATGGAGGCAGAGTTCATGGATAGTCCTACAGAGGTCACACCGAATGATACACCTCCTGGCCCGAGCCGGCAACCGTCAGAATACTTGCCAAGCGCTCGTCCGCAAGCAGATGTGCCCCCGAATAGAGGACGAACCCAGGCCCTTGAAGATGATTCTTCAACCAGGGAGCATTCTCAAAGTCGCTCAAAGACTGGCCCCGAGCCCCGGTTCAAGACTCCCACCTTCTTCGTAACCCGTGCGACGCCATCTGTGACTTCTTCAAACCAAAAACCCAAGCCCAAGGTCTCTCGGCTGAATACCAATCTCGCTCACAGCTCCTCGCCGTCATCACCCACAAAGATGGTCAGTCCGGGCATCAAGCACTGGCAACAGGTCAGAGCTCATGTGATGGCGCCAACTCCGGTCGAAGAGCGCGGGTCGAGGTCTAGCAAGAAATCAGGTCTGGTGTCCAAAGCTGCTGGCAGATTCGGTTTTCGCCATGCAGCGGATAATGTCATTGGGTATAATGACCGCCGTCGATCCATGATGGGCTTGCTGGCGGATCTCAACGAGCTCACGGAAGAGCAAAAGGAAGAGATCGTCCGCGAACGGAGAAAGTTTGCCAGAGATATCAAGACGTGCATCGACGCCTGTGCTTTGGAGGAAAGCCGACGGAGACTTTATCGATTGGGGTATGGGCGAGACCCATTCAGCGACGCCAAATCCAGCGGCACGTCGATTCATACCAGTGCCGTTCACGCGCACCCGCACGCAGCCCAGCGATTCACCTTTGACCCTTCATTCTCCGCCTTTGCTCCCCTCCTCACTGAGTTCCACAAATACCTTCCTGCCGCTCGTGCAAAGAAACCTTGGTCTCGCACTTGCCCCCATCATGCGGAGATCCTCGCCGAGCTGGGCGTGGCTTTCCTTCAAGACTCGTCTTCTACGGAGGGCGAGAAGCAACAGGCTTTGGAGTTGTTTGGGACCATTGTGAAAATTTGGGCTGCAGACTCGGCGGAGGAGGTGCTTGTGAGATGGCAGTGGCTTTGCCGCGCTCTTTGCACCGACGACAGACATATTCGGAATCGAGGTCTTGACCTGCTAGACAACATTCTCCACCTCGACCCCTCCCTCCCGCGAGGGCACGAACAGCCACATACAGCGCTTTCCTTCCATGCCCTCTCATCCGACCTCATCATTCTCTTACACGCTGTTGAATCATCCCAGTACCCTCAGCAGTCCCATGAGCAAGCTGTAAGAGGGTGGATAGACGAGCTCAGAGAGGGGAAACTTATGAAGGTGGAGGAGGCGTCGTTGGTCGAGCTGGTGGGACATGTGGATCTGGGGATGGTCACGATGGGTGGAGTGGAGAAGGAACTCATGTGGATGGCAGTTGGCTCGGTGCTTCAGACCCATCCTTATCTTGCAGAGTGGCTCTTATCAGGGGACAACCCGGCGATGCTTGTGAGTTTGAGTTGTTGACACACAAACGAGTGTTGACAGGGTGTAGCAATTCTTCCTTCCACCATTACTCCATGCCACGCCCTCCTATATCCCGCCGATCCGAAGTCATACTACTACTCTCCTGCTTACATCGTTTATATCCCTCATTCGATCTTCATCGAGCCATGCCCTGCCATCAGTCATCTGGAATACCGTCACTACCCATATCTTGCCGCAGCTTGGAGAGCTCCCCGGGGATGATCTGGCTAAAGCCTTGGGAGTCTTGGTATTCGAGACAGAGGCACATGCTTGGAGGGCAGACATGGGCGACGCAGATGATCCGTTTGGGATCCAAATGCAGGGCGGTGACGGAGTAGTGGCCCATAAGAGGTTGATAGAGACACATGTGGTGGTGGGAGGAAAGTGGAAGGTCCCGTTTATGAATGCTGCCAAACAGGTAGTACGTCAAGTCCTTCGACAAGCTCGGGCCAAGCTGACACCAGTATAGCTGAAAGACACGCCGATAGAAGTGGCCTTTGCTATGGCGCATGGGTTTCTGCGTGATAAAGGCTTAGTACCGCTTGCTAGAGAATGTGTGCCAGTGCTGTTGGACGTGAGTCTACATAATACTGTTGTAAAAACTATCTAACCGGTGGCGATTTAGCGCCTCGCGTCCGATGTCGTACCTCCGCCAGCTGCTCGCAGTTTCCTCGCCTCCATACAAACCCATCATCCTCAAGTAATATACAAACCCCTCTTCACGCTATCCGCTTCGACCTCTCTGGCATCCCTGACCCCTGCCCTCCGCACCCTTCATCTCATCTCGCCAACAATCTTGCCATACCAGCAATACTGGTTGACAGATCCGCAGATGGTGACGATTGTGCTCATGGGTGACTCGGCGCCGAGGGTGAGCAAAGGAAAAGGGAAGGAAGGTGCGGACCAGGGCAGGAGGGAGGTGAGGCTGGGTAGGTGGGCATTGTCGGTTGAGTTGAATGTGGTATTACTGCATCATCAAGAGAAGAGCGACCTGGACAAGAGATGGAAGGTGTTTGGTGAGGGGCTGGAAGGGAGATTGACATCATTCTTGGAGGCGGAGGTGAGCTTGGTGTTGTCCTGTGGGCTTTGAGGCTGATGAGATTTCAGGAAAAGGATGGCGACTTGCCAGATGGGTATCGCAAGCTGATGTGTCAGCTATTGCTAAGCATCCGACTCAAAACGCAATCCGTCAGAAAGTAGGCTACCATTGTTTCCCTTGAGCTTCAGCTGACTATTGAGCAGAGCTCCATGGCTTGACATGATCTTGCGATGGTTCGTACAGGTGGCCAAGGAATACACTCCCAAGGATAAAGATGACTCAATAGTCACCCTGCGTGGGGCGTACAATACCCTCCTCGGTCAAGATGCGGATTCGGGTACTTCTCCATCCTCATCCACCTTTCCCTCATCTACTTCTCTGGAAGAGCGACTGGCCATTTTGGACCGACCATTGGAACGAGTCGTCGCGTCACTACTTATTGTAGTGCATAGCGGTCTTAGCCCGGACGATTGGGCAAGTCTCGTCCCATATCTGTGGGGATGGTTGGGCAAGAAAAGAGTTGCGATTAAGGAAGTGGGCTTCTTACTACAGAAAGGCGCAGAGATCGTGCCGGGTCAGTTGGGAGGTGCCATCTTATCGGACCTCAGCAGGTGAGTACAAGCATCGAGGTCATCTGTACAAGACTGACTTTCGATATAGTAAGGAACCACTCGCCCGCCGCCAAGCCCTTCACAATCTATCAACTCTATTTGCCTGGCGTTTCCAAATCACGGCTCAGCCAATCGTGACTTCCCGCCGAGGTCCTCTGTTCCACTTTCCCACCAAAACCCTCGAGTTTGTTCCTACAGAGATCGGATCATCCACATGGGAATCACCGCACGATATCCTGGATGCTCAGCTTTCCAAGTTTGGACGGATTCTGCCTTTGGAACTCCGACAGAGATTGTTTGAGCTTGGGTGGAGCGATGAAGAGGGTTTGCAAGGGAAGGCAGATTGGGAGCAGATTCCTGTCAGCGCGCTGCCCGGGCTAGAGTGGCAACAAGAAAGCGCTACGGGTGCGCTATCAGGGCGGCCCTCGAGTCCGATGAGATCTTTGGCCAGAAGCGGATCAAACACGTCTGGCCATTCCTTCTCTTCAAAACGCCGAAAAGCCGTGTTTGCGCCCATGCTCGTGCAGATGGTCTATGAGCAGATCAATGTCCTTTCAAGCGAAGCGGATGGGCCTGTCAGCAATCTTTCGCTCGAGCTTGTGCGACTATTTCAAAGGGATGATGCTGCTGCCCTCTTGAAGCCGTTCACCGAGAGACTCCACTCTGAAACCCTAGATGCCATCGAGTTGATCAACAAGATCAGTGACTTTATGGCACCAGGGTTTGCTTACTCTGCTCTCAACGCTCTTATCGGCTATACCAAGACAGCATTGAAGGCGCACGGGCAATTGGAATGTTGGGAGGCGTCTCTCACCACGGTAGCTCGCATTGTGCCTTTTGTGAGTGCTATCTCGCTAAGAGACGTTCGCAAAAACAAGGCAGAACATGTCTTGCTGCCTGCTTCAATTCACGAAGAAGAAGGAGGCTTCAAGATCCATGCGCCCTGGCGTAATGGTCAGCTTGGGGTTCAGACAGCCCAACTCCTGATCCTGAACGAAACTCTCAAAGCAAACCCCCGCGAAGTGTACCTTGTAAAGAAGATGCTTCACTATCTGCAAATACAAGAGTCTATCCAATACCTGCCCTTCGCTCGGGCGTGGATCATTCTGACCACCACCGCATTCTCTTTCGTCAATCGAAACTACAACGATAGAGCGGAACTCCGTCACTTCTTGTCAAACGTGGGGGCCATCTTGAAGATGCACGGGAAGACCGACCTCTTGATTACTTCTCATTCAATGAGAGTTCTTATGCTTTGCTCTGCCCGCTTCCGCCGCGTCTTTACCTCCATGGGCTTCTCAACCATCATGAGACCTGTGTATGAGACGTATGCCGGTGGTGATGCGGCCACACGAGACGCCATCGAGTACGCCGCGAGAAGCTTCTATAGGATACACGAAGATGTCTTCGTCTACCAGGCGTGCGTGGCCATAGCGGAAGGAGATTACGACCCTGCCGCAGTGTATCAGCTTCTCGCCAGTCTCTCGGCTGGAAATTCACCGTCATCTGGTGTCTCCTCCGGGGTCAGGGGTCTAAACGATAATGAGGAAATTGACGCGCTGGTGCAGATGACATCTGGCCCGGAAATCACTGTGTCCGAGATTGGAAAGGATGAAGACGAACGGAGGGCTAGCAAATTGGCTTCCGTCACCCTTGACGACAAGATCTTCCCCAAAGAGAACATCATCAAGCTTTTCATGACTGCCATCGCTTCCAACCCGTCTGCGCCCCGCGCTGCAAACTTCCTACGACTCCTATCTGCCCTCATCCCTAGCATCAAGGACTCAGTCAGTCGAGCGTTGCTCACGGAGGGCGTAGAGGCTCTAGGATCCATCATCACCAAAGGAAAGTCCGGAGACGAGGAGGCAAAGTCAACCTTCCATCCGGGGGCTGAAGAAGCAGGAGACTGGACAAGAGCGAGACGAGAATACGTCTTTTTGGTGGAGTCTTTCGCGAGGGCTGGTGGACATCTTGGAACTTCGGCCACCCGTAGAACGTTGGATATGGTGCTAGACCTACTGAGAAAGCAACCTACGTCCGTTGGTCCTGCCGCTTCCAGCATAGTAAGGGCACTGGCAGAAACACGCCTAGCATCGTCTAGGTCCGCCTCCTTCCTGCGCGAGATCGCTCCCATCTTTCGGGCCTATTTGGACGTCGTTGACTTCTCTGGCATGCTCGATTCAATCGTGGCACTAGTCAAGCGTTCCAACTACGAGCTCGATGCTGAGACAACATCGATCATTGTGCACGACTATGTCGAGCCAGCCGTCAGATTGCTTGCGTCTGCTTCAGAAGATAGCCTTGCCTTCATTGTGCCTTTGAGGTCGAGCGCGGTGAAACTCCTGAGTGTAGCTGTATTTCTGCGAGGTGATGCTCTCGGGGCACTAGAGAGGCACCCGCCAAGTGCGAGTCTACTAGCTTCGCTCGTGCTTCCTCTCTGTCTCATGCTTGAAGCACCGCGGGAGGTGGACCGACAAGAAGTCTACTCGGCTCTGTGGATCAGACTCCTCCACTACGTGATCAAGAGCCCTCAACCCCAGGATGCTCGTACGCCCAAAGCATCTGCGTCACTCGTACGCCACCCTCGCCTCATTGCTGCTGAGGTCATTCTCACCCTCCAGATTGTGAAGATTGTGGTGATTAGAGCGCCGAGGAGTATATCAAATGTGAAGGGCTTGTGGACGTATGTCTCGCACCATCTTCTCAGGACCATTCAAGACGGGAATGCGCAATTTGCAGACCCCTTGCTTGGGCAGACAGCTCCTCGAGTGGTGGATTGGTTGATGTGGAGCGTCTTCGAGCTGGTCTCCCTTCACCCCAATCCTCTTCATATTGAGCTTCAAGCAACCATACACCATACTCTTGCAGCGATTGACAGCCATGGTCATCATTCGTCTCAGCCTTCTACCCCAAAGTCATCTACAACACCATCTCAACAGCTGTATTCGGGTCGAGTAAGGAGGTTGTCTGGAATGCGAATGCCATCTTCTGCTGGCCATGTCCGTACGCCTAGTGCTGGTGGGCTAGATCAAACCCCCGATAACAAACACAGACGTACAGCCAGCGGTCTATCGGCCATAGGACAATCAAATTCGCCCAGCCCCAGCCATTCGCCAAAGGTGCCTGCTTCTCCCTTGGCTCCGGCAGGCGTCGGCCTTGGTCTAGGCTTCGGACACAATCGCCAGCCCAGTTCTAGCAGCATGGCTGAAGCCAGTCCTTCCGGGGCACATCGCCCTTCGTTTGTAGATATGTCTGTCCGGCGAGCCTCACGACCAAACTTCGACGCCTTCCAGTCTTCTTCCAATCCCAGTCACCGTTTCCCATCGTCTGCGGGTATCCGCAATTTGGGTGGAAACGCAGAAAAGTCGGGTGGGGCAATCATACATCTACTTGGAGCTCCCGCGCAGGTGTTATCGGCTACCAGCAGCGGTTTTCCTACTCTTTCTCCTGCGTCCGCTGGATCCATGAACCCAGCAGCCGTTTTGGCTGCCCAGAGGGGAGAAAGGGCGTTAAAGGAAACGACTATCAGCTCTACAGCCCTCACGACAATGGCGAGTCAAGCTGTGCGGACGACTATGTTGGTGCATGGCTGGCAGATGGGGTTTGGTGTTGAAGAAGACTCGCAGGATGTGCGTAGCTGGACAGCCTTAGATGCTCTGGTGTGTGAATTTCTTTCTTTGTTTCCCTGTAGCTGACCTTTTCACCTTTAGCACGTTCTCTCAGCTCAGACCAAACTCTTTGTGGAGGAGGAATTCCGGGACGTGTTCTCCCCAGCAGCGTCCGAAGGTTGGCCGGACAGAGACGACGATCATTTGGAGAAAGGGCTTGTAGGCCTGGGACTTGAGGGGCATGGCATATCCGTGAAAGAAGCGGAAGATGTTGGCAGACCGTCCTTCGAAGAATCACGACGTTTGATAGGGGAGAGAGACTTTGGTGTGCCGCTGGTCTCAGTGTCGTCTTCCGGTTCTGGTCATGCCTGATATGGTACCCTGCATATTCAATATAGCACCCGCGTGGCTAGTTTTTGTTGTATATAATGTTGTGCAAACTGTTGAAGATATTAAAGAGGATCATAGAATGCATTAGGTGACGCTTGTAGGAGATGACTATATGAGATGTGTCCCGTCCAATCCATCGTTTCATTGAGAGTCCAAAATCAGCGGCCAGAGACGTCTCCGGTCCTGAATCTAGGAGAGCGTCTTCGAGTAACATTGTCATCCGAGGGAGCAAGTAAGAAGCCTAAGGAATGTCAGTCATCAGCAACATGCTATGGCCATGTACCTTGCAGCTGTTCATTGAGAGATGAGGGCGATTTTGCGTTGTCAGGCCTGAAATCGATAAGCTAATGTAGCCCATGTATGATGCTCACGCACACGCCGGATCCAAGTCCTTCCTTCCTCCTCAAGCGCCCTGTCTCTGTCTCGCCTTTCTTGACAAGATCTTGAGTGACTTTCGTCTTGAGCCTCATTGTCCCGATGTTCTTGGTCGTATCCGAAGGAGTAGCATCCGGTGACTCCTTCTCTTCGGTTTCCGATTCAGGATCGCTTGTGTAAACTTGAAAGTTGGCCTGATAGTAGAGCGCCTGTTGATGAGAGTCACAGCATACGCTTTCAGTGGCTCACCTTGCTATCACCCATTCTGCTTTTGGGCTTCTTGACCCGAAGGACATTCTTATGTCGGCTCACTTGATGCGGGAACATCTGATCTTCATCTTGTGAAGCGTACTCGAGTTTTGACCCGGCAGCCTTTTGAGAAGCGATCGGTCTTTGACCAGTATTTGAGGTCGCCTTATTTCCTTCTTTACTCTTCATGTCGTGGAGTCGTGATCGCAAAGGTTTGATCAGCTTCTTGTCAGGCAAATGGAGCGAAGGGGGATTGAAAGAAGGCAGAGGAATCTGAATCACGTCAGCCCAAGTCAGTTGGCTCTCAAATCACACACAAGCTGGCAACACTGACATTGGGGAACAAGTGTATCTCTTTCAGAGGCTTTGTTTCGGTCTTTTGGGCTGGCTTTGGCGCAGAAATAACCGGACCAGCTGTTCCTACCCCGCGCATCAGCCTAGAAAACTCAACATGATGAAAAAAATATCTTACTGTGTCTCGGCTTGATGGGCGTGATGGATGCCGGGATATCTTTCCAATCCATCTCCACTCTCTTGGACCAAGCGCCAAGCATACTAGCCCATCTATTTTCCCAACATGCCTCCTCTCCCTCCAGGCGTTGTTCAATACGAAGTGAGGTCTCGCAGAGAGCAAATTCTCCGTTGAGATACGCAAGGAAACACAAATCTTCGACCACGCTCTGGGAAGGGCGTCGTAAAGTGGTGGACTCGGTTGAAGGCAGTTTGAAGGGGGGTGGATCGGGGTGCTCAGTCCTCAAATAGGGATGATTGAGTATCCTTGGTATCTGTCAGAGCACATTGGTCAGCAAATGAACACTCTTAATACAGAACTCACAGTCCATCGCTTCAGGGGATCTCTTTCGAGCATTCCTTCGACGAGCTCTGCCATACCTCCGGGACCCTGGTCTCGGAGTCTCCATCTGAACTTCGGGTCTCCTAGAAGGATACGCTTCTTGACAGCGGTGCTGGTGTCGTCCGAGCTTGTGTAGGCGTAAGGGTGGGGTATACCAGCCATCTTGATCAGAAGGATACCCAAAGACCAGACATCGTTTGCCTTCGGGTCATATTTAACGTCCTTGGACTCATTAGCGATAAAGACAGGAATTATACGGCGGCTTACTGCAGTCTTTTCAGGGCTAGAGTAGTCGAGGGTCCCGCCTGCACTCTTGACGAGGCCGCCGAAGGCTTTGAAGTGTGAAAAACCGAAGTCGACCAAAATTGGGAGCCCTTCGCTAGTTGCCAAGACGTTGGACCTCTTGATGTCTTCGTGGCTGACATTGAGGCTATGAAGATTATGTGTCGTGATCAAGAGTCGCCGAAAGAAGATGGCGAGAGAACTTTGAGTCCAGGGAGTTGGCAAAGATGACACAGAGCAGGGGTAGAGAGTGAGGAACACAAAACTATGCTGTGTCAGCGGTCGATCGTTGCCAATAGCAAAAAGAGCTACGTCCAGCCTTCCTCTTCTATCACCCCTTCGAGCCCGGCTACGCCATCCACTCCCGCCCCGCTCAGAGCCTTGAGTAGCACAACCTCCTTGTGAGCTTCGATGGCGTCGACTGTCTCGTCCGTTGTGGCGGGTCTCCGTCCATTGCGATTAAGTGCTGGTAAAATCTTACAGGCAGCCTTATGACCATTCTTGTGAGTGGCGAGCCGGACGTGAGCTTCCAACAGGGTCAGCACATCATGCGGAAGAGTTCAACGGAGGTCGTACCGTATGCACCTCTACCCAACGTTGCTCCTAGCTTCCAATCGCCGACTTGGTCGAGTACACTCCGGGGTGTCTGATGGTGAGCGTTCATTGTTGGCGGGAATTCGGGTGAGAGGCGGGTCGGTTGAGAAGGGCAGACGTAAGGTTGACGGCGCGAAAGAAGACTCCTCGCTGCGAGGAAGCTGAGGGAGACGGGGTGTGCAGGGGGGGGGGGGAATCAGGACTGGAAGATGTGGGAGATAGAAAGAAGAAAGTAAGAGATGCAAATGCAAAAGCTCAACCAACATTACCATCAAACGCGCTCGGGCCCTCGGTTGACGCGACTCGCGGGGGTCCGCGCGCACTGTTTCAACATGACATGTCTCCCTTTGCCCGCCCATGTATTATCAATGTACTGCTCTGCATTATCGATGATTATAGGTAGGCATGAGGCGCTGTACAACGTACAGGTTCGTCCTGCGGGCTACTCAAGGGTGTGTCCTTCCTCGGGGCAGGGATCGCCCCCCCGGTCACCCAACATTCCTGGAAGATTTCGCAGTCCGTGGCAAATCGCTCTCTTGCGCCATACTGGGCCACGATATATGCTTCTCCGTTACCCAAAGGATGTCGAAGACTGGTATACAGTCTTTAGCACTTCAACACCTGGTAAGATGAATGCATTACGTACCTGGTATACAGTCTTTAGCACTTCAACACCTGGTAAGATGAAGAAGCAGATCTGTACACCAGCTATGGAAGAAAGTACCGCCAGCCAACAATTTCGTCTAGAATAGTTCCGTCACCGGTCAGTTAGCAGAACGTTCCCTTGAATCCCCGCTCTCTGGCTCGAGGACAACACGAAGACGAATCGCCGGCAGCACCATTGACTCCGTACCAGGAGATAGTGGGTTCACTGCAATGGATCACATCCACGGTCCACGCCGACATTGCGTTCTCTGCGGCCTATCTGGCACGGTTCGCGTCGAAACCTCTGGAGAGTCACCGGCAGCTAGCGCTGAGGGTGGCGGCGTATCTGGAGGAGACGAAGCACGAAGGGCTGCTGTTGGGAGGCGACGATACAGCGGAGGCGTTGGAGGGATGGGTGGATGCGGATCTGGAGGGGCGGTTGGACACGAGGCGTTCGACCTCAGGCTACGTCTCCAAAGCCTATGGGTCGGTGATTGACTGGCAGTCAAAAAGCCAGGCAGTCACAGCAACGTCTACGCTCGAGTCTGAGTACGTGGCGATGTCAGGAGCAGGGAAGCACACGGCTTACCTGTGGGGGTTGATGGAGGACCTTGGATTTGAGCTACCTCCAAACCCACGAATCAACTGCGGCAACCAGGGCGCGTCAGCTCTGGCGGCAAACCCTGGTGCTCATCACCGCTGAGGAGTGCCCGAGAGCGGAGGAGCATGGGGGTACGAGGAATGCCGTGGAAGTAGTGATAGCGACTCTTTTAGGAATAGACATCTAGCGTACAGAACGTCAGGAGGAGTGTTGGAGTTGGAGTTCAGTAGCTAGTAGAGTTCGTTGTTGTTGAGCTAGAGTGACGCGCGAGGTTACGTAAGGTGACGGAACTATTCTAGACGAAATTGTTGGCTGGCGGTACTTTCTTCCATAGCTGGTGTACAGATCTGTTTCTTCATCTTACCTGTCAGAATCAGCCACAGTCAGCGTTATGCGGGATTCGTCATTAAAATCAATACACACGTTATTCTGCGCGTCGATAGCTTCTTCTCTTTCTTTGTCACTCTTTAACTGCATCATTGGCCGTAGCAAGTGTTTGGGTTAGTGCTTAGGAATCCTCAGGTATGCACTCTTTAACTGCATCATTGGCCGTAGCAAGTGTTTGGGTTAGTGCTTAGGAATCTTCAGACTCCCACAGGCTATGAGCCTCGGTGTTTAATTCCTGCACGCGAAACAAATTTCCCCATCCAGCCGCACGACAAGCCATATTAGCAATGGAGTCCAAACTCAACAACTACACGAACTACCGCCCGACCGGGAGACCCCACCAATCACTCCGAAACAGAGTGCCGGGTGCTAAGGAGAGTTCAGAAGTTGAAGTCCATCAACAAGCTCCCAGATGCTCTCTGCCAACCTATCCCTGACAGGAGCTGCCTCAGCGATGCTTCAGGCTACATGGCCAGTTGCACTCTCGGCTTTGCCACTCCAACTCCAATCGTCTCCCACACCTACATCGTAGACTCTGGCGCTACCGAGACTATGGTCAATCACCCTTCCCTTCTCACCAATGTTCAACCTCTCTCGCCTCCCCGTCACGTCAGAATGGGGAATGACGCCCGACTCCCTGCCCAAGGCAAAGGGACTCTTATCCTGAATGGGGTCGTCTTCAATGATGTCTGGGTGGTGCCCGGTCTGAACCAGAATCTGCTCTCCTGCCGTCGCCAACCTGCGGGCGGAGAGTGGGTTATCTCAAGCCAAGGAGCAATCCTCTTCAACGCTCATTGCCAACCACTCATGTCAACCAAGCTGTCTAATGGTGGCCCCTATGTCATCGAGAACAGTGACGCTTCTGCTTTGGCGGTGGAACAAGCTCCCAACCTTCTTTCAGAATGGCATCACCGACTAGGGCACATCAATGTGCAATCTGTCGCTAAGTTGGCCAGGAAAGGAGCGCTGGCGGGATTGGAAAAGGTTTCTTCTGGGGAGATCCGTGGTTTTGCCTGTGACCTATGCACCCGTGGTAAAGGCGTCCGTCTACCCTCACCTCCTCGAGCAGAGAGAGAAAGTGAGGCACTCAACTTGGTGCACATTGATCTCTGGGGACCGGCATCTACCACCTCCATACATGGCAACCAATACTTTCTGACCTGCTATGACGACTTCACTCGAAAAATCGATCTCACTTTCCTTCGTGAGAAATCACAAGCATTCAAAGCTATGAAGGACTACATCGCCAAGGTGGAACGTCAAGTGAGCCGTCCAGTGAAGAAGATCAGGTCGGACAATGGAGGGGAGTTTGTGTCCAGGAAATGGGAGGAGTACATGCTCAGCAGAGGGATCGAGCACATCCGGGTGCCACCGGGAGCGCATGCTCAAAACGGCCGCGTGGAGCGCGTCCATCTTACCATCCTCAATCTTGTCCGAACGCTACTTCTCGCGTCGGGCATGCCATCTGGTTTCTGGGCAGAAGCGGCTGCATACGCTG